TTGTGAATGGGAAAGCTTTTACCCAATCTTTCAGTCTTGCGTCGTTTATTTCTGTAGTTGGTTTTATTTTGTCAAGGAACATGTTTTTCAATACTAACATTTCATTTGGTACTGTCCATTTGAGTTTTCTTAAATATTCATCCCTTCTCGATTCATCGTCTGCAAAGTAAGTTTTTATGACATTTTGTAAACTTTCGTTTGCAAGGTCATGTACAATAGGTTCTCTTCCTTCTCTCTCCCTAACTTTCTTTCTAAACTCTTCACCAAATATACCATCTTATGGTTCTGTGTAGTTCTTTGAGATAAATGTTCTAGAACGTCAGGTGTTATATTTCCATCAGCCATGTTCATTTCATACTGGTCCAAAATATCTGCATGTTTCATATCTTTCAATGGCATTAAAGCCGCGCTGAAAATACCAGCTATATCTGGTTCACCATTCACTTCCATTGCGTCTACAACTTCTTGGAATTGTGGTTGTAAGTTTATGAACCACCTATCCGGTTAGCTTTATGACCCCATCTCATTGTAGTTCCATCGTCTGCAGAAACAAAAGTAGGTTTGTTTCCATCTTGGTTAGGTTCTGAATGAACTTTAAACAATGTTTCATTTCTATATGTTTTCTTGAAATTTAACCTTTTATTTTCACCGAGTTCATCCGAAGATTGAACGTTAAATGCTCGTAAGTAAAAAGGGTTGTTGTATTTGTGTACATTTTCTTTCAGTACTTCCATTCTATGCTGAATATTTTCATCTGGTGTTGGAGTCTTTTGTATGTCGGCAAACATTTTTCGATATTCTTCTACTATGTCAGCCGAATTTTTTTTAGACTCTTGGAAATATTCCATATTCTCCGCATACTCTTGTTGAGGGTCAAGATTTTTCGGCTGTTCCAAATCTTCATCTAGTTCTGTGAAGTTAGTTTCCAAAGGAGGACTTGTTCGTTTCCTTCAGGCTCTTCTAGCTGTTGTTGCTGAACTATTTCTTCCATGTCTGGTTGTATCTGAACTTCTTCCTGTGGAGTTTCTTGTACCTCATCTGCTGGCATTTCATATATTCCGAGACCGTTTTTAACAATTTCCCTATCTACGTCATCCGCATTCATAAGCTTTTGTTCTTTCGTTCCGTCTCTATTTTTTACGCGTTTCATGACGAAAGTTGAATTGTCATTTAGCTCTGACATCAAATATCTCGGAGTAAATTCATCCATGTCATTTGGATGATATGCTATTAAATCATATCCCTTAGCGAGCTTGTATTTTCCAGGTTTGAGATTATATCCGTTTTGGTGCTGAGCCATAAAGCTAAATAGGTTCGGGTCAGTATTTCCATCCTTGAACTTTCTAATAGCTTCTTTATATCTGTCACTAAAGTCAACAGTATCTGGGAAACCACACTCTTCTTTAAGCATTTTTAAGAATTCTTGGTTTCCTTGTTCTCTACTTCTTTTATGTCCTTGCTCTGTTTGTGGTTGTTGTTGTGCAGGGTTTTGAACTGTTGGTTGTTGTGCTGGATTTTGAACTGTTGGTTGTTGTGTTGGGTTTGGTGCTGGTTGTGGAGGTGGTTGTTGTGCTGGTTGTTGTGTTGGTTGTTGTGTTGGTTTTGGTGCATGCCTGTGTCTGTGTCCATGTGACGATGTAAATGTTTTAGGTAGTCCTGGTGCAGGTGCTTCTCTTGGAGGGTTTGGTGGTATATAAATTCCACCAGCTGGCACATATGTTCCATCTGCAGCGTAATGTCCTACCTGACTTTTCGTTCTTAAGAAAGCATTTACTAGGTCTGTTTTGGTCTGTTGTAACTCTTTTTCTTGACTTTTCACAACAGTTGCTCTAACGGCGTCATAGGCACTTTGAACTGCCTGTCTCGTTGCTGCATCTGTTATTTTCGTCATATTTTGTGCTACTTCTTTTAACTCTTTGTCGAAACCTTCAGACTTCAGTTTCTTTCCAGATGAGAAGTCGTTCACTTGTTTCACCTTACTATGAAGAGCTTCGAAAGCGTTCTTAAAGTCAGCATTTGTTAAAGCTTCATTTGAACTATCTTCATCCGCTTGTATTTTTGTCCTTATTGACCCTATGAGTTGGGCTGCTTTAGCGTTGGCTTGGGCATCTAACCAGTCATTGTTAGCTTTTATATATTCTGCGCTTTTCATTGCCTTTTGCATGGCTGCGTCGTTATTTTTACTTTCTTGTGCTAAGTTTTCATACTGTACGGTTTGGTTTTGCAACTGTAAAAGTTTTTCTGCCTTTACATTTGCTTCAACTTCTTTTTTATACTCATCGCTATCCATATATGTCTTCAGGGCTTTTTGTTTTATTTCTTCATCTTTCAGTATTTTATATTGAGTAGTATGGTTTTTCAAATTTATGACATCTTGTTCCATTTTTGCTACTTCTGTTGCTTTTTCTGACACTTTTTTCGCATATTCCTCTGTACTTAGTTCTTTCAGTTGTTCTTCTTTCTTCTTTTTCTCTACGTTTAACTCATTGAGTTTCTTTGTGTGTCTGTCATATTCTAGTTTCTTTTCGTTTTCACTTATTTGTTTCTGTATGTCTATGTTTGACTTTTTGACATCTGTTATTTGATTTTTGAGTGAACTCAAATTCATTTGACTTTGAGGGTTATAGGCTGTTCCGTCTGCAGCTCCACCATAGCCTGCCATTTTCGCTAAAAGTGCCGCTCTTAAACCTCCACTCTGTGCACCAAGAACTCGGTTTAAAAGCATAGGGTTGCTTGACATTTGTTGCAACATAGTGGGTCATTCAGCATTTGTTGTTGCAACTGTTGTTGTGGTGTTAGTCTTACTATTGGATGTTTCAATGCTCTCTTCCTCTTACGTATATTCTTACGTAGCTTACGTGGCATTTTAAGTGAAGTTAAAAAGCGGTTTTTGACAGATGTTTATATGACACTTTTGTTCAGCACAAAAAACTACTCGGTCAAAGTGTTGACAGTTTTGTAAAATAACCGTCCTATTCCGTGCCTATGACGAAGAAATCATGACAAATTCAGAGGGTAGAAAAGAGGGTAGAAAAGAGGTTATATCTAACCTTCTACCCTAAATTATATTTTTGTCTGATTTTACGAAGAAGTCTTGACAAAACATTTACGAAGAAGTCTTGACAAAACATTTACGAAGAAGTCTTGACAAAACATTTTACGAAGAAGTCTTGACAAAACATTTTACGAAGAAGTCTTGACAAAACATTTACGAAGAAGTCTTGACAAAACATTTACGAAGAAGTCTTGACAAAACATTTACGATGAAATCATGACAAAACATTTTACGAAGAAGTCTTGACAAAACATTTACGAAGAAGTCTTGACAAAACATTTACGAAGAAGTCTTGACAAAACATTTACGATGAAATCATGACAAAACATGAAAACATATATAATTTGTGAAAAGCTCCTGGAAGACCTCCGAATAAAAACTTCATTTATGTGGGCTAGAAGGGGCGCAGCCCCTGGAAGACCACCCCAAGAAAAAAAAAACTTCATTATATCATTCATCCTCAGGGCTAGAAGGCACGAAGTGCCTGGAAGCCCCACTTCCTTTTTTTTTTTTTTTTTTTTTTTTTTTTTTTTTTTTTGAATAAAACTATAATATAAAATAAATGAAGTTTAATGAAACAATAAAGGTTAAATAAATAATAAAGATTTTTATTTTATATCAGTATTGAGAAGAAGTAACAGCTGACACTTGGTAGACAACTTCTTTATGTCTAGAAAATTCTATCTTGCCTTTTATTTTTTTCTCGCTGTGAAACGTATTCGGTCATTTTTTTAAAAATTAATTTTTTGTTAGAGATAAGAGCTAAAACTCGGTAAACAACTTCTTTATGTCTAGAAAATTCTATCTTGCCTTTTATTTTTTTCTCGCTGTGAAACGTATTCGGTCATTTTTTTAAAAATTAATTTTTTGTTAGAGATAAGAGCTAAAACTTTGCAGACAACTCCCCCATGTCTAGCAAATTTAACATTCGTCTCCCATTTTTATATATTTGGTTTAGAATGTTCGAAAATGCGTAATATGGTCATTAATATTAATTGAAAAGAACCTTGAATTAATTCAATCTGATCTCACAAAATATTTTAAATTACAAACTTTGTAGTTTGAATAGATAATTAGTATTAAACTCAAATAACTAGTTTATTTTTGAATAAAAATTATTTGAATTTATTCAATTTTGTGAATTTTCCTTCAAAAATCAAGTTTAAATATCTTATTTGCCATATAATTATAAATACAATGAAACATATTCGAAATTGAAAAGAATGACTTTTTCTGTTCTTTCAATCATTCAATTTGAATTTTGCAATATTGGATTTCTCATTAAATAGCTATTAAAAACAACAAGCAATTTAACTTACATTCAAATTTATTTGTGTTATATTCAATCTTCTCAAAACTTATAATTTTCGGCTATAGCATGATTATATGCTATATAATATAATAAACCTATAATAGTATCATTCTTTCAATTATTTGAAGAGAAAACCGAAAAAATCTATTTTCGGTCTATAACAATTTATTTCTTTCCCTTTGATGTTTCAGAAATTATAAACATTGGATTAAAATATTCATTGTATTGTATAGATCTGAAATATCATAAAATAAGTAACTCGAGTAGCAGATTTTACATCGTGAAAATTTAGAAATGCATTTGATCGGGATTTATTACGAGTATTTGGATTCTTTTGCTTTGATGTATTATAGTTCACATGACAAATACCTTATCATAGCAGAAATTACATCCTCAATTAGAATTACTTGTTATCACATTTTAAACATGAAATCATGACAGTATGAAACACTGAAATAATAATATGGCTAAATAACCATAATATAAGTTAATTTAATTTTTTTCGTGAGTGAATTTACAAAATCGAATAGGATTTTATGGAGAAAAAATTTTTGCCATCATATGATGATATTATATATTGCATTAAATGGACAGAGCTCGATGCGAGGAAAAAATTTGACAAGAGCAGAAAAAATGGAAGTTTCAACAATTGTCATTGATACTGGCGCTTATTCAACTAGAGCCGGCTTTGGAGGTGACTCAGATCCTCAGTGCATCCTTCCAACTGTTATTGGCCGTCTAAAATCTCCTCAAGATAAAGCTGCTGCGATTGCAACTAAAGATATCTATGTTGGATCAGAAGTTTTTGAGCAATCGAAAAACTTAAATCTTAAGTGCCCAATTTCTGATAGAGTTATCTCAAATATTGACGAAATTGAAGTATTTTGGCAACACATTTTCTCAAAAGAATTAAATATTAATACATCAGAGCATCCAGTATTAATGACAGAATCACCACAGAACACAAAAATAATGAGAGAGAAAGTTACACAAATTATGATGGAAACATTCAAAGTCCCAGCCTACTATACCGCATACCCTGGAGTCCTTTCACTCTATGCTAATGGTATGGCAAGCGGCTGCGTCATAGATGCAGGAGAAACCATAACTCAAATTTTGCCAGTTTATCAGTGCTTTGGAATGACTCACATCACCGGCAAAGTCGAAGTTGGAGGCCGCTCATTAAATGCCTACCTTAAGAAGTTGCTTAATGACCACGATATCACTCTTCCTCAACAAAATGAGAGAGAAATCGTTCGCGATATCAAAGAACAGCTTTGCTATGTTGCTACAGACTTCAACAATGAAGTTCATAACGTAGATCATGAATCCGATTCGAGCATTTTCACATTACCTGACGGAAAACAAATTGTACTCGGTACACAACGATTCTTCTGCCCAGAATTATTCTTTAAACCAAAGAGTTACGGTATTTCTTCATCATCTCTTACTCAATCCATCTTTGACGTGATAAATAAAGTTGATAAAGACTTGAGACCACTTATGTACTCAAATATATTACTTTCAGGTGGAAGTTCGATGTTCCCTCACTTCGGAGAAAGAATTTCTAATAATTTACGTGGATTATTGCCTCCAGAAACGAATGTCCTTGTTCAATCACCTGCAAACAGAAAGAATAGCGCATGGATCGGTGGTTCTGTCCTTGTTTCACTCGCTACATTCTCTCAAATGTGGATTACAAAGGAAGAATACGATGAAGTTGGTCCTGAAGTTGTTAATTTGAAGTGCTTCTAAAGGGAACAAATATATTCGATGTTATTAATCTTTTAAAAGTATTTATATTAAACTCTTATGTTTTAAAATTCAAAATTCAATTTTGTTTTTCCTTCTCAAATCAAAATTAATCAATATTGTTAAGTCAACCAATTTACATTTCGATATCTACTAAAAATGGTCCAATATTAGAATGATTGAGCTAAAAATATCTTTTCATGAAAATTATTTGATAGAAAACATGATTGAAAAATTAGATGACCCAATTGTTCTTCATTCATTTAATCATTGTGAGAATATCCAATTCAAGGAAGGCATATTATAAAAAATATTTGAAGAATACGAAATAAGATTCAACTTTTGATAGCGAAAATTTGAGGAACCTATGCCAGTTGAAAGCTAAGTTTTCATTGGAGAATCATTTTTCGGTTGAATAACAGATATCTCATTTCATGCAAGTTTTAAAAGCAAAATTAATATGACACCAAACGATATAACGTGAATATATGCATTTATTCTGATGGAACATTTAAAATGATTTATATTTATGATTTTGAAATTTTTGTTATGAGGAACATAAGGTTTGAATAGATCAGATGTCATCAAAAATAGATTTGTAAGTGATACGTTTATGTTTTTAAATTCAACAAAAAGAAAAATTAAAAATTAATATTATAAAAAATATTAATCTGATTAAAGTACCGTTGCATCAGTTCCTGCAACTTCTTTGCAATAGTTAATGTATGGAAGAACGAGTCCCTTGAACTTCTGTAAGGTCATTTCCTTCAAAATCACTTCACCGTTCAAAGAAACTCTGACCAAGAATCTTCCGTTAGATCTGTATACTTCGAACATCATATGGGAAGCGAATGGAGGTATTTTGTCCAATTTAATTCCGAGAATATCGCAAGCTGCGACAATCGAAATATCGTGAGCAGAAAGGAGTACAAACTTATGATTCTTTTCACCAGCTTGCCTTTCAGAGATATGCTGAAGGACTTCTCTGATAATTGAAGCTCCAGCGACTCCTGTCTGGTGTTGGTATAAATCGAGGGTGTAAAATTCAACAGCATCCATTGCGACGTCAAGCATTTCTTGTGTAATGAAATCAGGAAGTGGTTTTCCAACGCATGCGATAGTATAGAGCCAATCTCCAACCCAAAGCCACTGCCATTCATCCCATGGTAATCCTGACTGGTTGACAAGGTCTTTGAGGACTCTAGCAGCGTTTTCCTTCTTTTCTAAGTACTTGGACGAATTTATCCAGTCATTGTAGGATTTTGTCAAATCTGCGCAATGGTCTGGACGAGGATGAAGAAGTTCTAAAGGATCTGTTCCTGTAACGATCTTAAGAAATTCATCTGGATATTCTGGTGGATAAAGACCATGCATGAAAGATTCAAGAGATCTGATGCATCTTTCTGGCTCAGATGATCTCAGGTACATGAATTCTGGATCCATTGACTCAGGAAGGAAATGAAGTTGTTCAATTAAATATTTTCTGTAGAAAGCGCCAAGTTGTACGTGTAATTCTTGACCTTCTACAGTAAGATCTGCTTTTCTGCATGATGGTGGATATGGTAAAGTCTTCTGTTCATAAGTTGTATGATATCTTCTGTTTTCCTTTGTTAGAGTAGTGGACATTCTTGGTGATGGTGCTGCATCTGAGTCGCAGATCCATCCATCTGGTGTGTAATTGCCGTAGCCATCAAATGGAGCTCTAAATCCATGCCTTGTAAGAAGAATTACCTGTTCAAGAGTTGCATTTGGAACAGGGTCTGGAACTTTAAGATTTGACTTGCATGTATGGTTGAAATTAAGTGAGGAAACAAACGAAATCAGACTTAAAAACATTCTGTCAAATCAATGTCAAAAAACTGTTTTATTATATCACATGTCGATCAGAATAAGATCATTCTTATGAATTACCATTACAATGAATTTATCTCCAAGAAAATGCGAGAAAATAATAATCATCTCCAAAAAAAAATCGTTCGCAAATCAAAATTGAAAGAAAAAAAATTGTTTGCACTTTTTCTGACAGTAAATATAAAAAAAGAATTTTACAGAGGTGTGGGTGTTTATTCTTTAATAAAGATGGTTTATAATAAGTAGTTTCTTCCACGCTACTGGGAAATATGGTTAAATTTTTGATATTGGCCGGGATTCCAATATTAATTTGGAAATTTCGTCTACTCTCTTCGTTTCTGGTTTTGAGGCATAACGGTGACGCACGGAGAAGCCTTAACTCCTCTGGATGGCTTCACAAATACTTTTACAGGGTGGGTATGAGACGCATTCCATTTAGCATGGTCCTTCTATTTGAGAAGTTTATTTTTTACACCTCTGAAAATTCTTTTTTTTATTATCATTTACTGTCGAAAAAGGTGCAACAATTTTTATTTCAATTTTGATGTCCAAACGATTAAAGAAATTGTTTGCAATTTTTTAAATTGAATTAATATAAACCTTCAAGGCTCAAGAAACGGACAGTAAGCCAAAGTAACAACAAATAATATATAAGTTTTTATTATTAAGACAAAATCTAAACTATCATATCTGAGATTTTAAATTCATTGGATAAATTTAGTCTTTTCATGAAAGGGTCGGAGTAAACTTTCTTAAATTACGGAGTGATTTGGTAAACATTATTATTCTCAAGATTTTCTATTAAATCTCTTCTGTAATTCAAATTTTTGCTCACAGTCACTTTTTTCCACTTATTTATCGGATCCAAAAATTTTTGCTTTAGAATGTTTTTGTCTCGATAATCGAGTTACATTGGTATAATCATTCTTCCTTTTAGTTATGCTTGCATGATTTTTATCTTCTTTCAAATTTATCGAAGCAATTCGGATCCAGCTTAGTGGTTTGAATATTTTGAACTATAAAACTTAATCCATATATGGAAATATTGATCACAAATGAATTATTTAATTCTTATCGATAAGTAGTTGATTGATTCTTGAATTTTTATTTCAATTGGATCCGATTGTTCACTGTTTTTTTAATGTTTTTTTCTTTGCTCGGACTGACCGAGCTTAATCAAACATCATTATATTACTTTATGCTCAATTATACTCTTTCGAATGACCCTATTGATGCTTCACAATATGCTGAAAAATCAACAATTAGTATTCAGTGCAATTATTCTGGGGAATATTTCAAGTTAGATGCTTCAAAATACAAAGATGTTTATATTGATGCATACAATTTCTGCATTGTCAATATAACATCTCAAAAAAAGAAAATCAGAATATATGGTCCAGCACAAGTATATCTTACAGGAGATGACAATACATTATACGATAATTTTGATTTAAGCCTGCCTTCATTACACCCTCTTGTATTTATCAACGGTCATCGAAACAAATTTAAAATATCATGGTATAGAAAATCAACAGCTTCTTATTCAGTTGTTACAGCAATAGTAAATGATACAAATTTCACAACTTCTGATCCTAAAAAATCAACTATTAAATTTGAAAATTCTTTGAATTCTAACTTCGTCGGTAACATTGGCACATTTTATAAAGTTAATATTAGTCAAATATATCCATCTTCGGATTACAAAATTTACTATCATTATATTCCAAATGACGCAAAACCTGATCGAACTGAAATATATCTTGGACTATTTCTATCAATTGGTGGAGTACTCGGAATGTGTTTACTAGCATGGATTTGTTCTTGCTTATTTCCAGATTTCAATGGTTGCAAATTGCATTCACATGAACCACCTCCAGAAATTTGAAAAAACTGTGCATATATGATATACATTCATTAAGAGAAATTTTTTATCATAATATTATTCATCAACAAGTAAATATTCCATAATCTCTCTTATTAGTTGTTTTTTCCCCATATGTTTTATAAAAGCATGCATATTTCATGCTCTTGATTATATGCACAGTTTTTAACAAAAAAGATGATATATACAATCATAAGGGTTATGTTCTCTGGAATTTGATTCCAAATTTAAATTTTAACAACAATTATTTATTACTTAAGACATTTGATGGAAAAACATGCAAAATGGTTACAGTGCTTCACAGAAAATCATTGTTTATCTTTTTTTTTGACCAAAATTTTGAGAAATCAAACTTTTGTGAATTTTATTCGGTTTGTTAACTATTTCAATGGACACAAATCGGATCCCGACGATCAACTATTTCATGACTTTATATAATGCTACTATTGCTCAGTTAAATTCATATATCCTTCCCTTTTTTCTTTGAATTTTTTTTGAATTATAGCAAATTGTTCACTGATAAATTTTCATAAAATGATCTTGCCTTTACTCGCTTTGTATTCAGATAACAATTCTTTACTTTATTACACAGCTCTTGATAACATAATTTCATCAGAACCTACAGATGCTTCAAGGTTTGGAAATCAAACGAATTTGGAGATTCGATGCAATAATACATCACAGTTCTACAAATTAGATACATCGAATTACGAAAATATCTATATAAAAGCTGACCATTTCTGCGTTATCAATATTACAGGAGAAAATAAGAAAATCAAAATTGATGGTCCCGCACAAGTATATATTACAGGCAACAACAATACAATTTACAACGAATTTAATCTCAGTAAAAGATTTTCTCACCCTCTTGTTCTTATTGATGGAATTGGAAACAATTTAAAGATTATTTGGAATGAAAATTTAAATTTGTCATACAACGTTGCCACAGCCATTGTGAATGATCCAAAATTCATCACATCTGATCCAGGCGATTCAAATTTCAAATTCAATGAAATTGATAATTCCAGCTTTGTTGGAGATATTGGTCCATTCATCGAAGTTAATATCAGCCTATTGACTAGAGTTCCAGCAGGCGGTGGCCGTGGTGGTGGTGGCGGTGGTCGTGGCGGTGGAGGAGGTCGCAGTGGAGGAGGCCGAGGATATGGACATTCGTCTTCTACATCGAGAGGTGGTGGTGGATATCATGGAGGTAGTAGTGGTGGAGGGTCTGGAGGTAGTGTTCCATTGGCTTTTATAATTGTCATGAGCATTATTTTTGGAGTTCCAATATTGGGAGCCATAATTTTCGTGATCTACAATTTAATATATGATTGCTACAAACAACATTTAGACAAAACATCTCAAGACATACCAGATTTGTAATTAGAATAATATATCATAAGGTAATTAATAAAATTTTGCACCTACATCCTTTCATTTTTCTCATTTCCTTTTTGGACACAAGAAATGAGGTGATTTTATAATCATCTCATTTGAACTAACTTAAAATAAAGATATATAAACTCATTGATCAGCCCTATTCCTTTATTTTTTTTGAAATCTTTGAATATCTAAGATGTTTTCAGGCTTGAAATGACTGTTTTCAATAAATTTTATTTAAGTGAAAATGCTTATGTTTAAATCGTTTTTCCAGAGTCAATCATTGTTTTTTACACTATATAATGGGTCATGGGTTCATTAAAATATGCAGATACATCATGGCCTTTATGCTTTCAGAATTGAAATTGTAAATTTCATGCGTTCTTAATGATAAATTTCTCAATTCAGGCTATATTTAAATTTTTTTGTAATTGAATGGCTAAAGATTTTATCAGATCTATATTTATTCAAGACCAAGCTATTAAGAAACTTTTCCCATCTATTTATTTGTTTCTTTTTAAATTTTTTCCCCCTTCCAATCGGATCTCGAAAATTTTAAACTCTCAATTTTTCAGATCCGATTGCTCTCTGGTAATTTTTGAACATAAAAATGATATTGCTTTTACTTAAGGTAGTCACAAAATCTAAGTAGTGAGGCTCTCAAAAATTGAACCATACTCCATACAAAATTTGTGTACCCTCACTACTTAGATTTTGTGGCCTTCAATTGAGAGGTTAGTTTTGATAGAGCACGTTATAAAATTAAAAGGGAAAAATAAATAAAATTTAAACATTTAATTATATATAATGTAAGGAGTGTAATTCCAAATTTTCTAAAAACTATTCAAATTTGAGCATTTTTTGGAAATAGTAAATCTAATATGTACATCTAATAACAACATGATTCATCACCTTTTCAAGCTCTGCAGTCAATTTTTTGAAATTTGATTGAAATAAATGTAGCAAAAATTACATTTCATTAGGGAATATATGAGTTTCTCTGGAAACAGGCTGATAAATTTTAAATTTTGTCCAATCAACATGAATGCATTGAGAAATTTGGATTGATTTTCTGGTAGAATCTGGAACAATTCAACCATGTATAAATAGATCATGTAATCATCATGAAATGTTAGTGTTAGAGTTCAAAAGAAACAGAATGAGTGGAAATCAAACACAATCTGAATAATTTTAAACGTATACAATCTTTAAGTTTGTATTTTGAATTCTACATATATGATTGTGTAATTCGTTCTTTCAAATTTTCGGATTCAGGCATGTTTTGATAAAATTCATTCCCAAAAACGTCAATTAACAATTAAATTTAGTGTATTTTAAATATATATACGTATTATATTTTATAAATTATATTAAATTCGCAAAATTTTAAGTTTTAAACAAAAATAAAAAATCTTCAAAATATGAAATTATGCATAGGATATTAAAATTTACATGTTAGCAATTTTTTTGAATTGCTTTCAATTTTCATATTGAAATTTTTAAGATTTTTTTCTGAAATAATAAGCAAGAATATCAACCTAAATAATATTAAATTCCATGCGTTAATTTCCCCTCAAAAGTCATTGACCGCCTCTCAATCTAGATTTTGTGAGTACTTTAGTTTGAGCTATGATAATCAGTCTTTGCCATATTATACTGCCCATGTTAAAATTCTTTCAACACATCCATTGATGCATCGTAATTAAACAATAAGTCTAAATTAGAAATTTCACGAAATAAGAAGACATAACTTTACAAATTAAATTCAGCAAAGTATAAAAAATCTATGTCAATGCTGATTACATCTCCATAATAAAAGTTTCATCAAAATAGAAGAAAATCGAATTCGATAATCCAGCTCAAGAGTATATCACTGGCAATTGGAACACAATATATAATGAATTTTACTTAAATAAACTTCTCTAATCGCTTTATATTTTATGAAGGCAATAAAAATATTCAGGGTATAATGGAAAGAAACATCTAGTTCTTCATAAATTGTTATTACAGCGTTTGTATGTGATCCAAAATTCACGACATCAGATAATAAATTAACAATTTTCTATAATTTTCCGAAATTATTCTAATTTTAAAGGGAAAATCGGTAAATTTCCAGATGTCAATATCAGCACATTATATACAAATCCTCATAATTGAATTGATTACCATTTCATTGAAAGGAAGTTATTTCTTATGCTATTATCTTACTACCATGAAAAATAACCTTAATCGTACTACTGACATCATACATTATAGTGGTGTTAATCAATATGATTCATATGATACCATTTTCAATAATATTTTCTATTGGTAATAATCAATTGCTGTAAATGCAACACTGAAGTACAAAGGGAAAGCACATACAAGATTTAAAAATTATCATAGGTTTCTTGCTTTCAATCTTGAATTTTTTCAAAAAATTTAAAAAATCTTTGTGACTGATTTTATATGTCTTAGATTTATTGATCCTTCATATGGGTGGTTACTGTGGCATGGTAAAGTGACATGCCTTATGAGTATTTTAAAAATAAGACTCTAAATATGACAATTTTGGAGATTTTCGAATATTCAACCTTATATCAAGGGGTATACTTTTTGTTGCTAAACAAACTTTCTGAATGTTTTCAACAACTTGAATAATTTCATATGAGTTAATACGCCATATGTTTGAGCAGCATGAGAATGACATTGTGAACTAATTAAACTCAATGATCAATGTTCTTTTTGAAACAACATATATTTTTCTTTTACGCAATTATCGCCAAAGATATGATTTTAAGATCGGTTTTGTTTGGGTCTATTTGCAGCATTCCATCGCTGCTAAATATGTGCAAATGGTTGAAAAGAAAATAGTGAAAATTCAGATCAATTTTATCGAAGTTGTCATCCAACAATTATTCAGAAAATCTTGAAGGATTCACAGATCTAGGAAAAATCATTGTGGTATAATTATCAATGTATATCATTAATTGATAGTTTTTGAGGTTGGATAAACCTTCTTACATTATTTCAAAAATTGAATGGGTTGAAGTTTCACTCTTAATTTATTAATGTCTAAAATTAGTACGATCGCTTGGTTCTACATAGCGATTGTATTTAACTCAGAAAACATTTTCATTAATTTCGTTCAAGAATTTAATGCTTTGAATATAGTATAATGATATCAAATCTGCAATCCCGCAGATAACCGCAAGGCTCAATCAATTCTCTCAAATTATGAGTGAATCCTTTTTTATAGCAATTTTTGTAGTAAACTAAATTACCATTAAAATCATTACACTCATGAAATTTGTGTATTCTGAAATTTGAATGTTATAGACCGAAAATAGATTTTTTCGGTTTTCTCTTCAAATAATTGAAAGAATGATACTATTATAGGTTTATTATATTATATAGCATATAATCATGCTATAGCCGAAAATTATAAGTTTTGAGAAGATTGAATATAACACAAATAAATTTGAATGTAAGTTAAATTGCTTGTTGTTTTTAATAGGCATTTAATGAGAAATCCAATATTGCAAAATTCAAATTGAATGATTGAAAGAACAGAAAAAGTCATTCTTTTCAATTTCGAATATGTTTCATTGTATTTATAATTATATGGCAAATAAGATATTTAAACTTGATTTTTGAAGGAAAATTCACAAAATTGAATAAATTCAAATAATTTTTATTCAAAAATAAACTACTTATTTGAGTTTAATACTAATTATCTATTCAAACTACAAAGTTTGTAATTTAAAATATTTTGTGAGATCAGATTGAATTAATTCAAGGTTCTTTTCAATTAATATTAATGACCATATTACGCATTTTCGAACATTCTAAACCAAATATATAAAAATGGGAGACGAATGTTAAATTTGCTAGACATGGGGGAGTTGTCTGCAAAGTTTTAGCTCTTATCTCTAACAAAAAATTAATTTTTAAAAAAAAGACCGAATACGTTTCACAGCGAGAAAAAAATAAAAGGCAAGATAGAATTTTCTAGACATAAAGAAGTTGTTTACCGAGTTTTAGCTCTTATCTCTAACAAAAAATTAATTTTTAAAAAAAAGACCGAATACGTTTCACAGCGAGAAAAAAATAAAAGGCAAGATAGAATTTTCTAGACATAAAGAAGTTGTTTACCGAGTTTTAGCTCTTATCTCTAACAAAAAATTAATTTTTAAAAAAAAGACCGAATACGTTTCACAGCGAGAAAAAAATAAAAGGCAAGATAGAATTTTCTAGACATAAAGAAGTTGTTTACCGAGTTTTAGCTCTTATCTCTAACAAAAAATTAATTTTTAAAAAAAAGACCGAATACGTTTCACAGCGAGAAAAAAATAAAAGGCAAGATAGAATTTTCTAGACATAAAGAAGTTGTTTACCGAGTTTTAGCTCTTATCTCTAACAAAAAATTAATTTTTAAAAAAAAGACCGAATACGTTTCACAGCGAGAAAAAAATAAAAGGCAAGATAGAATTTTCTAGACATAAAGAAGTTGTTTACCGAGTTTTAGCTCTTATCTCTAACAAAAAATTAATTTTTAAAAAAAAGACCGAATACGTTTCACAGCGAGAAAAAAATAAAAGGCAAGATAGAATTTTCTAGACATAAAGAAGTTGTTTACCGAGTTTTAGCTCTTATCTCTAACAAAAAATTAATTTTTAAAAAAAAGACCGAATACGTTTCACAGCGAGAAAAAAATAAAAGGCAAGATAGAATTTTCTAGACATAAAGAAGTTGTTTACCGAGTTTTAGCTCTTATCTCTAACAAAAAATTAATTTTTAAAAAAAAGACCGAATACGTTTCACAGCGAGAAAAAAATAAAAGGCAAGATAGAATTTCTAGACATAAAGAAGTTGTTTACCGAGTTTTAGCTCTTATCTCTAACAAAAAATTAATTTTTAAAAAAAAGACCGAATACTTTCACAGCGAGAAAAAAATAAAAGGCAAGATAGAATTTTCTAGACATAAAGAAGTTGTTTACCGAGTTTTAGCTCTTATCTCTAACAAAAAATTAATTTTTAAAAAAAATGACCGAATACGTTTCACAGCGAGAAAAAAATAAAAGGCAAGATAGAATTTTCTAGACATAAAGAAGTTGTTTACCGAGTTTTAGCTCTTATCTCTAACAAAAAATTAATTTTTAAAAAAAAGACCGAATACGTTTCACAGCGAGAAAAAAATAAAAGGCAAGATAGAATTTTCTAGACATAAAGAAGTTGTTTACCGAGTTTTAGCTCTTATCTCAAACAAAAAATTAATTTTTAAAAAAAGACCGAATACGTTTCACAGCGAGAAAAAAATAAAAGGCAAGATAGAATTTTCTAGACATAAAGAAGTTGTTTACCGAGTTTTAGCTCTTATCTCTAACAAAAAATTAATTTTTAAAAAAAAGACCGAATACGTTTCACAGCGAGAAAAAAATAAAAGGCAAGATAGAATTTTCTAGACATAAAGAAGTTGTCTACCAAGTGTCTGCTGTTACTTCTTCTCAATACTGATATAAAATAAAAATCTTTATTATTTATTTAACCTTTATTGTTTCATTAAACTTCATTTATTTTATATTATAGTTTTATTCTTTTAGCTACTTGTAAAATAATCTAATTTTATATCATCATTTTACCGGATTATTCTTCAGTACATCGATTGTGTATCTAAAATAATATCATTATCCTTATTCTGTTTTTTCCAAAATTCTTTTAAATATCTTTTTTGGTTAGATTACTTTATACTTTTTACTTTTATTTTTTAATTTCAAAAAAAAATTTGGTGATTGTTCTATTCTGTTACAATGTGCATTATCATATTCTAATGAATTATTCATTACATACATTTAAAAAAACTTGTTAAAAATGAAATTAAAAAATTATGTTTATTATTACGCTGTGAATGTGTCAACAGCGGTCATGCCTGTATCTGTATCCCATATTTGCCACAACCTTTCTGTATCTGCATTTGTGTATTTCGGTTTCAGCTGATACATTTGATTTGGCGTGTAATTTGTTCCAGTTAATGGATTAATTGGGAGATCTTCATGCGGTGTGTTATTATTGTACTCCCAAATAAAGGCAGGAATAGCCTGAATGCTTTGGCAGCGCTCCAATGTCGGCCAGAATCTCTCAATCTTCCCATTTTGGTAGGGAGAATGAGAGTCTGTATGCCGCCATTGGACGCCCCAAAGATCAAGTAGATCTTGAAAGGCGCCCCTATTTTCTGAACCGTTGTCGGTCCAGAAACAATAAGGGGCGCCAAATTCAATGAAGGCGGAAGCCGCAACGTTCGCTGTCGTCGCTGCCAGCATATCTGGTATTTGTATACACGCTAGGACTTTGCGGCTAAAATTGTCGATTATGCCATAAATATACTGGCCACGAACACCCCTAAAATAATGAACATCTGCGTGCCAGATAAGATTGGGTGAAAGCGCCCAATATCTTACTGCTGTTTCTGGCCCGGCATGCTCTAATCGCGTCTTGGTGAAATGATTTTCTTTGAAGTATCTGCGTACTTCTCTATAAGATACATCAATTTGTTGTAATTTCAAACGTTTCCATTGTTTTGTTTGACCACAGGGAAAGGCCCAGTGGTCATGTATCACAGCAAGAGCTTTGATTTGGTCGTAGGGATTGACCCTACGACCTTTCTTGCCTTTAGGCAATGGGATATTCTGTAAGCTAAATTGATTTTGTAAAAAAGATTTTGAAACATCTAAATATTTGAAATCATTTGATTGAAGGGTTGGGGCGATGGGAACATGGGTGCAAGCTTCTTCCCATGTCATTTTACCTTTTTCAATCTGATTGGAAATACCAATTAGGTAAATTCGATCGACATACCCTTTGTAAGGATTCATTCTAATGAAGTACGTTAACAATCAAAATATTCTATAAGTGTGTAGTATGGAATTCAAAAGAATAAAGAAAATGGTAACGTAAATAAACGTATTATGAAAAAATTTATAATTAAAATGAAAAAAATAAAAAAAAAATAAGTAAAGTGACTGGAAATGAAAATTAAAATCAGTGTAAAGTTTTATTTTTTTCTCGCTGTGAAACGTATTCGGTCTTTTTTTTAAAAATTAATTTTTTGTTAGAGATAAGAGCTAAAACTCGGTAAACAACTTCTTTATGTCTAGAAAATTCTATCTTGCCTTTTATTTTTTTCTCGCTGTGAAACGTATTCGGTCTTTTTTTTAAAAATTAATTTTTTGTTAGAGATAAGAGCTAAAACTCGGTAAACAACTTCTTTATGTCTAGAAAATTCTATCTTGCCTTTTATTTTTTTCTCGCTGTGAAACGTATTCGGTCTTTTTTTTAAAAATTAATTTTTTGTTAGAGATAAGAGCTAAAACTCGGTAAACAACTTCTTTATGTCTAGAAAATTCTATCTTGCCTTTTATTTTTTTCTCGCTGTGAAACGTATTCGGTCATTTTTTTAAAAATTAATTTTTTGTTAGAGATAAGAGCTAAAACTTTGCAGACAACTCCCCCATGTCTAGCAAATTTAACATTCGTCTCCCATTTTTATATATTTGGTTTAGAATGTTCGAAAATGCGTAATATGGTCATTAATATTAATTGAAAAGAACTTGAATTAATTCAATCTGATCTCACAAAATATTTTAAATTACAAACTTTGTAGTTTGAATAGATAATTAGTATTAAACTCAAATAAGTAGTTTATTTTTGAATAAAATTATTTGAATTTATTCAATTTTGTGAATTTTCCTTCAAAAATCAAGTTTAAATATCTTATTTGCCGTATAATTATAAATACAATGAAACATATTCGAAATTGAAAAGAATGACTTTTTCTGTTCTTTCAATCATTCAATTTGAATTTTGCAATATTGGATTTCTCATTAAATGCCTATTAAAAACAACAAGCAATTTAACTTACATTCAAATTTATTTGTGTTATATTCAATCTTCTCAAAACTTATAATTTTCGGCTATAGCATGATTATATGCTATATAATATAATAAACCTATAATAGTATCATTCTTTCAATTATTTGAAGAGAAAACCGAAAAAATCTATTTTCGGTCTATAACAATTCTGAAATTTGAAAAAGATTGTTACATTCGTAAAGATGGGAAAAATCAGGACTTCGTTCGGGCGCGTTAAATTTAAATCGATTAAAGAAGCAATTAGAGATGCCGGCTATACCCTCGATGAAACCGACAAACAAGCTGTGCTCATATGGCATGATTCTTTGAAAGATCTTGATTATTTCAGGAATTTAAAACCATGGCAGGTAGTTAACCGTATACCGAGCGCTAATGTTCTATGTAGAAAGGTCCCTTTTGCGCGTATTATCCAAAAAATCTCACAATTTTTCCCGAATGAATACTCTTTCTTTCCAAAATCTTATATATTACCTTTTAAAAACACCGATTTCTTAAAATCACTCAAGAAAAAGAAGTACAGGTATATTATTAAGCCAGACAGTGGCTCCCTAGGCCTTGGAATCAAAATTATAAATTCTGGTGGTCAATATTCTCCAGATGGCGAACTTGCTGTGGCACAACGTTATATTCCTTCATTACTTTTAGACAAAACAAAATTCGATTTAAGAATTTATGTTTTAGTCGCGTCGATCTCTCCGTTGGAGATCTACGTTTATCGTGATGGATTAGCCAGGTTTTGCACAGAGAAATCTGAAGGAAAAAACACAATCTTCTCACAAATTACAAATGTTACTCTTAATAAAAGTAACACAACAATGGACCATATTGCTGATGTCAGTCGTCTTATTTCAGATATTTTCCCTCGTTTGGAAGCAATGGGAATCAATATCGAACAACTTTGGAAAAAAATTGATGAAGTAATTGTTCTTTCCATCATTGCAGCTCATAGATTTTTAGTTAACAGTGAACAGTGGCAATGCCCGAGATTGATTTACGGCCGATGCTTCCAAATTTTCGGGTTCGACATTTTATTAGATGAAAATGCGAACCCTCACGTACTGGAAATCAACTACCGACCTTCTCTTGACTATTACAGAGGTCCAGAGAGGAGAATGAAGGTCTCCATGATATCAGATGCCGTAAGAATCGCATGTCCATATTCATTTGTTCAACAAGCAATCGACAGTCGCGGCTGGGGATGGAACATTGATGAATGGACAGTATGGGCGATGACTGCGAATATTTCTCAGGAAGCACAGCTCGAAAAAGAAAGAGCTTACAGTAATTCTAATTTTCAAAGAGTCTATCCGGTCGAGGGACCACAAATGTCTCTTTACGATCGCGTTATGAAGAAAGCTGATTCAATGCCAATGGACTTTCTCCCTGGAATTAAGTTACCCCTTAATGTTGTCCGTGGAGGGGAAGCTTAACTTGTTTGTAAATTGCGTGGAGTAGGGGTAATTTTAGCTAAAAGTGACATGCTTGTAAAAAGTGACACACCTGTGAAGGGTGTGATTACCGATCGGTAATTTCGACAGTTTAGAATTTAAAATTTTTTATGGAACTGTTGCGAGTTTCATAAAGAATTTAAGGAATATAAGCAAAGATTTGAATCAAAATCTTAGACCTAAGCCGCTCGATTCGCTCGCGGCTTCCGCGAATTACAGATCAGCAAAGATTTGAATCAAAATCTTCGAACTAAGCCGATCGCTTCGCTCGCGGCTTTCTTTATTATTTTAAATTTGCATATTTCCATCAAAAGTTCATAAGGTAAAAAATTTCGTTTATTTTTACTAAGAAAAAAAAGGTTTTTGATAATAAATTTATTTTATTTCGAAAAAGTAGCAATAATCGTAAAAGGGTATTGATAGGCTTGCTAAAGTAACTAATTTTAGCTGTCAAATACTTTTGTATTTTGAAGTAAATTAGTATAAATTTGTTTTTACTTTTATTTCGAAAAAGTAACAATAATCGTAAAAGGGTATTGATAGGCTTGCTAAAGTAACTAATTTTAGCTGTCAAATACTTTTGTATTTTGAAGTAAATTAGTATAAATTTGATATTATTTTAACTCCCTTTGAAAACCTCAATTTTCCATACAGAGGGAACGGGAATAGCATCCAATATTCCCTGAGAATGGTTGCGCATTCTCAGTTCCCTCTATATTTCGAACGAAGCTCTCATCGGTCTTTTTTTTAATACTAAACGTTTTTTTCCCTGTCACTTTTAGCTAAAATTTGGGTTTGCCAAATTGCGTGTTTGTTTAAAAGTTTGTATTTTATTAATTATTTTTTAATAACTTTTTAAAATTTTAAAGATTATTTCTAAATTAGTAATTTTAATAATCAGACAAAAAGATATAATTTGGAACTAAAATTTGTATATTTAGATTCAGCGTAGTATAAGCATTACAAACATATACAGCAATCATGTGGTACTACAGCCTTAAGAACCTCGGCTGTTTCTTTACTATTATGTTTTAATTCAAAACGAAGAGCTGTTTCTTCATATGTATCTTTTTCATTGATATATGCACCATGTGAAATAAGAAGTTCAATCGTTTCTTTACTAGTATTCAATGCTACTTTACGAAGAGCAGTTTCTCCATTTTTATCTTTTTCATTGATATTTACACCATGTGAAATAAGAAGTTCGACGATTTCTTTACTATTATATTCTGCTGCAATATGAAGAGCAGTTTTTCCATCTTTATCTTTTTCGTTGATATTTATACCATGTGAAATAAGAAGTTCTGCTATTTCTTTACTATTATGCAATGCTGCAATATGAAGAGCAGTTTTTCCATCTGAAAGTTTCTTATTGATATTTACACCTAATGAAAGGAAATATTCGCAAAGGGATGGAATATTGAACATCGGTGAAAAAACCAAGCAGCTGACTAAAAGATTAGTTTGATCATAAAAAACTAAAAATGAATCAAGATTATTATATTTTCCGCAAGCAGATAAGTCGATACTTATGATGTGCTCATTCACTAAGAATGTTACAAAATCAATGTTATGTGAAATAATTGCATATTTCATGCATTCTTGATCTGGTTTTTGTTGTTTCAAACATTCGCTCATTATCTCTTGATTTCTTCCCAAAAATGAAAATGTTAGACATCTTTTTGTTATTTCTGAGTTAAATTTAGTTCTTAAGAACTTGAAACAATCAACTGCTCCATAGTAGCAACATAATTCAAGTAATGATAATTCATAATAAGAACATGGAGCGAGCAATATAAATCTTTCTTCAGAATATGGATATAAACTACTTTTAAGTTTTTGATTTTCAGCAAATGCTTCTCTTTCAGTGAATGCAATGAATACTTCTAAGTCATTATTCATAATTGCTCTGTAAATTGTATTTTCTTTAAGAATGTCGAGATTTTCTGATTTAAATTTGTTGAAATTAGCAGACTTGTCTAATTTAATGCTATACTCTTTGTAAAACAAAAAGTTTGAAACAAGTTCAACATTACTGACATCTTTGATTTGATAATCATCTGATATGAGTTTGGCAAGATATAAATATGACTTTGTACAGCGATTATTATACGGGATGATATCCAAAATATCTTTTATTATAATTTGGGGAAGACGCTTCTTTGAATCAATCAAATTCATTTTGATCATTTTGTAAATCGAGTTTAAATCTTCTTCTTTTTCCGTTTTCAGCTGATACAAAGCATCGTATGAATCAATGTAGTATTTGTAGATACTTCGCAGTTTACTGTATTTGTTCGGATTACTGTCTTGATCAGACATTAAAAAAATTTAAGAAGTAAAATATTACGAAAGAGATCAATTAAAATGCAGTACACTATTTTCTTGCGGTATAATTGCTTTTCAGAGTCAAAAGATCCGAAATAATCAGATCAATTTTATGAAATTTTTGCCCATTTGTATGAGAGAAAATGAAAGGGGGGACTTATTTTTTAGACCAAAGAAGTGGCACCTGAGTATATTGTTTCTGCTTTATCTGATCATTGAAACGGAATTCATCCACGTTATTAGTATGAAAAAATCTTATTACCCAGATTTTCCTTACTTTTACCACTCCCCATGTAATTTCTGGGGAAAACGATAATTCATTTTTTTATGGATGAATAGATCGTTTTCCTAGAAAGGACCTCATATCTCTGGCTAAAAAGAGTGTCAGATCCTAAATAGGTTATTGATCTAGTGTACAAATCCAATAAAAAGCCTATTTTTTTGGCTTTTTTGGTGCTCATTTTTTCGAAGATCTACATGAATATGGGGAAACCATCGGATTTTTTTGGTTAACCCACATCTTCATGTAGTCTGGACTATCTTTCCTCGAAGGACCTCTTTACGGGTGTAAAAACTCATAAAGTTCTCAAAAGATTCATTCTCGATCTCCATGCTGAAAGAATTTACAATAAAAAAGAGATCTACGCATCAAACTACAGCCATAAATGAACTGAACCCCTAAAGCTCAGCTCTTAGTTTATCAAAAACGTCGAAATCCTTCTCATTGCAATCAAATTTTCTCAATAACTCATAAGAAAAATCGAATTTTGATTAAGCCGATGTTATAGGTATCACAAATACTACAAACTTGAGCAATATCGAAATTGCCAGCAAAAGTTTGAAATTGCATTGCTCATATTTGTTTTGTAAACTAAAAATCTGCTTATATTATTCATTAATTTTTTATATATTATTCATATACTTTAATAAAAACAATACTATTTCACCTTAAAAATGAATTTCATAAGTCAATATTATTTTTTTGAAAATGTATCAATTTTCGATTAAAACAACATGAGAATAAAATTTACGCAAAATTATTTTAAAAAATGGTTTTAAAAATTTACAATAGATGAAGAATAAGATTGCAAGAAGTTTTGAAGTTTAATTTTAAGAAAAAAAATTCGGATATTATTCATGGATCTAAGTAATCTGATATTTGAGTATCGGCACTATGCATAAAACATATATTTATAGTTTTTTTGGAGTTTTATGATTTTAAATATATTCAAATTTGGCAATCCAATAGATTTTTAAAAAATAGGTAAATAAAAATAGATTACATATGCAGCAGATTTAGAACATGAAACAAATCTTATAGTGACCCAAAAAAAAATTCATGATCCAAAAAAGAAAAAATTTGGCTAAATGGGAATCAAACCTTGGCATAATGAATCATTATGTCGCATGTTTCCACTACACCGGCAGTTCGAAAAATACCCTTGGTGGTTCTATTTAATAGCTACTCCCAACGATAGGCGGTGTCCCCAGCTTTAGAGAGGTGGTAAAAGTAAGGAAAATCTGGGTAGATAAATTTCATTTTGTAAGAAAAAAAAACAAGATTTTTGTTTGCCAATCACTCCAAATCAATTGATTCTACGAGTCTAGATCAAGGATCATACACAATTAATAATAATATTGTTTGTTTTCAAAAAAGAACTTTTAATGGGCCAAAAATTGAAAATTTTTAATTTCTCTGGTTTAAAGCCAGAATTTGGCCCATTAAAAGTGAAACTACTATGGTGTGTAAAAATGTCAAAGTTTCCCCTCTATATTTTTATTCGAAGAAAAACCTAAATGATTGTAATTTGAATGAAACTATTTTATTTTCCTCAAATGCCCTCAATGTACTTCTTGTTAAGACCTGTGTCGCTGTCAACTGTGTATCGTTCAACTGGAATCATCTTTCGGATTGGACGTTTTCCGAATTTCTGGAGATGATCGATTTCGTCCAAGACATGCTTGGATTCGTTGTCTGATGATTGAACAGGAACTTCAACGGCAACAAGCTGCTTCTCGTTAACAATATCTTCTTTGCCTATCTGTGAATTGAACTTCTTACGAGGAAAAACAATGACTTTCTGAACAATTCGTTTTTTGGCTAGTTACTTGCCGGTGAAAGATGAAATCTTTTCGCTAGCTTCTTCGTTCTTTTGTTGTTCGATAGCAGCTTCGTCATTTGATGCATTACTTTCGTGTGGAACTTTGGCAGCAACTAACTGTTTCTCTTCAACAACATCTTCTTTACCTGTTGATGGATTAAACTTCTTTTTAACAACAGTTATGAATTTGTGGACAACATGACGTCCTTTCATGCGTGGGAATCGCTTCTCTTCTTCAGTTGAAATCTTCTTGACTGGATTCATACGTTTCTTAACAACTGTGACGTATTTATGGACAATACCCCTTTTCGCGGCGTTTACGGGCCATTGTTCATCTGTTTCACCGTTCTGCATTGCATGTTTGTCTTCTAAATACTCCTTATGTTTATTCTTGTTAACAACTGTGATGAAACTGTGAACAATTTGCTTCTTAGAATTCTTCTTACGAAGGATCTTATTGCCTTAATTAGCGGTCAACGCATGAAATGATTTCATCACCAGTTTGCTTCGCTTCATGAAGTTCTTTCTCTTTTTGCTTCTTTTCAATCATTTCCGCAATTTCTTCGAGCAGTTCCAAATTTTGATGACGATTTCATTTTCTTTAATTCATCATCATCAGCATCATTATTTTATTAAGCATTTCCATCTTTAGCTGATTTCTTTTTATGAAGTTTCGATTTTTTGGTATCTTTAGAATTATTTTACGACGAAACTCCATCTATATCTGTAGTTGTTTTACGACGTGATTTCTTCGGCTTTAGTGGTGAATCTTTCGTTGAATTTCTGCAACCTGAAGTCTTTTTTTTGAGGAGTCAAGTCATCTTCTGCGTCAGCTTCTGTTTTTCTTATGGAATATGACAAAGTATGATGGAATACTTTTATTTCCTATATGTTTGAAAAAAATATCCTTTGGCATAATTTTTTTGAGATCCTTTGGATAAAAGATAATCAAGGTATTTAATCATTATGTTCTGTAAAGAAATTACCTGCTTTAGGGTAATCATTGATATGTATCTCCTTGTATTCAAAATTCTGAGTGTTTCCTCGGTTCATGGCTTTTTTTAGATTACGTCTCACATCATCACATCAACTTGAGGTACTTTTATTATGCAAAGATATATCTTTGTAAAATGAGTCTATTTTTTGGTCAAATTTATTAGTGAATTATGAATGATTATAAAGAAAAAAAGGAAGACAGCCAAACTAACTCATTAGCAAGTATTAGCAATGTATGTGATGAGGAAGACGAAATTTTTGCAAAAATTTCGAATGTTGCCAATAAAATCCAAGAGATTGCTAATTTGCAAACACAACTAGAGGAAAATTCCGATAACCAATCATTTTGTGAGAAAATTCATAACGAATTAATGTATATTTCTTCAATATTGAAGGGTTTATGGGAAGATTTACAATCAATTTTCTCAAAAGATCTTATTACTAGCTATAATGAAGAGAAAAAGTTAGAGCTAGCCCAATTTCTAATAGATTTAATACTAAATTCTGACTCTGAGAATAGATTGAATGCATTAATTTGTATTTCATGCCTGCTTCAACAAAAATCAACTTTTGCAAAAATATTTATTGATCTAAATATCGTTGATGGGTATATCCATTTCATTTCCAATGAAGATATTTCATCACAAGAATTTTCCATTTTATTGCATTCATTAGCAGTTTTGATATCATTTTCTAAGAAAATATACACAGATTTTATTGTAGGAAATCTCCCAATAACATATTTTCATGAAAGAACTTTAGATTTTACAGATGAGATATCATTTAAGAGCTTGGTTTATTATTCATCAGTTATATCATCATACGAGACAGATCCATCTCAAATTCTAGAAATATTAGATATATTTTCTACTGCAATTCGATTGAATATTACAGAAACATTCGGAGACATCATTTCTCACTTGCCGCAAATGATTAGGACATGGCCAGATAATTTAGATTTGAATATATTAATGGATTATAACATATATTTTTTAATTTCAGTGATAATAGACGGAAATCTCAATATTCCAAACATTAGTTCACAAATACTATATGCATTGGATTCAGTTTATTATTTGCTATCAAGAGATATTATTCCTGAGTTTGATTGGCTAGAAATTAAAGATTTTATTTACAATATCAATCAAGACCATAGAAGGTCAGCTTTGAATGTTCTTTGGATGTTATGCACTAAAAGTCCAAAAATAGTATTAGATATAATTCCTGTGGAAGAATTTCCAGAAATTTTTCAAATCCTATCAAATGATTGCCCATCATTGACCAAAAGTGTTTTTTCTCTGTTTGTATATAACTATTTATTAATAATATCTCCTCAGCAAATCGCTAATTTAGTTCTTGAAATTGAAGACTTTCTTTCTTTTTTTGTAGACTCATTAGGATCAAAGAATGAAATAATATCTATACTAAACATCATAATGATGGTGCTCGAATCATATGATTCGCTTCCAATCGATCAAAGAGCAGCATTTTTAGATATTGTTAGATCATGTGATAACTGGGATGAATTGGAAGAACTGTTAGAGAGTGAAACCGAAATGGTTGCTCAACTTGCACAAAATCTTAATTCTAAATTCCATGAATTTATTGATTGATTACTCATTGGCTTATTTCAATGGATTTCAATTAATTTTACATAGGTAGTATTAGTAATCATCAAAACAAAGATATCGTTTTAACGACCAAAAATTTTGAAATGTTTATGGATTTAATATATTGTTTTTAATAAAATATATGATTGTAATCTAATAAGGTATATTTTTCGACTGAACGTATTATTTGTAAAGTAACGATTTCCCATTTCGATGAGTCAAAGCGTTATTCAGAATTATGAATACACAGCTTCTCATATCAGTGATTACATTATAGAAGGTAATTTCTTTGATATATTTGAGATCAAAGACATCAAAAAGATCATGAAAATTTCAAATTTAACAGCGAACGACTTCACCGATCTTCTTCAACAGTCACATCATACTATCAAAACAAATGAATTATATGCCTGTACTCGAAATTCTAATATTCACATTCAAAACATGGAAGATGTTATTTCAACACTGAAATCAATGAAAGAATACATGAAACTCAGAATCCTTGGTGGTATTATTGACTTTTTAGATCACAAAGCGAACGAAATTCTTGAATCTACAGCGAGAATTCAAAAACTTCAAACAGAACTTAACGAAATCCAAAAACAAAAACAAAAAAGTGACAACAACGTAAAATCACTTCAATTTCAACTCAATCAAATTAATGAAGAAAACACTACATTAAAGAGAAAGCTTTCTGAAAGAGAAAGTAACACAAATCAAAATGAAGGAATCAATGCTGATAAAGAAATTCTATCAAAAATTTCAAAACTCAAGGAATCAGATGGTTTCCAAAGTATTTACAAATTTATTGATGAGCTTTCATCTCAAGAAAATCAAAAAATGATTTCAAAAGCATGTGAAGAAGGACTTTGGGAAAGGAAAACTCCTAAATCTCAATGGTCTGATGAAAAGAATGTACTTCATGTAGCAAGTGAAAAAGGAAATTTCAAACTTGTTAAATCACTGATTGAGTGTGGCTGTGATAAAGAATCAAAGAGTAAATCTGGATATACTCCACTCATTTATGCATCACAAAATGGTAAACTTGAAGTTGTTCAATATCTTATCTCTGTTGGAGCTGACAAAGAAGCAAAAGATAATGAAGGAAATACTTCACTCATGAAAGCATCAGAAAAAGGCCACTTTGAGATTATTAAATATCTTATCTCTGTTGGAGCTGATAAAGACGCAAAGAGTAAATATGAATCTACTCCACTCATGAAAGCATCAATGAATGGTCATCTTGAAGTTGTGAAATATCTTATCTCTGTTGGAGCTGACAAAGAAGCAAAGAGTAAATCTGGATATACTCCACTCATTTATGCATCACAAAATGGTAAACTTGAAGTTGTTCAATATCTTATCTCTGTTGGAGCTGACAAAGAAGCAAAGAATAATAGTGGATATACTCCACTCATTTATGCATCACAAAATGGTAAACTTGAAGTTGTTCAATATCTTATCTCTGTTGGAGCTAACAAAGAAACAAAGAACAACGAAGGAAAAACTGCATTCGATAAAGCAAAAAGTAATGCAAGAAATTATTTACTACTATGCAATTCCATTAATATGAATAAAGAAACGGCCATTTAAACACAATCAATAGTTTTTGAATAGGAAAAGTAAGATCGCCCCTACCATTTTGGTTGTATTTTTTAAAAAAATAATAATTAAGGGTGCACTTACCACTTTCTGACATTCGCTCAATTTTTTTTGACAATCTTGCTTTCTTTACAAATTTTCTAATGTAAAACATAAATAATTTTGTTCGGGTAAAAGTTATTTTAAATCACTACCTAGTACCTTACATTAATGTTATACATTTTTGCTATTACAATAAAGATACCTTGATATTATACGAGCATGTCAGACAGTGGTAACTACACCCTTAAACAATTTTTTGCTTTTTCCTACAAGTGCAAAAAATGTGCAATTCCAATTATTCTACAATCCCTCGAAATACGTGTCGAAGACGTGATAAAGCCGTCGAAATACGATAGAATTACTATAATTACAAATTTCAAATAAAATAAGGCACGATTGTAAAAAAAAAAGTCTCGAAAATTGCAAATGCAAGTGGAAGCCCTACCTGCAGATAATTTTGAGATACGAAAAAAAATGGGATTAATTTGGATATCAACTCGCATGGTTTTTCCCAAGAATTAATAAAAGAATGCTACAATTACGAAGCAGAATTTACAATTCTATCTTTATATTAAGTATTATTGTTATTTTGAAGATAATTTTGGTAATTCATGTTTAATTTACTTTCCTTCCTTTGTTTTGTGAATGTTTGGAGAAAATATAATATGTGATCATATAATTGTTGTCTCCGACAGCAAACTCCACTATATAAGCTAATTAGAACTTACTAAATATATATTTGTAAATATTGGTCACTGATTATTACTACTAAAAGTTGGACTACATCTAAGTAAATTTTAAATTTTGAATGCATTTCTTACGGCTTTATTGTTCAAATATTAATGAACTCATATAAAGGAATAATAATATCATGAATTAAAATTAGATTTACCAAATGTGATAAAGGTATGGAAATTTTAGACAACATAGTTTACAATCGAATAGTATATCATTATTCCATCATTTATTAAAACTTCGACAGGTTTGTCGAGCATTCGACGGCTTTATCATAACAGCGACACCTTTTTCTTGGGAGTGCAAGATTTAACCTTCGATCTTGATAGGTTATAATTATTGGTACTATACGATCATATATGAGCTTGTATTTTTTGTGCATAGAATATCAGGAACAGCTGATAAAGCGCTTTCCACGCTAAAACTTTTCGCCACGTTAAAAAAGGTGACAGCTTTCAATGAATCCTTCTTTCAACCAAGTTTTCTCTGTTATAACGAGGGAGGGCCAGAATAGCGCAGCATCGAAATATATTTCTGAAGTTGAGAATATTAGGAATCAATTTCTGCAGAAAATGAAAGTTCGATTTCCAAATGAGATTACTCAGCAGAGATTAGTATCTGTAGTTGATAAAAATAATAAAGATCCATCATACACTAAATTTTTGGTATCAATAATTGCTTCTGTTCGTGACCAAAACATTTTAAACTATGTTCTTCAAGTTATCTTTGGTGGCGAACTAAATATCTACTCCCAAGATGTTTTTAACTATATTTCCAATTCGATATATGATAGATCTTTCAATGAACTTACTCTAGACGCTGTAAAGAACTTTCGCGCTTTATATAAGTTCATTTCCTCCAAAGACACTCAAGAATACAAAGCTATGCAAGGAAAATTACTTCTTAATCTCGTCCATTCGATCGATAATGGCTATTTTTCAGAGATAAATCTTCAAAATTTAACTTTCGCCGTAAATGAATACAAATATCACCAATATCTACAAGGTCCTCAATTCCTCTTACTCACATCAGTTCTTATTATCAAATTACTCCGATTTTTCCAAGATGTAATTTTAATTATTAATAATTCTAAATTCAGCAGAGAGCCGAAGTCCGAAACTCTCAAAATTAAGCACATTGCAGAAGATTTGTTCACTAAATTCTCAGGATTTACTGTAGATTTGTTCGCAAATCACGCAAATGAAATTATGAACTATATTCCTAAAGAAGTCACTCGTATTCTTTACGACCCGAGGTCTTATCAACGTATGCGCTTCAAATTAGAAGAAATTTACAAAATTGTCGAAAAATTACAATATAATGAAAAGAAATGCCGAACCGAGTACCAGTTCAATTACTACATCATCAGCTACAAACTCTACAAGCATCTCTTCATTTTATTTACAGATTATACAAAAAATAAAAATGATTCAACAATTTTACAAGGATTAGACGTAGAATTCTATCCAAAGTGCGAACTGTATGACATTGATCTCATTGCTTCAGACATTGCTCGTAATCTATCCCATAATTGGACATTTTCTCAAGATCCCTTCCAAATTGTTGCATTTGAGCGTCTCATACATTTAAAGCTCGATACGTTATACAGGTCTTTCGACAAATCAGATAAATCTCCTGTAGTTGTTGCAAATAATACATATGAATCGTATTTTAATGCAATTTTTACTGATATTCTCTACTGCGAGCCTGTTATTGGCACAACCATAAACGATCTGCGCCATTACTTCATGCCACTGGGCTTCTTTTTCATGAACGAACAATTACAGGCAAAATTTGCCGATATAATTGGTCAGAGACTTCTTAACGGAGATTTTCAGTCATTCAAGCGTCGCTCGCTTGGAATTCTTACACAGTTATATGAGAAGACCATGGATCCTCCCAACTCATTCAGAAACAGATTAAAAGCAATTCCTCGAAACCAAATTAACGAAAAATTACTCAGAGAATTGCTTTCCGCAAGCACAGTATTAGAAACCAGACGCATACCAGACAATATCATCAATTACAACAAGAATGGTGGCACTCTCAATTCGGCTGAAGGATTTATGGTGATGCAAACAGCGAATGAAGTCCTTCAGGCGGCCATTGAGGAGATAAAGCAAGAGAAAAAGGTATCTCCTAACAATGGAAACACCATTGTTGCTGTAATTAATGGTATTTGTGGTAGTACTGTTGAATCAATCAAAATCTTAATGGATAAGATACAGTTCGAAGCATCGTTCTACTACGCTGTGAAGTTTGATATCGCGACTCAGCCATTTCTTATCTGGATAATGAGAAATAACTTGTATGAGGAATTTAATAACAATTCTTTCATTGCAAATGAGAATCCTAAGGTTCTTGAGACTGCATTAGTTCCCATTATCAAGGAAAACATACATCCTTGGATGAGATTAGTCACAAAATGTAATTTCTTCGCAACTAATGCGAAAATTCTCGAAACTGTTTGTTTCTTTGCTTCTGTTGGTGTAGTTCAAGACATGATTGATTTAGACACAACTTTCGACGTCGTGGACTTACTAATAACGTCAGGAAAGCAGAATTGGCATCCTGATGCAAAATTCAATATTTTGTCACTTTTGCGAACACAATTTTTGACACCACCTGATTTTATTAATCATTTTTCGTTCTTTGAGCAATACTTTACCCAGATTCCCCAGTTTGCGATGACATTTTTTGAGAATCAGATCAAATTAATGGGAGTTACTGACCAGATCATGGAATTCGTCAAGAAACTACATTCTATAGGCGGAGAATGCTCTAATTGGTCTAAGAAACTGTATTCCATTCTCTCCGCAAACAGAAGAACGAATTCTTCCTCTTCCTCCTCTTCTGCAACTCCTTCCTCGATTAGCTCACCTATATTAGTACTATAAATGTTGTTTTTTTTATTTATTTATAATTTTTTTAAAGATTATTTTAATTATTTTCTCTTTTCTCAGAGATAGAACTGTTTTCGTTCAGTATAAGTATACTAATTATATATCCCAGTCAATATGGGTGCATATTACTATAGATAATTTCCTCGTTATGTTTTAAATATGAGGGTAACTATCCTAAAAGGTCGAGGACTCTTTAAAAATTGACAGGTCATCCATTTGGAACTTCAACTTGATAATTTTAGTTAAATGATTGTGAATTCATATATGAAATGTACTATAGATCTTTTAAGATGGCAACAAAGAAGATCATGAACTATCTCATAAATAAAGCTTTATATTTTTCTGGTTAAACATTATATGCATCATTATCTTTATTTCTGAAATAGAGGATGAAGAAAGGTTTAAATAACGTTAACTTTATTAAGGGTGCGCGGGAGACGATAAGTCACCCTCAGAAAAGCACCTTTAAGGTTAATATATTGGATGCTTCTAAACTTTCCATTCCACACATTGCAATATGATTAAGGTTAATTTTGAGTAGTTTACTTATCATCGCCTGGGCACCCTTAAACTTTAATGGAATGGCAATCCGAGTATAATTCGATATGAGGGAATTATAATAAAAGGATTGTGACCTTAATTTCTTGTTATTCATGTAAGAAATATATGTCATCAAGAAAAATATAACTAAAATACTACAAAATTTAAAGTTTTCAAAAACAAAAATATATAAAAATATTATCATTCTGACTTTCCAAGAAGTCTTTCTCTTACAGAAACATTTCGGTGCATTAACAATGAAGCCATTAACTTATTATCTGTTAGATAATAGTATCTAAGCATTGCATCATAATAAAAATCGTGATTTCTATTTTTCATGATTTCTTTGTATTTTTCTAAAGCCATTTCTCGATACTGTTCTTTTGTATATTCATCATTTTGGCTTTCTACTTTATCAGATCTATTTGCATTTTCTTCATTTCCACAACCATTTTCTTCATTTCCACAACCGTTTTCTTCATTTCCACAACCGTTTTCGTCAATTCCACAACCGTTTTCATCATTTCCACAACCGTTTTCATCTACTTTTTCTTCATTTCCACAACAGTTTTCGTCAATTTCTTCTTCATAATTTCCATTTTCTTCTTCATTATTTCCATTTTGCTCTTCATAATTTAGATTTGATAAATAATCGTAGAAGAAGGCTTGCAAGAAGTCTTTTAGATATAATTTCTGCAAGTCGTTTTGATATGTAATTTTCAAAATCGGGTAATCATCTGGATGCAGATCTTCAGAAGTTTGTTTTTTAGGACAGAAAAATGTAGGAATACCAGATAAATCATTAGAGTCTACAAAAAATTCTATATCAGCTAAATTAATCTCTATATCAAGAATACCTATCAATGCTTCAAATCGATCTCTGTCTTCATTTATTCCGAACCAAAGCGAGTGAAACCCTTTGAGGGCACTTGTAACAACATTTTTTTCGTCATCTTCTTCCTCATCAGTATATAAATCCATTATTTGGTCATGAGAAATACGTCGATTTGTTTTGTTGAAATTTTCATGAGCAAGTGTCATTACATAATTATATCGGTCCTGGTACTGTTCAAAGACTTTACATTGGTTCAAAATATCAATATCTGTTGGTCTGTTATTAGGATCCTTATCCAAACATTGTTTAATGATATCTCCTAATTCATCACCTTCTGTAAAATATTCCGCAGCTTTGTTATGAAGCTGTTTTATGTCAAATGATTCAATATTAAATTTTTCCCCATTTTTTAAAATTGATTCCGCTTCTAAAAGGATTTTTCCGAGTTCAAAGATATCTACTTTATAATTGTAATCTGCACTGCTTAGTTCTGGTGCGGATGTTGAACCACTGATAGCTGTCTTCTTATCAGAGTTGTCTACTCGTACGTATTGAAAATCGTCAATAATATAAAGATCTTTATTGTTGATTTTGGCTCTGCATATAGTATCGAACGGTATGTGACGGAAAATGAAGCCTCTTTTATGCATAAGAAACAGATAATACGTAAGATCGAAAAGTAAATCCCACAAATTAATATCTTCGGGATTTTCTAGCTTTTGACAGACAAATTTCTTACGAACTATTAGTAATACGAAATTTCCATTTTCTTTTTTGTTCTCGAAGTCAGAGATTTGATAAAATTCTATGCTTTTTTTATTGAAAAATGGATCATTTAGTCTGAAAATGCCCCAGCATGTTACATCCCAATGATTAAATTCACCAAGATTCGCTGAACTAACTTCTAAGATTTCAAATATTCGTTTTAATTTTCGATCTTCGCTTTTTTCAAAACAAAAGGATTTGCCTTGTAAATTTACATCGTCCATTGCTTTAGTTAAATCATCAATTGCTGTTTTATTGTTAATGGGCTCCAAATCTGCTAAACTTGCCATTCAATGGATAATTTATTATAATTTTTGGGTCTACAAATAATTAAAAAAGGGGAGATTTATTAAATATTTTTTTTATGGAGACAATTACTATTCCATACGGGAAAAAGGTAAAAGTTACAGTTCCATCAGACAGTGAAACAACTCTTACTATTAATGGCGCTGCTATTTCTGTTGAAAAAGAGATTCCTACATCCGGGCGAGTTGTTATTTATTTATCATCCATCCAAAATGGTAAAGCAGGACCAGAAATTGCTATTGCTCCACTTACAATCGGAAAAGCTGAAACCTGCAAATTAGATTACATATTCGAACCAACAAACCAATTTATTCTATCTACAAAAGGAGATAAAATTGATGTAGTAGTTCATACTTATCTCATGAACTTCGAAAAACCTGAAATAGAGATTTTAGAATAAAAATATTTGCTATGTACTTTAATTAATTCCAATTATCAGAATAATTACAAGAAGAAAGTGCGATTATATTATAAATTTTACATTAAAATACCAAATTAGAAATGTATTTTGCATGAATTTCCATAAAAACGTTTGAATTTGCTTACAAACTCAAGCTTATTATGCATTGTTCATATTGACTAATATCTTTAATGAGATTAAAATTTTTATTATTTTATTTTCATTAAATCAATTGATTTCAAATAAACAAACATATCTTTATACAAATCATAACAAAAATATTATAAACAAATAAAAATATTAAAACAAATTAATTAGATATTTTTCTGATACTCTTTGTTGGGCTATTTGAGAGATCATCAACCATTTTCTTGATTGAGAACTCATTGTCTAAATCTTCCCATATTGTTGGTTTTGGAGGAAATTGCTGGAATTCGGGGAATTTCCATTTTTTCTTATTTTTTTGTTTCTCTTCATCAGAAGAATAAGAAATCGAATCACTTGAAATCAGCGAAATCGGTTTGATGTCTTTTAATGGAGATTTATGTGCAGACATAAAACTACTGTTTTGCTGTTTATGATTAGATCTGCTCACATAAACAGGAACGTATTCATCGAGCAAAGAATCACAAGCATCTTCCATTAACTCGTCATGATTCTTTCCAACAAATTCTTGCTTGTTTTCTTCTTCAGGAACTTTCTTTCTTTTTATTCTCTTCTTCTTTTGTTGGCTGAGATTTGAAGATTCTTCATTCTGAATAATCTTCCTTGGAACAGAATTCATCCTTCTCTTTCTTGGATTTATTTCTTCAGCAATTTCTTGTGGGCTTTGATTAGGAGTCAAAGGTTTTGCTGGAGTATGATTTCTTCTTATTTTTACATTCGAACTTTCTTCTTCAGGAATCATCGTTTTAGGCGAAGAATGTTTTCTTTTAACATTAGAATTATCTTCATCAAAATCAAGTGTTTTTGGTGAAGAATGTTTTCTTTTAACATGAGGATTTTCATCTTTGTTGTTGATTGATTTAGATGGAGAATGATGTCTTTTAACCAAAGAACTTTCTTCTTCAGGGATAATTGTTTTTGCAACTGAATGATGTCTTCGTTTTCTGATTGGATTTTCTTCTTCGGGAATCATTGTTTGAGGAATTGAACGAGTTCTAACATTTGGTTTCTGTTGAATTTCATCATCAGGAACCATAGTTTTTGGAGGAGAATGATGTCTTTTCTTTGGAACATCATCAGGTATCATTGTTTTAGCAACAGAATGATGCCTTCTTGGTCTTCTTTCTTCGATGTTTTCTTCATTATTTACTATTTCTTTTTGTTTATTTCTTCTCCTTCTCAATGGTTTCGTATGAGATTTTTCTTCAACAACAGGTTCTTTTGGTTTCTTTTCGGATTGAGATCTTCTGTGATGATTCTTCATTTGTTTAATGATAATTAATCTGTTGTTTTCTTCCTCGTTTTTCTGTCTTTCTTCATCAGAAAGTGTCAAATCCAAGTGATTTATTTTCTTGACTTCTTCGAAATCAAATTCATCATCAGACTCCAATTTCTTTTGTCCTTTTCTGAATTTGTGGATTCTATCAGCTGCAGGAGAATCAACTGGAGTTTTCAGTTGTTTGTCACTTTGATTCATCAACGAAAACTTCATTTTATTCTTCTTCTTTTCCCTCAGTTTCTTCGCATAAGGATCGAATTCATCAGAACTTTTTGAAGTGTCACTTTTCTGGAAAGAAGAACTTCTGAATTTCATTTCATCTTTTGATGACTGTGAAAAAACAAATTTCGGAGACTTTGGAGATTTTTCAGGTGACATAGCTCTGTTTTGCGGTACCATAGAAAGAGATCTGTTTCTTGCAACAGGTTCCTTTTCTTTTTGTGGTGATTTATGTCTTCTTTTTTGTGGTTTATCATCATCAACATTAATAATAAACGGTTTTTCATTTTTGACAAAAGTTCTTGAACGATTTTCTCTTCCTTGGAAACCAATTTCTTCATCAATGATCAAAGAAACAACTTTCTCTTGTGAAGACTCTTCTTTATGCAAAGAAAGTGATGGTTTATCATCAAATATCAATGAATTCGATCTTCCTCTGTTTTCTTTATTCATTGACATTCTAAACAACGTGTTTTCAGTGTCTTTTATTTCAATCTTCGGGAGATAATTTGGATTTGTCTGGTTCGTCATCAATATTGACAAATCCTCGTTCGAAATGAATTCAGGGAATGAATTATCACTCGACATTTTATAAATAACAAGAGGAACATGGAAAGGATCACTTGGTTCTTCACGAATATTCAATCTACAAAAGTATTTCTGCATTTCTCGAATTTCTGACTTGTTTTGCGTCCTTTTTATGTCTTTTTCCGGCCAAGAAATAAGAATTTTCGTTTTAATTTTGAGATAATTTTTCAAAAATTCAGAAAATTTTTCTTTGTCGGAATTACAACCATCGATATTCAGTCTCATTGGGAAATCTATATCATAATACATCTGTAACTGTTTGTACATGACATCGTTGCAATAATTATCACTTAAATCAATGTTTGGAACTTGTTTTTTAACGAGAATTGAAAATAAATATCCGACCATTTTCCCAACATTTTTAATTTGATTTCCTCTCATTACAATCTTCTTTAAACATGTACATCCTTCAAGATAGTTACCAAACAGTTTGATTTCATTTGCTTTTTCATCAGAAAAACATTCAGAAACATTCAAAAATTGAAGATATTTTTGTCGACTTAAAAAAGAAATAAAAGATAAATTCACGGGATTTCCGGACCAATTTAAGCCGACAAAATTGGAGAACGAAGTGACACTGAACAAATCATTGATAGAATTCCAATCCCCTTGTGTTGCGCTTTGATACTGGAAGGATAATTTGAAAAGATGCTTTGTATAATTCCTGAAAATTAACTCGAAAAATGATCGCATGTGAAATCCTCTCCATTGAATGGAATCAGCGAAAATGGACTTCAAAAGGGGTGGCATCTTCTTGTTGTAGTCAATTCGTTTGCTACAGATGTTGTTACTAACATTTATCATCCTCAAATTTTGGAGATTTTCACGATATAATGATAAACTCTCAAAAATTGTACTGATATCGATTCCTGTACCTTCTAAACTGATAACTGCTAATCTCTGAGTATAAAGGGTCTTTAAATTTACTGAATTTGTGTTTGCAAGGTTGATATATCTTGGAGATTTTCTAATTGCAGGGAGAAATGTCTCGTAGAAGTAAAATGTTTGCGTAGTAAATGTTCCATGAAAGGCGATCGATTTAATTGGCTGTGAATTCATTGCTGTAAGGATGGATTGCATATTTAAATCTGAAAGTAAAGAATTCGTGAAGCTTAATGAGTTGATTTCTGTATGTATGTTATGAGCAATCGTGTTCATCATTGCGTTAAACTCTTGCGGTACTGGTCCGTCGAAATTAATTTGTTGGATTTTAGAACCTTTTGACAGGAAAGAAATGAAATCCTGATACTGATCAGCAGTAAGAGGAAATTCAATTATCAATGTAGTTAATGATGATATTAATGGAACAATGGAAATAAAAGGTGTGAAATTTTCTTGTGTAATAATCATCGTATCTTTGCTAAATTTAAGTATTTCTCCTATCTCATCTGCATATTTCGGATACTTAATTGTCGCCCTATAATAAGCACTTTTAGGAGTTGGTTTAGATTTCAAATTCAGATTAATAGCCATGAGTTCTATTGGTGTTAATACCATTTGTAATGCGTCACCAATCTTTTTGATAAGTTGAGATCCTTCTGGAACTTGTAACGAATATGTCGTTGTTCCAATTACAATAGTTAACTGCTCATCTTCATAATCAAATTGTTTGAAATCAAACCAGGTGTATTTTTCTTCGATTTTCTTTCCATTGTTCTTCACAACGGCTAGTCCAGAATCAGATAAAACAATGATTTTAGTTTTATCGAATAAACCACCTTTAATTTTAACTTCTTCACCATAAAAAGGGTGCAATGGACGATTGGCACTTTGCTTTACAGTTTTAAGTGCCAAATCTATTGCAGGATTTGACATCTTTGATTATAAAAAATAATTCTATAGTTTACATTTTGGAACAGTAATTTTCATTCATTGCTGGATTCAATTTGTTATCATAAACATGCTTTAAATTTCAAATATTGTTGATAAAATACTATCTTTATTCTTGTTTATGAATTCATACGCATCCTTTCAAAAATTCAATTAAATAGAATGGTTACACAGGTTAAATAAAAAATTTAGTGATTCTACTTTTTTATAAATTTTTCGCTGAACTTATGCAGAGTATTGAAATTTATGGCATTTAAGCTAAAGGACTCAAATGGAATAAATTTATAATTTGTAAAGTTACGATTTCTCATTCCGATCAGTCAAAGTGTTATTCAGAATTATGAATATATTGCTTCTCATATCAGTGATTACATTAAAGAAGGTAATTTCTTTGATATATTTGAGATTGAAGACATCAAAAAGATCATGAAAAATTCAAATTTAACAGCGAACGACTTCACCGATCTTCTTCAACAGTCACATCATACTATCAAAGCAAATAAATTATATGCCTGTACTCGAAATTCTAATATTCACATTCAAAACATGGAAGATGTTATTTCAACACTGAAATCAATGAAAGAATACATGAAACTCAGAATCCTTGATGGCATTGTTGACTTTTTAGATCAAAAAGCGAACGAAATTCTTGAATCTACAGCGAGAATTCAAAAACTTCAAACAGAACTAAACGAAATTCAAAAACAAAAACAAAAAAGTGACAACAACATAAAATCACTTCAATTTCAACTCAATCAAATTAATGAAGAAAACACTACATTAAAGAGAAAGATCTCTGAAAGAGAAAGTAACACAAATCAAAATGAAGGAAACAATGCCGAAAAAGAAATTCTATCAAAAATTTCAGAACTCAAGGAATCAGATGATTTCGAAAGTATCTACAAATTTATTGATGAGCTTTCATCGCAAGGAAATCAAAAGATGATTTCAAAAGCATGTAAAGAAGGACTTTGGGAAAAGAAAACGAAACCCAATCGAAAAAAGATAGCACCTAAATTATTTCAAGTTGATGATGAAAAGAATGTACTTCATTCTGCAAGTGAAAAAGGAAATCTCAAACTTGTAAAATCTCTGATTGAATGTGGCTGTGATAAAGAAACAAAGAGTAGTTGGAATTATACTCCACTCATTTATGCATCAAGAAATGGCCATCTTGAAGTAGTTAAATATCTAATCTCAGCTGAGGCTGATATAGAAGCAAAGAGTAAATATGGAGATACTCCACTCATTTAGGCATCACAAAATGGTCATCCTGAAGTAGTTAAAAATCTTATTTCTGTTGGTGCTGATAGAGAAGCAAAGAATATATATGGATATACTCCACTCATTAAAGCATCAGGTAATGGTCATCTTGAAGTTGTTCAATATCTTATATCTATTGGAGCTGATAAAGAAGCAAAGGATAATAATAGACATACTCCACTCATTTGTGCATCAGGTAATGGTCATCTTGAAGTTGTTCAATATCTTATCTCTGTTGGAGCTAATAAAGAAGCAAAGGATAATAATAGACATACTCCACTCATTCGTGCATCACAGTATGGTCATCTTGATATTGTTAAATATCTTATCTCTGTTGGAGCTGATAAAAATGCAAAGAGTGAATTTGGAAATACTCCACTCATTTATGCATCATCTAATGGTCATCTTGAAGTTGTTAAATATCTTATCTCTGTTGCAGCTAATAAAGAAGCAAAGACTAAAGATGGAGATACTCCACTCATTGAAGCATCGAAGCAAGGTAAACTTGAAGTTGTTAAATATCTTATCTCAGTTGGAGCTAACAAAGAAGCAAAGAATAATAAAATAAAAACTGCATTCGACGTTGCAAGTAGTGAAGTAAAAAGATATCTACTTTCTGAGCAATCTCATTGATCTAATTTATGAAATGGATATTTCCACCCAAAACAACAGTTTTTGAATAGTATCAATCAGATCACTCTTTATCCCTTAGTTATACCCTTTGTTTCCATGAATTTCCTGATAAAGTTATTTTTCCACATCGAAAAGTGTTTATAACACCCCACTTATTATGAATTTTTAATTTATTATCTGTTCTTAGCTGATAAAGAATAATCTGTGATATTTTGCTCGATGCCGATATTGCATAATTTGAGCAACTCATAATTCGGCATGTATAGGTATTTAATTTTATTTATTATTAATAATAAAACAAATTTTTAAGGGTACACGTACCTCCTTATGACATAGCCTTCAAATCTAGTGTTTAACACTTCAAGCCAATTGCCCGAAATTTGAATGAAAGTCAGATAGGCGTAAGTACAGACTTAAGGATTCACCAGCTTAGTATATTCCCAAATAGGGTTACCGATTTGTAAGTTTCACCTCACTAGAATGATTTCCCGGATTTCAAGCTTTTATGTTTGATCTAATACATCATACACGGAAATTTTTAACTCAAAGCTTGCTTTGTTATTATCAAAAATTGAAATTCTCAGACATACGATTATTTTTGATTCAAATGCTGTTCGGCATTAAAAGCAAAAATAATCATATATCTGAGAATTACACTTTTCCGATATTTTTGGGTCGCTTCGCGCCCCTGACAAAACATCGGAAAAGTGTAAATTTTAACTAAAACGAAAAATGGTAATTTAAATAGTCTTTTGGTTCATATATGGTATACTTTCATAAATACGATTATTGGAAATTCATTAATCGAAGATGAAAAAATGCGGTCCACTGACACTTTCTGCTGCTGAAGATGCAAAATTTGTCATTAGGTTACAACAAAGACTAGCAGATCTTACTGCTGATAATATGGATCAAAGAAAAAGAGAAATTTCAGAATCTTTTTATGCAAATTCTCCAGAAAAAGTCCGAATTATTGTTCATGAATTAATTTTATTAACTCATATACGTCCACTATTGATAAATCGTTTAGTTGAAATGACCAGATTCTTAATTGCGTTAGGATCTTCAAATTCTAATTTCCTTAACTTCAAAGAGTTCATTAAATTCGAAGTATTTCACAGTTCTCAAGACTGGAGAACAAAAGTACCAGAATTATTCTTTTTTAGAAAACTTTATTTGGCAAAATTTTATACGACACAAGAAATCGTTCAAACAATACTTAATTTCCCAAGACATCATGAAAACATCTACTTCTTATTCTTCTGCTACTTTGCTCCTGAAATTTGTGAGTATGATAAAGAAATTTTCATGAAAATTTTAAATATTACATACGATTTACAGAGAATGAAGAAGTGTCTTAAGACAATTCGCAATAAATTCGAGAATTACGCAGAAACATCATGGGATGAACATTTAATTTTAATTAATCAAGTTTGGCCAACAGAATCAATTCCTTACGCCATAGAACACAACGAAACAGCATTTTTAGAAACATTTCTTCCCAAAGAAGAAGAGGAAAAGAAGGAAGAAAAACCTAAAAATGATGAAAATGACGAAGAAACAAAAAGTGACAAAGAGGAAGTAAAAAGTGAACCTAAAAAACCTCATTTTTCACAGTGGATAGAATTCGATGAAGGATACGATTGGAACCAACAAATCGATAAGAATCCATTAGAAATATGTCCATTGGCTCAAGAACGTCCAACATATATCCAATTGGCCGCATTATATGGCTCCGAAAGAGTTTTTTCATGGCTCAGAAGACAAGGAGCTTTTGTTACGGAAGATGTCGAGAAATACGTTAGTGCTGGTGGCAAATTAAGCATATTAAGAGAATGCGAGCAATGCGGTATTGTTTTCGAGAAATCCTTTGTTTACGCGAGCGAATACAGACGAGATCATGTTTGGGATTGGATCAACAGATCAAATAATGTTCAATACGAATGGGTTAAAAAAGAAAATTATTTGAAATGTGTCGTAACTAACAATATGAATGTAATGCTGTATTACGCAAACAATGGATTCGAGCCATGTCAAAGAGATGATGAATGGAGAACTCCTCTCCATATTTGTGCAATTTGCGGACATGTTACTGGTTGCAAATTCGCAGGAGGAGCAATAAAATGTGATGTAAATGCAATTGATACTTACAAAATGACTGCTGTTCATTACGCGTGCAAAGAAGGATGGTTAGACATTTTGGAGTATCTTAGTATAAGAGGTGCTGACTTTAACAGAAAGGATAATGCTATGTGGACACCTTTACATTATGCAGCACAATTAGGAGATATCGAAATTGTTAAATTTGTTGTGAAACAAAGAGGAGTTATGATCAACGCTAAATCTGAAACTGATTGGACTCCTGTTCACGTTGCAGCTGCTGAAGGACATGTCCATATTTTGGAATATTTCTACTCAATGGGTGCTGATCTTTATAGTGGAGATATTTCCAAAATGACTCCTCTTCACATCGCTGTTAAATACGGACATTTGGAAGTTGTTCATTTTTTGTTGAAATTAAATGCTGATCCAAATTTGAAGGATTCAATGAACAAAACTTGTTTGATGATGTGCGAAAGTCCAATAATTCGCCAGCTACTTATTGATAATGGAGCTATTGAAACAAAAAGACGCTGGTAAATTTTTTAATTAAATTATTGTTTGAAATTAAACTGTTTATTCTATTATATACCTAACTATTTTTGTAAATATTTTGAGAAACTTAAGCAAATAAACATTCAACACTTTGTTATCTCAGGTTATGAATTTAATTCATAGACATCGATAATTGAAGGAAAAATGATCGTAAATTTTCAAACCCGGTAGCGCTTCTGAAAATTAGTTGAATTTTGAATGCAAGATAATGCTGATTTTGTCACAATAAGTACATGTTACCTGAACAAAACAGCTCAAAAGTTCAGATACAATCGAAAATCGACATTTAACGAAGTTTATCAGCAAATTATTCAATATTTAAAGTTGCCATCTGATGAAAAATACAAAATTTTCGTAACAGATAATGCACAAATGAATCAATTGTTCGAACCAAACATGAAATTAGCTGATTTTCAGATAAATTCCGATACAACGTTTATCATATCTCCAATTAATTACCAATTTCCTCAAAATCCACAAAATATGAACAAATTACAGACAAACAATACGTTTCTTTCGAATAATCCATACTCTATGAACAATAATCTAAATTCAACAAACAATACAATCAGCGTTCCAGTTAATTTCCCTTCAAATATTACTCCCATGGACTTTGATCCATACATGTTCGATATTAATTCAAAAATTGTCGACTATAACACAAATTTTGGATTTCCAACCGGCCCTGACAATAACATTTCACGTTTTGATATTAACCAATCAGGAAATGACTCTATTTTGTTTAATGTTTACGATGGATACGAATCAAAAGATCCAATTGTAATAAAATTGCTTCCAACGTTTAGTTTCGATGAAACTCTTACGGTTTTACTAACAACTATGAGTACAGATAGAATCGGCAGATACATATTACTTCTAGAATACAATAATGGTAAAATTCAATTTTTTTAATGAAGATCAATTCATAGAATCCTATTGTTGCTATGATGGAATGAACTTATATCTATTCCATAGAGATATGCAGATCTGTGTCAACATGGAGAATCATCCTCCTGTGTTAGTTTCTTTAGATATGATGTAAAATGTTGGAGAAATCATAAAAACAATTGGAAATGAGTTCGGAAACGAAAATTACATGTGTTTCTCATTATTTTCAAGTGATGATAAAGGTAATGATTATCCTTTGAGACTCGACAAAACAATTATCGAACAAACAAAATCATTACGAAGATTGAAATTCCAAAGAAATTATTTTATTTTTTCTTTGCTGGATTTAACTGATATTCAAACAGCTTATGAAGCTTATGAAGCAACAAACAATAAACTAGTTCAGCAGAACTTAGAATTATCTAATGAGATTGCAGCAAATATCGCTAAATTTTCAATTTTAATCGATTCAAAAATGCAAAAAACCGAAATTTCTGAAATAAAAAGTGAAGATTTTTCATTGAAATTACCAAAATCATTTACAAAACAAAATGAAATAATTGATCATGTGAAAGAACTTGTACAAGCACAGAAAGATGAAGATGTATTTATATTGATCAAAAACGCTATAGAATATATAAAAAACATTACAGGATTTGCGACAAAAAATTTTGAAGTTGAAATAACTTCAACAAATTTTGGAGATACACAAACATTAAAAGCTGATATAGAAGTCACTCCTTTATGTATTAGAATATTTTCAAAACAAACAGGTGAACTGTTACAACGTGTATCTTTCACAAAAATTATTGATTTACAAAATATTGGAGATTATATTGATTTGACATTTTATCAAAACACGAAAGAAATGAGGTACGAAATCAACTCAGAGAATGCAGAAGAGATTAAAACAATTATACAGGAAAACTTGCATGTGTTGAACCAAATAGTTACTGTAAGATATAAATACCAAGCTTATTTGATTGCAAATGGAATTCAAGGTAAAAATAGAGTTGATTTATTTACTTGCCGCGACACTTTTTTGAATGAAACTCAACAACCGAAATTTTCTTATGATTTGGATGCTTCCGGATATGTTTTAGTACAAGTTGCAGAAATTAATTTAGGTATACCACATAATGATGATAATGTTTGTTTGATGCATATTTCAGATGAAATTTACAAATGGATGAATTTAAGTAAAATTTCCGCAATTTATCATTTACAAAATGGAATGGGAATTTGCATCATGAACAGAACACAGGAAATATAAATTACATTAATTGATGGAACGAAACATAAAATAAAAGTAGATATTACTAAAACAATTGAAGAATTATGTCCAGAAGTTTTCAAACAATTGAATCAACCTCCTCTTTATGGTTATACATTTTTCTTCCAAGAATATGATTTGGACGTGAGAAAATCAATTCCTGAACAAGTTTATTCCTTTAACAAACTCATTTTCAAGAGAAGATATTATGTTTTTTCTTACGAAGTTTTGCAAGATAACTATCAATTAAAAATGACAGTTTATGATTGCGATCCAATGATAAAAGGAGGAAAATTAAAGATGAAAGAAGAAGAGTTCATTGAGTTACTGGTTTTGTCATCGAAAGCAAAAGAACTCAGTTCAAAAATGAAATCATTAACATCAGAAGATTTAAAGAAAATCACTCCTGAATATCTCAAAAATAATGAAAATTTATTGGAAAAAGTCAAAAAAGCAAATTCAAGTTCTAAAAATATTGATCCAGTAAATGCAGCAAAAAAGTTCTTGAAAATGATTAGACAATTACCAGGTTTCGGATATGATGATTACAAGTCAAAATACTTCCAAAACATTGATGATAAATCGATTGTTCGCAAAGCAATTGTATCTGTTGGTCCTCTTTATGTAATGATATATAACAGAGAAGACATGGAGAAACCATTACACAAAATTTATTATGGATCAATTATTGAATACCAATCAATGAGGATGAGAATGAGAATCAAATTTGTTAAAGATGATAAAGGAACTGTTGGCGTTTTTGAATTTGTTTTCAGTAAGAAACACAGATGTTCTAATTTAACAGCTGCTTTACATCATAACATTTTCATGACTTATGAATTGTTGCTTGCGAGAAGGAAGAAAGAAGCCGAAAAATTATCTGAAGAAGTCAGAAGATTAAGAGGTGGATTTGTTGATGAAAATGGCGTAATTAACAATTCAATGATTGATCTATATGTTACAACAGATTTGACTGTTCTTGATAATCTTCCAATTGATTGGTTTGATTTGTTTTGGTCTGGAGGTTTCATCACTGACAGATTAATTACAAGATTTAATTTGAATCCTTCAATTCCTTATTTCCTTTTGTTGAAAGGACCAAACAGAGGCTTTATAATGTTCGAAAACTATACTAAATTGATACAAATTTGTCCATTTAGAGGATCTATTCTGGCTATTTTACCAAGATTTATGAGTATCATTATTCATTATTACAATGGTGATGAAAAAACCACTAGAAATGTTTTTGTGGATATGACAAAAACTATTCATCAATTAATCCCAACAATTGGTGATGTTTTCGGATTATCTTATGTTGTTGGCTTCTCTTTATGGGCAACAATAAAGAGTGAGTTAACTCCTTTGGATATAACAAGAACAATTAATGAACAAACACCTGGAATTGCAGAATTTGTTTTTGCAAGAAGATTTTCTCCTGAAAATTCCATTACTGTTGATGAAATTGACAGAAGACAATTGTATCAACAGAGCAGAGACATCTTTAGAAGAGGTGCTGGATGGGATCCAACCGATCAAGAGATTGGAACACTGGGATATTACCAAGGTTTCACAGATTTCAATGGAGACTCAACACAAATTCAACAAAATGCAAGAAATTTAGTCCCATTAAAAGACATATTAAAACAAAAGAGTATCATCAAAGATCCAACAATAAATGATACAAAAATATCTCTAAACAAATATATTGATACTGTTAGGAACATTCCAGGTTTCGGTGGTGGTTTGTTCAGAGTAAAAGTCTTGAACAAACAACTCGGAAATGTCACATTTTGGTTTGGTCCAGACAATCTAAAAATCATGGATTCAACAATGAACAAAGAATTATTGATAGTTCCTTATAGCGAAATCGTCAAATCAACAGCAATTCCAAGCGAATTTTCATTCTATTTTGTGAATGAACAAAGAAAAATTGATTGTTTGCATGGATCTTGTGATTTTGCTCAAAGAGCAAACAACTTAATCCAAGCAAATAAATTAGTTCATAAAGATGTTTATGACAACAAAAGAATGCATGCAATCCAAGATGGAACAATGTTTAATTCTACAAAATACATTATGCAGATTCCTGTTACTAACTTGTGTTCATCAATGCCATATCAAACAAAAACAATCGATTTGTCTTTGATACAAACAGTTGATGAATTAAGAACAGTTTTGCAAAAAGAATTTGATATTCCAAAATCATTGGAAATTGTTTTTCTCGTGAAAAATCTTTATAACGCTGAATTCATTGGTATGTTTGAATTGATTGGATATCCTTATTTCCAGAAAGAATCAATTCTTTATGTATCTCCTTTATACAGGAAAATTTACGTTGTTAATGAAGAAAACAAACAAGAAGTTTTCCATTTCTCAGTTTTCAGCGAAATCAAAGATATAATTCCTTACATTTCATGGAGATTTTACCAAAAATTCTGGAATGGATTCATATTGTTTGATACTGATAACACACAGTTATCATTCTTGGATGTTACTAAAACATTGTTAGAACAACGTCCTCAAACAAACAAATATCTTTTCAAGAGAAGATATTTAATTATGACCAAAAATGATGCAAAAAGTGACGAAATCACTGATGAATTGTATTCATTTACGAAACAATCCATTATACAAAGCAACTACAAACTTGCTGAAAAGACAGCTCTTGAGTTTGGAACATATTCTATCATTGAAACTCTCAATGAAAACGAAAAACCATCAGAATGGAATGGAAATCTTCAAGAACATTTACCATTGAATTATTCCAGGTATCAAGACACTGCAACAAAAGTAAAAGCATTGTTAAACATTGCACCATCAATGACTAAACTTGCTGCTAGAAAGAAGTATTGCAGTAATGCAAGACAGCTTTCTCAATTTGGAGCAAAACAATTTGATTGCAAATTTCAAAATGAAAGTTCATACGTTTTAGTCGGTCCTTTCGGTCTTGAAATCATCAACAAACAACAGAACAATGTAGAAAACAACAATTTGTCTCAGAAATTTTCGTATTCGAATATAATTTTCCAATGCGATCTTGGACAAAAACTTATGTTTGATGTTGCAAATGACAATGGAATTCAAACCCATTACGAATTGATATCAAATGAAGCAAACTACATTAGTTATTTGATGAAACAATATATGTCTTCTATGTATTGGAACTATTATATCAGATCAAATGTCCAAGATATGGAAGAAGATGATTTCATCAAAGTGAATGCAAATCCTGAAGGTCCTTCATCAATTGAACTTTATCTTTCTCAATGGATTTCGGATCCCAAACCAGAGAAATTCAAGTTTTCTCTCAATTAGAGTTTGGAGACAACAATAAGAATGAGTTTATATTATCTTTCTCTTCCTTATAGTGTTCCTTACATGATTGCTTATGCAAACAAAGAAGGAAATCTTAGTTTGTTCTTACAAGGAAGTTATTTATCAAATTTGGTTCCTTCCGAACAAGGCCGATTGTATTTGATTCCTGAAAGTGATAACTATACAGTTTTCCTTGAAAACGGAAAAGCCATGGAAAATGTCATTGCTCTTTATCTTCCAATTGTCAACCAGTTGCAGTTTATTGCTAATGATTTCATGACTGTTGGTTATTCATTAGGATATACATTGTATGATATGAGTTATGAGAATCCGAAACCTTTAGAATGGCTACAAATCATTCCAAATGTCTGTAGTTATTGGCACGAATTATTATTCAAGAGAAGATTTTATTTGTTTTTGAATGAAAATCTTCTCGATTTGACAACTTTGGAAACATCATTTAATGAATGCGCAAACCAAATAAAGAAGACAGAATTAACACCAGAAGTTGCTGGAAGATTGGCAACTTACATGAATTATATCAAAAATGGCCCAAAGAAACCAAAATTTGCTGTTAGATATATCAGTGAAATTTTGGAAAATCCAAAAATTCCGAAATCATCTGACAAAGAATTCGAAAGTTTCTATAATCAAATTCAGATTAATACTGTTGAAGATGCAATGTATAACTTCATTTGTGAAGCAGCTTCTATTCGTGAATTGGCAGCTGAATATTACAAAGTCAAAGTTACTACACAAAATATCAATGGAGAAGTTTTGATTGCAATGGTTTGTACAGGAATAATTATTTATTCAAATGATAATGCAAAGAATGAATTGATGTTTATTCCTTTCTATTCACTTGACAATTATTATTTCGAAGAGAAATCAAAGATAATTTTGGGTTTCTATCTCGAAAATAATTCGTATTTGACATGTACAATTGAGTCGAAAGAATTCTTTGATCATATTTCTTCTTATATCATTGATCTCTTAGATTTATTAGGATTCATCAGATCTTCAGATCAAACAATTGCTTTAAGACCAGAATTTAACAATTTCTTCCAAATGAATGAACCAACAAACATAGGTGATGATAATTTCGAATTAGAAAACTTTGATGTCATACCTGCACTTGATGTTAATTTAGATGCAAACCAAACCAATGAATATCCTAATTATAATGATGAAGCTTTCGATTTGGAAAGATCAAATCATCTTTTGGTTCAAGCACAAACTTTAATTTCTAAAAATGCTTCTCTTGGAGATCTCGAAGCTTTGACGAATTTGATGGAAATGGCCGCAAATTCAAACAATTTATCAAAAAGCGACAAAGATAATGTCAAAGATATTGTTAAGAAATGCAATAGTTTGGTATCAAAGAAGTCAAAAGGAAAAGATGTTTCGATCAAGAAATCTGATTTGAGTTCTATTAATTCTACTCTCGAAAAATTGATTTCTTCAAACAATAAGAAGATTTCAGCTGTTCCTAAAACAAACAAATCAACAAAATTGGCTGGCGATGAAGTTGATTTGACAAAGTTAATGTTTGCTATGGCAAATGCAGCAGGAGAAGTTTCAGTTTATTCAGTTGTCAATCAAGACAAAATGAAGAATTTGGAAATCAATGCAAAAGAATTTTCCGCTCACATGGATTTGGCTTCAAAAGATGTTATGAATTTAATTCCACTTCTTAAGACAGAAGAAGGAAAGAAACAAGCTTTACAGAAATTAGTTCAATTCAACAAAGTTTGGGATGAATGTCATGCTTATGTTTCAAAAGCATCTTCAAAAGGAGATAAAGATTTACAAACGAATTCTGAAGTTGCAGAATCATTCATTGATTATTTGAAAGAAGTTCAAAATAGATTGATAAATGACCTTCAAAAAGGAAAAGTCAAATATCACATCTATCCAGGATCATCAGACAATTTATCAATTGCGATTTCTGCGATCAAAGAAGTAATGGAACAAATCAAAAATATCAGACAAAATGATCCATATTCAAAGGCGATTTCCAATTTAAGTTATTCAAGATTACAGAAACACTTAGATGATATAACAAAATTGGAACCAATCATTTACCAAACTCCGAAGAATCCAGATGCAAGATTTGCTATTCAATCAAATTTAGTTAAATCAAGAGATGTTGTTCAGAAATTAAATGACTTGAAACTCATAAAAGGAACGATCTTTCTTGAACAAATACAATCAGCTGTTAATAATGTTTCAGCTCTTAACATTACTCCTGATACTATTGATACAATTTTAGATGAATGCAAAGCAATCTTGGAGTCAATTGGAAACATCAATAATTTGCACACTTCTCAATTTTCTGACAAAGTTAAATCATCTGTTAGTGAAGTTTCCAATCTATTGAAGACAACAATTGATCAATTAATTAAATCTAAACAACCTTTGATACAATGCCCATCTAGTGGACAAATAATCAAAGAAGTTCATCATAATTTAATTGATCTTAAAAATGATCTGAGCAAAATCAATGAAACTGCACAGAAACTAAAAGATTTGACTTATGAAGGATCATGTGTTTTGCTAGCTTCAAGTTTAGAGAAACATGTTAACACAGCATTAGGAGACATCCAATTCATTGATAATCCAGAAGATATGAAACATTACAGTGGCTTAATGCAAGTTCAACTTGACACAGCAAAACTTATCAATACAATTCAAGAAACTCTTGATATTGCACCACAAACTAATGAGTTTCCAACCACACTTAAGGCTTCTTATTGCAGATTAGTTGCTTCTCGTAATTTGTTGAATGAAAAACCTTTTGATCCAAATTTGTTGAATTTACAAAAAGATCAACTTTACAAATTAAAAGAAAATGTTGAAAACATCCAAAAAACAACTCAAAACTTCCAAAATCCTATTGATATTGTTCTTAAATCAATTGAGAATGCATTGAGATTGCTATCTCAAGCTCAATTAACTCCATTTATCGAACCTCCAACTAAAGAAACAGATGAAAAACTTAAAAACATGCTTGAGAAAATCATTGATCAAAGTCAAAAGATTTTGACTGTTCCTGAAATGATAAGAAACAGGAATTTATCAAATTCTGTTCAATCAATGATTAAACATCTTGACAAAGTCAAACCAGTGTTAAGCAAATCATCAGAACTCAAAGACATTGATTACTTGAACAAATTACTTCGTTTGATGAAAGAAATTACATCATATGACTTGTCATTAATGAGTTGCCAAGCTTATGCAAATGATTCTGATCTAAAGAAGTTTATTGCTGAATTCAAAGATATGATAACAGGATTGACAAAGAGCCAAATTCCAAACAAATCAATTTTGACCGATCAAATTTTGAAAGAATTGGAACAACTCAAAGTTTTTGCTGAAAAATCTAAGAAACAAAAAGTTTCTCAAGTTGCAAATGACATTATTTTAGCAACACCTAAGAAAGAGGATCTATTAAATATAAATCCAACTGATCTTTCTCATGTTGTTGCCAATTTCGAAGTTTTGAACAGGGAAATTCCAAATAATTTATCAGATGATTTACAAAAACTTTTGAATTTGTTTAATAACAAACATACTACAATGCAGAAATGCTACAGATTGTTACCATCAACAAAGAGATTTAACTTTGATGTTAAACCATATGTAAGATGCGGAAAATCTGCAAATACAGAAGAGAATTTGTTGACTTTAGATAACATGATCAAAGCATTTGACAATTTAATTAAAACAATTGGTCAAAGTGAAATGGTCGACAAAAAAGATCAAACAGTCAAAGATCTGCAGAAATTGGTTAGTTCATTTAATAATGGTTCATTAGTTGAATTCAACAATGAACAGAATATCATGAATCAATTAAGTAACATCATTGATTGTTTACCAGTAATCATTGGAAATTCAAGAAATATTTCTTCAATGATAGAAGACGATGATTTCACAATGGTTAGTAGAATAATTGGTGATAATTGTGTGGATATTCTTGATAGATTAAAGAGACCACACATGACATCAAACAATTCACGTCAATTCTCACAGAAATTCATTCCAATGGTATTGAATTTAGCTTCTGCAACAACGAATTTCGCAAAATCAAAGAAAGTTACAGAAGATGATTTAGCATCGAAAGAAATAGATAAATTGACTGATGCTTTGAACGGATTATTGTCAACATTTGATAGATTAAGACCCGGAGAGAAACAGCAATCATGTGATTCTCTTTACACAATGTTGAATGAAACAATTCCTAATTTACAATTGGATTCTGATTATTCCGATTATGTTTCTAAACTGAAATCAATGCAAGAATTTCTTTCTGACTACACTTCATTACCTGTTGTTCATATTCACTCCTCTGATGCTTTGTTACCAAGAAGTCCTTCTTCTATCGATAATTTGGATGAATTGTTCAGATTATGTATGGAAGTTGTTTCAAGAGAAAATTCAAGATTAGAAAAAGTTGAAATGGATAAAATTTCAGTAGGTTTACAGAACATTTTATCTAATAAGAACAAATTCCCGGATTATATCAATAATGCAGCAGAAATATCGACTAGCTTTATCAAAGGATTTAATCAAAAACATGTTTCAAATACTGCGAGATTGATTTCAATTTGTGATGATGACTTCAACGACAGAATTTCAAAATTAAGAGAATTCATTATCAAAACTTCCGAAAAAACATGTAATTTACTCCCAACAATCAGCAGAGAATTCAATGATATGTTAACAAAAGTTAAGATATCTCCAAAGAAGCAACAATACCTAAATGAATTACAAAGTATGTTGAATGAAGAAAATTTGAAATCAATTGTTGATTCTAATTCTCTTTCTTCAGTTTCTTTGAATTATCCAACGATTCAAAAAATTGCAAAACCATTGAATTTGTTGATGCAAGATGAATCAAACAATAGTTCATTATCCAATCTATTGAATGCACTTGTTGATTTCTTATGTTGGAATGAGCAATGTAACCAAGGAATTTATGAATTCATGAACCAATTAATGACAACAGTTGTTCAAAACTTTGAAGATTTGAATCCAAAACTAGATTCAGAAGAAAAAATCAAACAAGAATTAATAGAAATCAAAAAGAAATGGACAGAAAAACTTGGAAATGCAAACAGATTTAGATTATTAACTAATCAACACATCTCCGAATGCGCAAATGATCTTTTGGAAGTTAAATATCGTTTATTACCAGATTTAATGAAACTCATTCCTGATTTAGAACAAACATCGAATTTACCAAAAGTTTGTACAGAAATGGAACCAATAATTCCTATATTAAGGATATTAGGAAGATCATTAGCAGGTTTCCAGTTAAATACACTATGTAATATCATGAATTCATGGATAATTGCTAATGATATTAAATCAAATCTTTCGAATGCAAATTTCGAATTTTATCCAATCTTTACGTCACTTTCATATGTGAAAGAAGCTTCTCCATCAATGAAAAACAATAAGTTCACTAAACAGGCAGAACTTTGTTTCTCAACTGCAACAAAAATAGGTTCATCAACTAAACAAGTTGACAATGCTTCGATGGATGAATTAATCAAAGAAATCACAGACTTGCTTTTGATTTCAAATGAAGTTGTAAAAATCGATTTCGTTTCATCGAAACCTTTGTTGTTGGAGAATGACTCTAAGATCAATTTATCTGCATTAAACAACAAATCAATGATTGCTGCATCAGAATTAGCACAAAAGATTTACAAACAAACGCAAAATGAAAATGAAAACACAGAAGAAATTCCTAAAGAAATTGATCAAAAAATGGAAAATTTGGTTTTGCCGACAAATGAAATCAAAGTTGTTGAATGCTCTTCTATTAATGATGCAGGCGTCTTTGCACAATTAATGCTTGAAGACATGTCTTCTGATTTGTATCATTCAATCTTTATCCAAAGGATCAAATCTTTGATGAACTTGTACAAAAACAATTTCCCTGGAATCATTGACATGGTTTCTCAAAGTGAATTAGATTTCACGAAAGAAGAAGTTAAAAATGCGTTCTTAAGAATCAACAGTTATTTATCTAATGTTAGTGATATTGAGAAATCAATCAAAGAACTCAAAACTGATGAGTTAATTTGTCATTTTTCAATTCTTTCTTATATTTCTTCGAATATTTCATCAAGATCAATTAAAATGGATACTTATTTAACAGGATCAATCCAATACCAACAGAAACTACTAGAATCAGCAATAATCAACCAATCAAAATCATCAAAACCATTAAATGCTTTGAGTTCTCCAGACATTTTCAGATTAATTAACAATTTAATTAATTTGTGTCATTTTTCAATTCATGTTTCATCAATTTTACAAATTTTACTCAGTATAAAATCAACTAATAACAATGTAACAAACTTTGACTTGTTCAAACATCAGAACATTCTACAAAATGAGTTAATTTTAGTAAAAGGTGGAGAACTATTGACGAATTATGTCAAAACATTATCGAATGATGAAATTTCAACACAAATCAATTGGATCTTGAATATCTTAGAGTTCCTATCTTCTAGTTATGATGATATAATTAATAATGAAACAGGAAATCTTTCCAATTCTAAAATCATTAAAATTTTATCAACCAAAGTTAAATTTGAAAAAATTAATGATTTTAGTTCGATTTATAAGTTACAAAGTACATTGTTCAAGTCAATGAAGAAGACAGAGTTAGTACTTAAATTGTTCTTTATTTTACAAGCTCAAAAAGTTGTTCATCAGATAGAGAATTTGGATGAAGATGTTTCCAACGAAATTTCATTAAATTTGATGAAAACTGAGATTAAATCCATCTTTGATCAAATCCAATTATGTTATTCATCCAACAAATTGCAAAAACAGATACAGAGTATTGAATACGAGCGAATCAAAATCCAGCAAATAATTTTAAGACATTTGATAACTTATTTAATCAAAACATCGAATTTATCAAATGATGACCAATTGATGAATCATTATATCAACGAATTCATTGCATTTTCTGAGTCATTGATATACGCAAATCCTATTATTTTGAACAACCAGAACATCAAGAAAGATTTCTCTATTTCAAACATAATTCTTGAAAACAGAATTGATACATTTTTAGTCAAGAAATCAATCGAAATGTTGAATGATTTCAGCATTTTCCAGTTGGAAAACACAGGACAAAAATCATCTAAAAGCAAGAAACAAAGTAAGGCAGATATGCTAACAGAAGAAGAAGCAAACAAATGCTTAAATATCCTATCAAATGTTCATCAAAATGGAATAACCGAACAAAACAAATCTTTAATTAAACAAAGTTCAAAAGGAATTAATTCGATTTTGGTTGAAGAACTCGAACAAACGAAGAATCTTTCTAATTCAAAAGAGGGTTTTATTGCTTTAATAACATCAGCAAACATATTAGATAGAATATGCATATTAGAGAGATTAGAAACAACAGGAATTAAAGTAAATCCTCCAGAAAAAATCGAGAAAAGTGACAATTTAGATGTTTTAGCTTTAACACAAAGAATGAAATATAATGTCTCCATTTTACAATTGAGATTATCTAAACTATATCAACAGAGTTGTGGTCTCAATCAACAATTGGTTTCTATACCTCAAATTGGTTCTGTTTTGCAGAAAACTAAGAAAGTTAAAATCAATATTTTACGAAACGGAATTAAAATCCAAATGAATTTGATTGATCAAATTAAGGATCTTGAAAACCAAATATCTAAGTCAGATTCAAATAATTTGATACTGCAACAATTATTGATATCTGATTTGATTACTATTTTAGGTAATAAGAAATCTTTCAAGAGCAATTTGACTCTAAAAGTTGAAGAAAATGATGCTGAAATGAGAAACAAAATTTTGGATTCTGTTGTTGAATTACAAAAGAAAGATGTTGTTAAAGATCCACAATGTCTTTTAGGAATGAAATGTGAAGAATATAACTCAATGAACAGCAAAAGATTAGTATTCCTAAATATGGAGAAATTCCAAAACAAAACATTTTTGCTAATCTGAGTGATGACGAAATCATTCGGATACAAGAATGTGTTAAAGACATGTTGTTCCTTTCTCATAACTCTACATCAATCAAGAAATTCTTGAAAGGAGTTAATGAACTTGATATTTCAAGATTAGTTGTTTTAATTCAAGATTTAATCAACAGAATCAATGAGGGACAAGCAAAAGTTACTAATCTAGGCGATATTTGTCTCCCTTCTAGTATTAACAAATCAGAAATTAATGCTTTAATGGCAAATGCAGCAACAAAATTGATGGACGAATTACAAAATCCTTCAACTGAAAAATCTCTCAATGAAGAAATTGAGAAATTACGTCATTTTTCAAGTCATTTAATGGAATGCGACAATACAAATTGCAAGGAGCAATTGACATCATTGCTGTCTATTGCACCCCAAGTTGTTGCTCATCTTTCTGCATTGGATAATAGATCATCATTGAATCCGTCAAAGATCATGGAACTTTGTCAATTAATTTCAAATGCAACAACAGATAAAAGCAAAAGCAAAGAGTTTAAAGAAGGAACAATGAATTTATATGAACTTATAAATTCTATTTGTCAAACATTGCAAGCATTTGATGATCAAGACCCATATAAATCTGCATCAAAATTGTATTAATCAATTTTAGAAAAAGATTTACCATCAATTGCAAAAGTTTCTGCTGAAATCAAAACAAACGAAAAGTTTAAAGAATTTAATGACATAATTAAGCCATTTTACCCAACGATCTTAACTTGTTTCAGTACAAAAACCATTCAAAGTGATCAATTTACCAATTTATCGAACAGTTTATTGAAATATCTCAATAAATCAATCACTTCTTTGTTCACTATTCTTGAGAATCTCAAATCTCCTTTAGAAGCTCAACCAATTATAGCAGAAACCAAACCGAAAACAGAGAAATCATGTAGTGAATTCATCTACAAGATACAAATGAATGAACAAAATGAAGCAATGAATGATTTACAAGATTCAACAGCTTTAGTTTCTCGAAGTATTGCGTCAGCAATTGCAGGACTTCAATTGACAAATACAACACAAATCGGTTCATTCTTTTCTATTTCACATTGTGCAAATAATGTTTCCAGATTATTATCATTACAAACAGGAGGAATCGAAGTTTTGTCATCACGACCTTTGTTGATGAAAAGAGCGCAAAGAGCTTATCTTAGAACAATCACAAAAATGTTCGATTTAGTTGAATTTACAAGCGAAGAAAACATATCAAAACTTGAAAAGAATAAATTAAATTTAATTAAATCATGTTTCATTCCTTATCGAACATTGGTTACTGCAATCTCATGTAGATGCGAATACAGAGTTCCTAAGATCTATTATCAAGTAATATCAGGAAGATTCAATGATTTTGATAAAGAAATCAACGAAATCAAGAAGTTTTGTGATGTTTTGATTTCATCTACAGGAGATTTAGAATCAGCAGATAAGATGAAAGAAGTTTTCAACAGTTTATGCATTCAATTCAAAGAAACATCAGAAAAACTTACCAATAAAGATGAGATTATATCAATCACAAGTACAATTACTCAATTCACTCTTTCTTCATCTTCATTGTTGAATGCATTAGTTCATGTTGAAAACTTCTTTGAAACATCATCAACTGGTGATTTTTCATCTGCATCTTTGCTTCCTTCAATATTTGAGATGCCGGATGTTTCTAAACAATCTAAGTCAATAGAAAAAGATATGAAGAAATACGAAGACAATCATAACATAACATCAAAAGCTTTGCAAGATATCAATGTTTCCAAATCAAGAAATGAATCTCTTGCTAAGTCAATATCAGATTTATGCAGAAAACAATCGTCAAATCTTGAATCTGCTCTTTGCGTTTCTTATCATTTAAATAATTTCTCAGGAGTTAGCCAGATAACGTCAACATGCCAAGATATTGTTATACAAATGAATGTTTTGCTTAAAAACATTCGAATGAAATTCCTAAACATCGAATGTACTCGAACAAATGAATCTATCATTCATTCCATCAAAAAACTTGTTGATGATTTATTTGAAAAGACTAAATCATCTTATCAAAAGTTCCTTTCTTCCGAGAAATTAAGGAAGAAACAACTAGCATCATTTACTAAAGTCATTTCTCCTCTTGAAGAATCGCTTGCTAATCTAACTAAACTTAGAAGTGAAATTGATAAATTACCTAATGGTCAAACAAAAGTTTATTCAACAAAACTCTATGATATTTCAACAAATTATCTCGATGGACTTGTTAAAGTCATGAAAATATCAAGAGACCATCCATCGAAAACAGTTGAACCATCATCACTTAATGATTTTTCTTCAGCTTCATGCCAAGCAGCGCAATCTTCTGCAACAGCAATTGAAGACATTATTTCGAAGAAAGGTGGCTCAGAGGATAGAGTCATTAATACAATGAGTCTTTTTGTTCAGCTTAATGATCAAGTTCGATCTATCAAATGCGCTGAAGAATTAAAACTTGTAGATGTTGTATCTGCCACGACAAAACTTAGTCAATTAGTTATCGACAGTGCAAAAGCAGCACGTGATGTCAAGCTTGCAGCCAAGAAGAAGAAAGATGGAAAAGGCTCAAGTCTGAAGAGTAAAACAGAATCTGAAGAAATTGGAGATATATCAGAGGAAAGCATTTCTAGGAGACTGATTTTGGAGTCAAGAGTTCTCAAAGCTCATTATATACATGACTATTTACAAAAGAAACTTTCCCAAATCAAATGACCTATAACTATTCATATATTTTATTATAAAGTGTTTATGTTTATTATCCAGCTTTTAATATGATTATTTATTGTGAATGTGAAATGTGATTTTGATAATAATTTCTTGTTCATACCAAACTTAGAAAGGAAAATGATAAATTACCAAATGAATTTACATTGATTTTTTATTTTATTCCCCTAAAATAAAAAAGTAAGATTTACGTGGCGTTTTCCGGAAAACCCACGTTATTAATAAACTTTAGTTTAATGTTTGCAAGCCCTTTCAATGATAACAATAGTGTGAAACGACATTGGATATTAACCTTAAATAACAAAGTAAAAATTGAATTAGAAAATAAAAATTCCAATGATAAAGATATATCACCATTTTTGCATAAGGAGATATATATATTAATTATGAATGTCGTTCAGATTTTTCTGAAAGTCCTGGTAATTTTATTTAATGGAAAAATCGAGCACAGAAAAAATTGAATGTAAAAAAAACATCATTTAATCATAATGTCAGCAGAGCACTATTCGCAGCACATTGATGAATGGTGCAATGATAGTAGTTTCATCAATAAGAAAACTGTTGATGAACTTTGCATTATATTAGATCACTGTCAGTTCACATCTAAGCAGTTCAAACAGTTATTTACTATTATAAAAGCATCTTGCAGCATTGATGAATCACTTTCATTGATGAAACATTCGAAAATCTTGAATCATAATGATCCAAATGAGTCAAAATTGATATTGGAATATGTATCCAAATTCTTTGATATTCCACTCATATACGAAGTTTGCAATGATATAATCTATACATACAAGTTCCAAAATCGCATTAAAAATGCACCAACTGCAACAAATACAGATTCTTCAAATAGAAACCCACAAAAAGTCGCAACAAGTGATGAAAATACAGCAGCTTTGAGATCTATTCCAAAGAATGCAGCCCACTTTTTAAATATATATGAAATCCTTCAAAAAACTTCAAATGAAAATGATGAATACACAATCAAAGTTGCAGTTGATGAAAAATATACAGAAGTAAAAAGTGGAGGTATTGGAGCATATCCACTTTTATACGCTGCACTTTCACAAGAAAATAATCTCGTCTTCACTCTTGTAAAGTATGGTGCAGATCCTACAGTGAAAACAGATTATTTAGATTCTCTTCTTCACATTTTTGTAACTAAAAATAACTTGGAAGGGTTAAAATTTGCAATTAAATATGTTGATGTAAATTCACAAGATGTTGAAGGCTCCACTCCACTTCATATTGCATATCGATATGGTTTTGTTCATATTGCTGATTTCCTCCTTGAACAACCAGGATTAAATCCGAACATTATGAATCAAAAAGGTGAGACACCTATTAACATTTATCAACGTACCAAACAAGCTTTAAAAAATAATTAAAAGAGGCCGAAGAATATATTTATTTTTAATAATCATTTTTGAACCATATGTAAAATGCCACTTATGCTCATATGATATCGCCTTCAATTTTGTTGTTTAAGGTTGATTTTCAATGATTCTTCCCTGCTGTTGTCAGAAATTTGAATTAAAGTCAGATGGGTGTAAATTGTTGTAAACAGAAATTCATCAAAAGTGACACCTCAGAAAAGCTAAAATATTGAATTTTTGGAACTTTTGATAGAGCACGTTTTTAAATATTAATTAAAGTAAATGTATATTTTGTAAAGATTCTTTTTAATAAAAAAATAAAATTTTGAAGAAGAACACAAAATCTTCTGAAAAATAATATCACATAAACTCATATTATTTTCTAATATATAACTATTTTATATAAAAATCAAATTCAATGATCTTAAAAGCGAATGATAAACCTCAAAATTTACGAATATAATGAGTGGGAATATAATGCTTATCTATCATAAAACCATATGAAATATCAATTTTTGCTTTACGCCTAATTTTTGACGACAATTAGCAAAAAATGTTAAATGTTAACACTCAGTCCATTTGAATATGAAAATAAAATTGACTTTGATTAAATGTTTTTATTTATCATGCAATTCTTCTTGCGACCAAAGATTTGAATAAAAGTTCAAAAAATAAGATAGCTTAAAAAATAATATACGGTAGTGTTTACTAATAGATGAATAGTATATAAATTCTATTAAAATGGATTTGATCCAAAAAAATATAAAACCAAAAATAATTGTTATATTTAAATGAAGAAGTAATTTAAAACGATTTTATTTATGATCAAATTTTATATATTTTTTTGGATCAAATCCATTTTAATAGAATTTATATACTATTCATCTATTAGTAAACACTACCGTATATTATTTTTTAAGCTATCTTATTTTTTGAACTTTTATTCAAATCTTTGGTCGCAAGAAGAATTGCATGATAAATAAAAACATTTAATCAAAGTCAATTTTATTTTTCATATTCAAATGGACTGAGTGTTAACATTTAACATTTTTTGCTAATTGTCGTCAAAAATTAGGCGTAAAGCAAAAATTGATATTTCATATGGTTTTATGATAGATAAGCATTATATTCCCACTCATTATATTCGTAAATTTTGAGGTTTATCATTCGCTTTTAAGATCATTGAATTTGATTTTTATATAAAATAGTTATATATTAGAAAATAATATGAGTTTATGTGATATTATTTTTCAGAAGATTTCATTCTATATGCCTATGAAAAGTACTCTCTAAAACTATTTCCTAATTATAATTAAATCTAGAATATTGTATTATGCTTAGTATTATTTCATTTTTCTCATTCAATTTAGACTTTACAAATGTCAAAAAATTGAGAGCTGTCACTTTTGATGAATTTCTGTTTATTACAAAATACACCCTAATTCTTCTATTAAAAAGAATTTTGAAACTTTTCTGTTCTTTCGATATTTTTTATTCAAATCTCAAATTTTTGATTTTCTAAATCTTTCACGATCTTCCCTTCATGAATAATTCTTCTTATCTACGACTTTTGTTTCAAAATATGCCAGCATTTTTCAATGGATAAATTTTTTAGACCTTCTCCATTTAATGGAGAGGTAAAAACTTATCCAAAAGAATATGCTGATCTGATTGAAAATCCAGAGTCGTATCAAAAACAATTAATAAACATTATTAAGGCGAAATCAAAATCAATTGAAGAATATTATCCATCAATCTCTCAAATGTATGATAATTTAATACTAGTCTTGAAAGACAAGTATGACAAAATTATAGAAACATATGTTAGATTTGAAACAAATCCTGTTGCTGGTCAAGAAAATCTTTATATGGATAATATTTCTCTAAAATTCGAAGGTGATTATATAACTATTAAGAATGTTAATGCAAAATGCTTGTTCAGATTATTAGAAACATATTTCAAACAAATTAATGAAAATGAATATCATTATCTTGTCAAATTTGGTTTATCTCCAAGCTCTTATCCTTTATCAAAGCTTTCTATAATAAGTAATCTCATTGATGCTAGAAAATCATTTAGAATTGGTGGAACAAGTGAAATTATCACAAAAGATATTATTAATGAAGAAGGTGAACTCAAAAAATGCATTAATGATGTTGTTTGTAGTTTACAAAAAATAGAGAATCATCCAATCGAAAAATGGAATAAAAGTGATGAAATCGGAAATCTCATCAGAAATGCAGCGAATAAGGCAATTTGCATTAATTCATTGAATGGATCCTATATTGTTTTCCAAAATAGCGAACAAAGATACACAATTGATATCAAATCTCAAAAAATCATCACAAACGAAGGAACTGTAGATGTAAGTAGCATTTATCCTTTTAATATCATTAATGCTGCTATTATAAATGGATGCTTAACTTTAATCGGAATTAAAGATTCAGAAGTTTGCATTATTCAATACAAAGATGACAAAATGAAGAAATTGGGTGAATGTGAATACACATTAGTTGGAACAGGAATAAAACTCCTTAATTCTGAATTTTGTTGTCATATCATTTATAATGAATTGCATTTGTACACAAATGATCACAAAATTGTTATTTACAACTTAATAGATAAGAAAATAATCGATCAAAGTCCTCAGTTCTATTTGTTTTCATATGAAAACTTTAGTTGCAATCAAATTTATTGTGTCACTTTTGACAACGAAAACACTTTGTATGTTGATCGAAGAAAGATTGAAACATTAGACAATTATGTTACATTAATCCGTCCATCGTATGCAAATGAATCATATCAAGCAATTTCAATGATTGCAGATGATATAATGGCAGATATAACAAAGACATTTATCAATATAATTGTTAGAGGAAATATCGAAAATACTTATGTATTAAATCCTATTCAGCACGTTGAATATGCGGTTTCAATTCTTAGGAAACTGGAATCTAGCGATATCCCTCCCAATTTAAAGGAATTTGTCGACATCTTCTTGGCAAGATTTATCGTTTTGAATTTAAGACAGATTTTCTACAAAAAGCAGAATATCAAAGAAAATGAAAAAGAAGAGATCATTAAACTATTTGATAGCATGGCTCCAACAAAACCTGTTCAGGACACATTTGAAATCATAATCAAAGCAATTAAATTTGGCATATATTGGCCAAAATTAGTCGATTTAATTAACGAACGATTTCTTAAACTCGAATCAACACCCAAGTTTATTCTCTTCAAACTTGAACAAAGTATTTTCTTGCCTTTTGATATTAATGACTTGGATTCTTTTGATGATAATACTTACAACATTGGTTTTATTCAGAACAGAATTATTGACCTATATGCATTAGTGAAGAAATTGGATGGTATTTGGAAGTATGACAAAGAGTTCACTCATTTCATTAACTTTGTCTTTACTTATATCAAATCAATTTATCGCAATGAAGATTCAGCAAAAAGAAATTGTTTGGAAATACTGAAAGAGTTATTTTCAATTCTAATGATAATTCCAATCGGACCATTTCTTGGATGCACAATTTCTAAATACTTAAAAGAAATTGCACAAGAAACTAATATGATTTATGAAATCATGTTAGTCAGCGATGACTTTAAAACACTCATGAAATATTTCAAGAATTATGCATTTAATGATGAAATAGAAGATATACCGTCAATTTCTCTCCACACAACAATTTTTGCACCTAAGAATTTGAAAAGCACAATTGAAACATCTTTTAATTCTCCTTTCATCAAAATTAGTGTAACTCAAAAGCACTTTGAAAAAGATAAAGAGAATCAGGTTACATTGTTCAATGAGAGAAAACTTTCCCAGCAACAAGAAACAACAGCAATTGATGGAAATAAAGTCAAAATCCAAATTACGGGAAACAATGAAAACTCCCAATATATCTTGGAGAGTGTTGTTTCCCAAGAGCAAGGCAAAGATGGCGAATTGAATGTTATTAATGAAGATGTTGGAAAACTGTTATTATTGCCTTACTTATATTTAAAAATAAGTCAATCAATTGAACCAATTTTTGAAGAATTTGAAAAGGAGAAAGAACATAAAGAAGTATTAAATTTGGGACTGTTAAGACCGAATGATTTTCATCGTAGATTAATTGAATATTCAAAAGCGAAACAGTTTAATCTGAATGATATTCCATCAATCATCTCCAAATTTTCAATAAAATCACTATTAAGAAACAGAGAATTCAATTTTAATATTCAACAATCATGTGTCAAAATAATTATTTCATTATTATGGTCATGTGGTTTCAAGGATGAATTTGAATCTTTCGAGCAAAATCCAACTTTGAAAACTTTTGAAGAAAAGTTCAAAACACTCTTCATGAAACAAATCAATTCGATTCAGGCCAAACTTGTTGATACATTTGGGAAAAATAAGCTGGAATTTGAAAAAATAAAGAAGGCAATTGATGTTAAATTTGATATCCTGATGAATTCTAATTGCAACATTAATATGTCAAAAAGAGAATTTTTGATTCAAAAAATCTTGATTTTTTATGATTTCGGTTTCACTTGTTACGAAATTGAACGAATCAAAGAAGTTCATGCATTTAAACAACAAATTCGTAATGCTTATGAAATGATAGTTGGCTTCATTACAAAGCTAGCAAATTTGTATGAAGACCCTCAGATAAATATTTTCATTCCACTTGTAAGAGCATTTGTTCAGAATATTGACTCATTTTATAACAATACAACATTTGAAAAGAACGAATTTCAGAATATTTGCTTTAAGTTCCAGGATCCAATAATAAATATTCATTTGATTCTACTTGAGAAATCACCTACACGAATGAAATTGATTTCACATTATTTCAAAGATGATAACAATTTTTCAGCTTTCTTTAATTCTATATTAATCTTATATGAAATGTCACAATTCATTATGCCGATCAATGATAATCCAGTGAAGCTACAAATTCCGACACAATACAATGAATCTAATGATATTATTGATCTAGGAAATGCCGTTTTTAATTGCGAATACTCTTGGAAAGTTGCAAAATGTGTCGAAAATCTGAGGGAAAAACCATCGCATCAAATTTGTGACGAAATTAAATTTAATGATCGTCATTTATCTCATTCAACCATTGGAGCTATGATTTGTTTAGGTGCAGAAATATTCGATTCTGAGATAACAAGATACATTGTTGATCAAGGAAAAATTGTAGGAGCTTGTAATTACAACAATACTATCCAAAGAAACGCTGAAAGTTCTTTCAAATTGCCACCTCCAAAGTTTGAGGTTACAGAAAAATTAAAGGATACAATGAAAGATATTGTTCATTTAATTGATTTAGATACAAAAGATTATTATATTGCGATCCAAAACTGTATTATTTTGTCTTTTATGACAAAAGTATTTGAGAATTATCCAAATAAAGTTGAGCTAGTTGATTGGTCAAAGACATTGAAAAAATTGGTTTCACAAACATATCAAATTCAAGGAATCCCGAACTTCTCAAATTCGCAATTTTCTTTCTTAATAAGACAGAAATTGAAGAGATTTACAGCTATTGATAAAGAGGTAGGAATTCCGAACAATGATAGATTCATTCCATTAACGGAATATACTAGCAGTAATGAAGAAGCAATCGCAGGAAGTCCATCCACTGAAACTTTCTTTGTTTACACAAAACAGCTTGAGAATTACGAAAAAATTAAATTCAAACTTTCAAAGCAAACCAATACTTTGAAGTATATTGGCTTCATAACGGATGATTGGGACACTGTTTTCTTAAGTTTGTTCGATATGAACATCTACAGTGATAAAGGATTCACAAAATATACCGGAAGTCAGTCAAAAGTTGTTTTGTCAATTGTTGATAATTATCTTCTCTTTGGCGATGTAAAAGTCGACAGTCATGCATTAAAAAAGAGATGGGTTTTCATGATAACAGTTTGTGATAATTCACCAATTAAATATAAAATCTCTAAGAAGTTAATCCGCACAGCAATAAAACCTGCAAGTGTTTCTCAGATGGAGCCTCATAATTTTGATGTCCAAGCAATTTTCCCAATCATATGTTTGGGAAAGCAAGTCGATCTTCGTGATCACAGCAACATGATTGTTTCTGAAATCCTTGATGGACATAGATTTAGAATTGAGGGAACAAATAATTCTTCCAATGCTTATGTACAATACGATGTATCTGCGTTTCAATTTAATGTTCATTACACACCATTTGATACATTGATGAATAATGCTGAATTGAGTTATCGAATTGGTAACAGAACTGATATATTACGTGATCTTTTATCAACATGTAAGAGTTATTCTCAATCAATATTAAAAGGATTGTACAAGTATTATGCTGCAAAGATTAATTCTGAAATGGCAATTCCTAGAATTGCAAAGTTAACTGAAACATCTTCAAATTCTGAAGTTAATGATATTAAGAAATTGATTAAAGGATTTGAGAATAAAGTACTTCAAGAAATCGAAGAAGGCGTTCGAAAGATTGAAAATGATTCTAGTTTTGCACAATGCCAAGATATCAATGAATTGTCCAGTTACAAATTCGGATATTTCCAAATTGCTCTTTTCCAGGCTTGGGATCATTGTATTTTCTTCAATAAAACATTCATTGATGGTCTTAAACTTTTCTACAAATATAAGAAGAGTTGCCTTGGATTCATTCCAATGATATTGAGAGCATTTGAAAAAGAGATTCCATCAAATCTTTCTGACGCAAAAATGGTATTGGAATTCTTTAATACACCAAATTTCGATTCATATTTCAGAGATATGGATAAGATGAATATCAGAGATTATTTTAACCGATTACTAACTTTTATATTTGAAAGAGAGCCTGATACTATTGTAAAGAAACAAAATCATTCGGTATTGATCAATGAATGTGCTAAAACATATATTCCAAGTCTTTGGGAACTTGGACAAGATTCTTCAAATTGTGAACGAAGGATGCCATTGTTACTACTTTATTCAGATGAAGGAGCTTCATTTAATAAGTTTGTTTCAACAGGAAGTATCTACTATCCTATTGAAATTTTATTGACAAATGGCAAAACGGAGATTCTACCAAAGGGGAAATGTCCAAATCCATATCAGTGCAAAGGATATCGATATCATTTTGGAGCAGATGGAAATCAAGTTTTGGAAGATTGGAGAAATTATAAACTTAAAGATTTCAGAGAATTGTACAATTTATTACTTGTTCAATATATTTTGAAGAACAAAATTGCAGAATCCCAAATTGGAGATTATCCAGCAATTGTATTATATTTCGTCAACATTGGTTTATCAAACATCAAAGAATTGCCAGATGATCTCTTTGATTATCAAGGACAAGACGCACAAAAACTTTATGATTATGTTAAACGCACAATTGCTAATCATAGAAGTGAAGAACCCTATCTTGAAATTGATATGGAGCATACAATTGCTCGTGGAGAAAGTCCTAATTCTCCTTATTTGAACAAGATCTTTGAATATCTTGTAAAATCGAAATTCCCTACTAAATTATATTCGATGAGCAGGATTTTTAAGGTGAAGTATATAGGTGAATTTAGTATTGATGCCAGTGGCTTATTTAAAGATTCATTTTGTCATATGGTTGAAGAACTTATGAATCTGAAGTTAGGTTATTTCAGCATTAAACATAATTCATTATTATGCGAATCAGAATGCTTGGTTCCATCAATAACCTTAAGTCCAAGGCAGGCTGAAACAATAGGAGCATTGATTTCAAGTGCAATTGCAACTCAAAATTGTCATAAAAAATGGAAAATTCCATTATTTATTTGGAACAGTTTTGTCACAGATGCAAAACTTTCAGCTCTTGTTGATTGTAGTGATGATGACTATTTCAATAAATTAGAAAATGTTGTAACCAATATGAGAAATGGATTTTGGAAAGTTCTTCCTTTGCAAGAAGTTAGCAATTTATCAGGAAGATTCTTGAAAGGACTGGCTTGTGGAAAAGAAGGAGCATTAGACTATAATTCTTTCATTAATTTATTCAATTTAGACTCAAAAATCCTTCCAATATGGAATACTTTTACAGCAGCAATTTCAAACTTCACTTCAGAACAATTTTCTAAATTGTTAGAATTCATCACCGGAAATTGTACTCTACCTATAAATAATAGTCCAATAATAGAACTTGATTTGATAGAAACAGATGAATATGATGAGAGTAAATATAATCTTCCTTGTGCTCATATATGCTTTAATAGACTTAGCATTATGCCATATAGGGATATCAATCTTCTCAGAGAAAAGTTAATAATATGCATTACTTATTCCTCTATTTTTGAAGATTAATGTTTGTAATAAAATTGTATATATATCAAAATTGCATTTTCATGAATAAATAAATATATAATTTATAAATATTAGAAATTATTATGCAAAAATCAAATTACAATCTTTATTTTTATTTTTAGATGTATATTAAATTACACATCTATGAATGAATATAATACAAATGAAGTATACTCGAACTTGATGCTAGAATTATCAGCACTGATTTGAATTCTTATTTCATGTATTAAAATTAAATTAAAATATCTTTATGGAATGACTGCTCTTCAATATGCAGTTAAGATTAAAAAAAATGAAATTAATAAAAAAATATGCTTTTAAAGTAAATTTACTGTTGATTCTGTGGATTCTCTTGTTTTTCTTGTGGAACTTGTCCATTTTCTTTACGCCATTCGCAGAAAGCGTTGTACTTCATCGCATTGACGCGTTTCTTCTTGAAAGAGTTTTCCCACTTTTTGAACTGGACAAACTCATCAATAGAAATCTCAACCTCTTGATCAGATCCGCATTTGCAATGAGACTTCTTGTCTTTCTTGTCATCGTAATCTCTATCTTTCTTATCTTTCTTATCTTTCTTATCTTGTTTGCTTCTCTTATCTTGTTTCCTGCGGAGTTTCTCCTCTTTACGACGAAGCTTTTCTTCAAGCTTCTTCAGCTTGTTCTCCCTGTACTTAAGACGTTCTTCTTCTGGGAGATTGTTGATGAATTCTTCGCGTTGTTTGAAAACTTTGTTCTTCTCTTCGACTGCATGTTGGAGTCTTGCCTTTCTCTGATCTTGAGTCTCACCTTCAACAGGCAAGAAGAGTTTCCAGTCTACTTGTGGGTATCCTTGAGCATCTGGTAACTTGATTTGTTCAGGAGCTGTCTGAGACATGAATGAATGTGAAGTGGAGCAAAATCCACCGAGCAATCGCTCGCATATAAAAAATCGTTGATAGAGCTCAGAAATAAATCGGTAAATTTAAGAATTTTTTTTCTCCCACTTCATAAATTCGGATCATTTTCGATACAATTCATATCGTCTTAGACAAAAATTTTAGATAAATGTTCATGATATGAAATATAAAACAGATATGAACAAATTTCGATTTGTATAAAAATCGATAAAAATCGTTTATATTCTTCACATCAAACTTCGGTGAAATTATAGATTAATAATTGAAATATCATATCATATTCATCTATAAAATCATGTATTTTAGACAAAAATTTTCCAAATTTATGAATGATTTCAAACGAAATTCGAAATCACACATACAAAGTTTGAGATATATGTGCTTTAACATCATCATCTTCATATATTGATATATTTAGAGTTCTTTCGATAGTTTTTATAACACTTACAAATTATTTGTAATAAACTCCAATATCAATGTTTTATTATTTAAATATTTTATGATTTTCCAGCTACGGCAAATTCTTTTCATAACAAAGTTTCTATTTTATAAGGGATCATATCGACGACTTTTCTTTGAAAATAATATATGCCAACATTTTTCAATGGATAAATTTTTTAGACCTTCTCCATTTAATGGAGAGGTAAAAACTTATCCAAAAGAATATGCTGACCTGATTAAAAATCCAGAGTCACATCAAAAACAATTAATAAACATTATTAAGGCGAAATCAAAATCAATTGAAGAATATTATCCATCAATCTCTCAAATGTATGATAATTTAATACAAGACTTGAAAGACAAGTATGACAAAATTATAGAAACAAATGTTAGATTTGAAACAGATCCTATTGCTGGTCAAGAAAATCTTTATATGGATAATATTTCTCTTAAATTCGAAGGTGATTATATAACTATTAAGAATGTTAATCCAAAATACTTATTCAGATTATTAGAAAAATATTTCAAACAGATTAATGAAAATGAATATCATTATCTTGTCAAACTTGGTTTATCTCCAAGCTCTTATCCTTTATCAAAGCTTTCTATAATAAGTAATCTCATTGATGCTAGAAAGTCGTTTAAAATTTGTGAATTGAGTGAAATTATTACAAAGGATATTATGAATGAAGAAGGTGAACTCACAAAATGCATTAATGATGTTGTTTGTAGTTTACAAAAAATAGAGAATCATCCAATCGAAAAATGGAATAAAAGTGAAGATATCGGAAATCTCATCAGAAATGCAGCGAATAAGGCAATTTGCATTAATTCATTGAATGGATCCTATATTGTTTTCCAAAATAGTGAACAAAGATACACGATTGATATCAAATCTCAAAAAATCATCACAAACGAAGGAACTGTAGATGTAAGTAGCATTTATCCTTTTAATATCATTAATGCTGCTATTATAAATGGATGCTTAACTTTAATCGGAATTAAAGATTCAGAAGTTTGCATTATTCAATACAAAGATGACAAAATGAAGAAATTGGGTGAATGTGAATACACATTAGTTGGAACAGGAATAAGACTCCTTAATTCTGAATTTTGTTGTCATATCATTTATAATGAATTGCATTTGTACACAAATGATCACAAAATTGTTATTTACAACTTAATAGATAAGAAAATAATCGATCAAAGTCCTCAGTTCTATTTGTTTCATATGAAAACTTTAGTTGCAATCAATTTATTGTGTCACTTTTGACAACGAAAACACTTTGTATGTTGATCGAAGAAAGATTGAAACATTAGACAATTATGTTACATTAATCCGTCCATCGTATTCAAATGAATCATATCAAGCAATTTCAATGATTGCAGATGATATAATGGCAGATATAACAAAGACATTTATCAATATAATTGTTAGAGGAAATATCGAAAATACTTATGTATTGAATCCTATTCAGCACGTTGAATATGCGGTTTCAATTCTTAGGAAACTGGAATCTAGCGATATCCCTCCCAATTTAAAGGAATTTGTCGACATCTTCTTGGCAAGATTTATCGTTTTGAATTTAAGACAGATTTTCTACAAAAAGCAGAATATCAAAGAAAATGAAAAAGAAGAGATCATTAAACTATTTGATAGCATGGCTCCAACAAAACCTGTTCAGGACACATTTGAAATCATAATCAAAGCAATTAAATTTGGCATATATTGGCCAAAATTAGTCGATTTAATTAACGAACGATTTCTTAAACTCGAATCAACACCCAAGTTTATTCTCTTCAAACTTGAACAAAGTATTTTCTTGCCTTTTGATATTAATGACTTGGATTCTTATGATAATACTTACAACATTGGTGTTTATTCAGAACAGAATTATTGACCTATATGCATTAGTGAAAAATTGGATGGTATTTGGAAGTATGACAAAGAGTTCACTCATTTCATTAACTTTGTCTTTTCATATATCAAATCAATTTATCGCAATGAAGATTCAGCAAAAAGAAATTGTTTGGAAATACTGAAAGAATTATTTTCAATTCTAATGATAATTCCAATCGGACCATTTCTTGGATGCACAATTTCTAAATACTTAAAAGAAATTGCACAAGAAACTAATATGATTTATGAAATCATGTTAGTCAGCGATGAGTTCAAAACACTTATGAATTATTTCAAGAATTATGCATTTAATGAAGAAATAGAAGATATACCGTCAATTTCTCTCCACACAACAATTTTTGCACCTAAGAATTTGAAAAGCACAATTGAGACCTCGTTTAATTCTCCTTTCATCAAAATTCATGTAACTCAAAAGCACTTTGAAAAAGATAAAGAGAATCAGGTTGCACTGTTCAATGAGAGAAAACTCTCCAAACAACAAGAAACAACAGCAATTGATGGAAATAAAGTCAAAATACAAATCACAGGAAACAATGAGAACTCCCAATATATCTTGGAGAGTGTTGTTTCCCAAGAGCAAGACAAAGATGGCGAATTGAATGTTATTAATGAAGATGTTGGCAAACTTTTATTGTTGCCTTACTTATATTTAAAATTAAGTCAATCAATTGAACTAATTTTTGAAAAATCTGGAAAGGAAAAAGAGCATAAAGAAGTACTAAATTTGGGACTGTTAAGACCGAATGATTTTCATCGTAGATTAATTGAATATTCAAAAGCGAAACAGTTTAATCTGAATGATATTTCATCAATCATCTCCAAATTTTCAATAAAATCACAATTAAGAAACAGAGAATTCAATTTTAATATACAGCAATTATGTGTCAAAATAATTATTTCATTATTATGGTCATGTGGTTTCAAGGATGAATTTGAATCTTTCGAGCAAAATCCAACTTTGAAAACTTTTGAAGAAAAGTTCAAAACACTTTTCATGAAACAAATCAATTCGATTCAGGCCAAACTTGTTGATACATTTGGGAAAAATAAGCTGGAATTTGAAAAAATAAAGAAGGCAATTGATGTTAAATTTGATATCCTGATGAATTCAAATTGCAATATTGATAGGTCAAAGAGAGAATTTTTCGTTGATAAAATCTTGAATTTTTATGACTTCGGTTTCACTTATTACGAAATTGAACGAATCAAAGAAGTTCATGCATTTAAACAACAAATTCGAAATGCTTATGAAATGATATTTGGCTTCATTACAAAGCTGGCAGATTTGTATGCAAAACCACTGAAGAAAGGCACTAAAAATATTTTCATTCCACTTGCAAGAGCATTTGTTCAGAACATTGACTCATTTTATAATAAAGAAACATTTGAAAAGAACGAATTTCAGAATATTTGCAGTGAATTTGAGGATCCAATAATAAATATTCATTTAATTCAACTTGAGCAATCACCTACACGAATGAAATTGATTTCACATGATTTCGAAAATGATAGAAATTTTTCAGCTTTCTTTAATTCGATATCAATCTTGTATGAAATGTCACAATTCATCATGCCGATCAATGATAATCCAATTAAACCACCAATTCAAACCCAATATGATGAATCGCATAACTTTATTGGTCCAGGATATGTCGCTCTCAATTGTGGATACTATTGGGAAGTTGCAAAATGCGTCGAAAATATGAGGGAAAAACCATCATATCAAATTTGCGGTGAAATTAAATTAAAATTTCAATCTGATAAACATCATTTAATTTATTCGACCATTGGAGCTATGATTGGTTTAGGTGCAGAAATATTCGATTCTGAGATAACAAGATACATTATTGATCAAGGAAAAATTGTAGGAGCTTGTAATTACAACAATACTATCCAAAGAAACGCTGAAAGTTCTTTCAAATTGCCACCTCCAAAGTTTGAGGTTACAGAAAAATTAAAGGATACAATGAAAGATATTGTTCATTTAATTGATTTAGATACAAAAGATTATTATATTGCGATCCAAAACTGTATTATTTTGTCTTTTATGACAAAAGTATTTGAGAATTATCCAAATAAAGTTGAGCTAGTTGATTGGTCAAAGACATTGAAAAAATTGGTTTCACAAACATATCAAATTCAAGGAATCCCGAACTTCTCAAATTCGCAATTTTCTTTCTTAATAAGACAGAAATTGAAGAGATTTACAGCTATTGATAAAGAGGTAGGAATTCCGAACAATGATAGATTCATTCCATTAACGGAATATACTAGCAGTAATGAAGAAGCAATCGCAGGAAGTCCATCCACTGAAACTTTCTTTGTTTACACAAAACAGCTTGAGAATTACGAAAAAATTAAATTCAAACTTTCAAAGCAAACCAATACTTTGAAGTATATTGGCTTCATAACGGATGATTGGGACACTGTTTTCTTAAGTTTGTTCGATATGAACATCTACAGTGATAAAGGATTCACAAAATATACCGGAAGTCAGTCAAAAGTTGTTTTGTCAATTGTTGATAATTATCTTCTCTTTGGCGATGTAAAAGTCGACAGTCATGCATTAAAAAAGAGATGGGTTTTCATGATAACAGTTTGTGATAATTCACCAATAAGATATAAAATCTCTAAGAAGTTAATCCGCACAGCAATAAAACCTGCAAGTGTTTCTCAGATGGAGCCTCATAATTTTGATGTCCAAGCAATTTTCCCAATCATATGTTTGGGAAAGCAAGTCGATCTTCGTGATCACAGCAACATGATTGTTTCTGAAATCCTTGATGGACATAGATTTAGAATTGAGGGAACAAATAATTCTTCCAATGCTTATGTACAATACGATGTATCTGCGTTTCAATTTAATGTTCATTACACACCATTTGATACATTGATGAATAATGCTGAATTGAGTTATCGAATTGGTAACAGAACTGATATATTACGTGATCTTTTATCAACATGTAAGAGTTATTCTCAATCAATATTAAAAGGATTGTACAAGTATTATGCTGCAAAGATTAATTCTGAAATGGCAATTCCTAGAATTGCAAAGTTAACTGAAACATCTTCAAATTCTGAAGTTAATGATATTAAGAAATTGATTAAAGGATTTGAGAATAAAGTACTTCAAGAAATCGAAGAAGGCGTTCGAAAGATTGAAAATGATTCTAGTTTTGCACAATGCCAAGATATCAATGAATTGTCCAGTTACAAATTCGGATATTTCCAAATTGCTCTTTTCCAGGCTTGGGATCATTGTATATTCTTCAATAAAACATTCATTGATGGTCTTAAACTTTTCTACAAATATAAGAAGAGTTGCCTTGGATTCATTCCAATGATATTGAGAGCATTTGAAAAAGAGATTCCATCAAATCTTTCTGACGCAAAAATGGTATTGGAATTCTTTAATACACCAAATTTCGATTCATATTTCAGAGATATGGATAAGATGAATATCAGAGATTATTTTAACCGATTAGTAATTTTTATATTTGAAAGAAAGCCTGATACTATTGTAAAGAAACAAAATCATTCGGAATTGATCAATGAATGTGCTAAAACATATATTCCAAGTCTTTGGGAACTTGGACAAGATTCTTCAAATTGTGAACGAAGGATGCCATTGTTACTACTTTATTCAGATGAAGGAGCTTCATTTAATAAGTTTGTTTCAACAGGAAGTATCTACTATCCTATTGAAATTTTATTGACAAATGGCAAAACGGAGATTCTACCAAAGGGGAAATGTCCAAATCCATATCAGTGCAAAGGATATCGATATCATTTTGGAGCAGATGGAAATCAAGTTTTGGAAGATTGGAGAAATTATAAACTTAAAGATTTCAGAGAATTGTACAATTTATTACTTGTTCAATATATTTTGAAGAACAAAATTGCAGAATCCCAAATTGGAGATTATCCAGCAATTGTATTATATTTCGTCAACATTGGTTTATCAAACATCAAAGAATTGCCAGATGATCTCTTTGATTATCAAGGACAAGACGCACAAAAACTTTATGATTATGTTAAACGCACCATTTCGGGGGACAATCGTAATTGCATCTTTCTTAAAATTGAAATTAAATATACAATTGCCCGGGGAGAAAATATTAATTCTCCTAATTTTAAAACAATATTTGGTTACCTGATGGATTCTGGATTTCCACAGAGATTATATTCTGATGAAATAATTTATCATGCTGACTATACTGATGAAAAAGGTGTTGATGTTGGTGGCCTATTCAGAGATTCATTTTATTTCATTGTTGAGGAACTAATGAATTTGAATCTCAAATATTTCACCAATAAACCAATTTCATTATTATGTGAATCAGATTGCTTGGTTCCATCAATAACCTTAAGTCCAAGGCAGGCTGAAACAATAGGAGCATTGATTTCAAGTGCAATTGCAACTCAAAATTGTCATAGAAAATGGAAAATTCCATTATTTATTTGGAACAGTTTTGTCACAGATGCAAAATTCTCGGCTCTTGTTGATTGTAATGATGGTGACTATTTCAATGAGTTAGAAAAAGTTGTTACCAATATGAGAAATGGATTTTGGAAAGTTCTTCCTTTGCAAGAAGTTAGCAATTTGTCAGGAAGATTCTTGAAAGGACTGGCTTGTGGAAAAGAAGGAGCATTAGACTATAATTCTTTCATTAATTTATTTGATGAAAGAACTAAAAGCCTTTCAATATGGAATACTTTTAAACAAGCAATTTCAAACTTCACCTCAGAACAATTTTGTAAATTATTACAATTCATCACTGGAATTGATACTCCATCAATGAAATCAGGATATTTCCTTAAGTTATGTGAGGTACCGACAAATTTAAAAAATGAAGAAGAATATTTGCTCCCATTTGCACATACATGTTTTCTACAGCTTGATATTATGCCATACAAAAGCGCTGATCTCCTTAGACAAAAATTAATTGTTTGTATTAATAATTATTCAACGATGACAGGTTAATGCAAAATAGTTGTTTTTGCGAGTTTTTGCATCCTAGATAGGACTTAATTTTAATAAATTTTTTGTTTAATTTTAATTTAATCTAATTTTATAATTTAAAAAAAAAGTTATAAAGTCGAGCCTGTTAGATTCTATTATTGTTTTTAATCTAGTTTCTTAGTATGTAAATCTCATTATTTATCAATCTAAATAAGGCCATTTCTAATTAATAAGCTACATTCCAGTAAATGTGTTTGGACAATAATATGATATTAACATAATGTTTTTCAATTTATCTGTGATTATAATGAATTGAAAAAATATATAATTCATAATTAAGTAGATTTATATTTTAAAAAAAATATCCTTACCACAAGCAAATGTTAAATTTATATTAAAAACTGATATAATGCAGTTGGCATAAAAAAAAATTAAAAATGCTTTCGCTGTTGACAGTTTTAACTTCTTCAGTACCAAAAAGGTACCCTGGCATGCTTTACGGCAATGAAAACGAATACAAAATATTAATTGACATGTATTGCGATCCTCTTTGCTCTGACTGCGCTTATTCATGGCCAACAATTAAAAAAGTTCTTCAATACTATCCAAAAGACCTTCTTCTTAGATTCCACACAATTCCTCTTGATATTCACACATGGTCATACCACTCTGTTAAAGCTGTCCAAGCATTAAGATTAATGGATGAAGGAAAGGCTAAGCAAATGCTTGATAAGCTTTATGATGGCGATCAAATCTATTTCCTTAATACAGAAATGTTCAACACAAGTGAAAATCAAGCTATTCAAAAATTCTGCTCATATGTTGCTACAAACTTCGATGTTAATCAAAACGATTACTATAACCAATATGTTTCTATGCAAACAAGGAGTGCTGCAGGTCAAGAGTCCGTTTTATCCATTACCCACCAAGTTATGGGAACTCCAACATTCGAAATTAACGGAGTCAAGTCTGATTTTAACGAAGAAACAACCTTTACTGAATGGGTTGAATATCTTGATAGTCTTTTGTAAAATTATTTTAAAAATCGTCATTTCTTTTAATGGTTATTTTAAACTACTATTATTTTCTTCTATACTTTTTGTTTTAACTTAATTTTTAGATTTTGCTCTTTAATTTCATGAATTTCAAGGTGAAATTTTTCCAAAAGATTTATAATCCGAGATAAAAACATGATATAGAAATCTTTTCCTGGATTCGTCATTCATTATCTCATCATGTTCCATCATTACTCTCATATATTATAACTTATTCCGAGAACGCTATTATAATGATAGCATTTAAGTACAATAGAATTTCTATTTTCACATGGTGCAGCTTTTATTAAGGAAATAAAAATAACGAAAATACAAACAAATAATTTTAATAATCATCAGTAATATTAACAACATTAGAGTTCTTTGAAGGTATGTAGAATGATCCATGTTTCAAATTGTAAGCTCCTGGTCCAGGGGTATCATCTTTCTTCTCACTAAATCTCTTTGATGTTGGAATTGTTAATGGTCTTGGTCCATTAGATTCAATTGATTGATATGCATCTGGTCCTGGATTATCAAGTTTACTTGGTTCTATCCATGCTTCACCGTATTCAGTTCCTCTTATCATTGGAGGGATCTTTTCGTTGTCACCTGGATATTGTAATGTATAATCCGCTGGTCCTGGTCCATCTTCGATCTTCCTCAAGACTCTCTTTGTGCGACTTGCGAAAGAAGGACTCGTCTTCTTATTTAGAGTCGTTGAAGGTCTGACATTTTCTTCATAAGCTCCTGGTCCAGGAGTGTTTGGCGCAGTGAAGAAATCAGGTGACTTAGAACGAGAGAGCTGGGACTTATGGCTCTTTATCCATTTGACATTGGAAGAGTACTGTCCAGGCCCGGGATTGTCGTTGATTGTAAACGTATTTCTGCTTTGCCTGTAGCCAAAACATGTATCGACATTTCCGCGTTCAATATCAGGACTGGTCTTGATACGTGGTGCGTAAGCTGTTGGTCCTGGAGTATCTTGTGGGATATCTGAAAAGATGCCACGTTTGGAAGTAGACTTGAATGCTGGTGATTCTGTTTTTCCTTTGACCCAATCACTTTGAGGAACGACATTAAATGGTGTTGTTGGCTTATCGGCATCTCTTGTAACTCTAGAAATAGTTGTTTTCATCCTTTTATTGACAAAATGAGGAGAATAAGCCCCTGGTCCTGGAACATTATCACGTGATTGAAGGAAATAGTCTCTATCTTGATAAGTTCCTATAGGAGAGGTATGAACAGATTTTTTCAGATCTTTCGGATTGTAATAACCAGGGCCAATAGCATTCTCTGATTGGGTAGCAACTTTAAGTGGTTGCCACTCACCTTCTTCATTTGGAGCAAATCCGGAAACATTTTGTTGACCGACAAATCCCGTTAATGGAATTTTCGCTGGCTTTGGCTTAGGATGGTATTTTTTCTTTTGTTTGCAAGACCAATCTTTCAAAGATCCGTATTGTGCAGGTGAAGGTGTATCAGAAGGATTGAAATATTTTCTTGGAGAACATGAATGAAAGACTGAGGTAATTGATAATGAACTTCCTGGAGGAAGATCGTATTCACCAACTGGTGGTGGTTCGAATTTCGGCTGTTCAAAAATAATTCTGTTTGTTTTCGCTCCGAATGGTGCTTTTGATTTTTTCTTATTTCCTATTGTTAAACCGACATCGTATTTACCAGGACCAATATCTTCAGGCGTGTTTTTGATAACATTTGTAAAAACTCGCTCAGTAGAAAGTCCCCAGAGCGATGCCATGAAATTTCGTTAACGTATATTTTGTCACCTTTTTATTCAAGAAAAATTTTAAACAAATGGATGCTCCAACAGCCCAGAAAGTTATATTTGATCCAGAAAACAACTATAAGATAAGAGTAATAGAACCAGAGCAATACAAGGAGACACAAAAACTCAAAGCAGGATGCGATCAATTCTCAACTGAAGTAAATGATTTCATGGGAGCAGTTAAACAATTCCTTGATTTCATGGAAACGCAGAGTCGTCGTGTAGAAGATCAAAAACTTAGATCAATTGCACTTAGAAATCGCGTACAAGAAGAAGTTGAATCTCGAAAGAGATCTCAAATAGATATACAGAATGTTATTGAAGCAAAGCAAAAGCAATTAGAAAAACTAAATGCGGAAATACGTTCCTGGGAAGAATACGATAGACAACTTGCCGAAAATAAAGATAAACTCGCAATGATCTAAGGCATCTGATATATTCTAATATTGTTTTTCAAATAAATTTACTAAACATCTAATATGTATTACAAAACAAAAACAAAATATATAAAATTATAAATCTTTCGAAGTTAAATAGTCTTGGAACTGCTTAACCTTAGCCAAATCCTCACTAGCAGTTAACACCATTGCATCTGAAGCAATATTTTCCACGAAATCGTCCATTGTTGGCTCATCTTCGTTTTTATAAACCAAATCTGTTTCTAAAAGGTTCTTTTCGCGCTTGGAAACGATTTCTTTGTGTCTCTCATGGCATATTGGACAGAATTCGATCACTTCGCCTAAACAGGCTAAATGATATGAGTGTCCACACAAAAAATGTCGAATTGGAATTTCCAAAGTATCATGGCATTTGTCGCAATAAGCAGTTTTGGTGGGGAAGAAGCCTGTCCTCTTGTTTTCTTCGGTTTCCTGCTTCTCTTGGAGGTCTTTGAGGTCGTTATCCACTTTTTCGGATAATTTGTTGTTTTCTTGCGACATTTCGTTGAAATGGCGGAGCATGAACTCTTTGATGGTGCCCATTTTGATGTTTCGACCCTTCAAACAGTTCAAAATTTCCAACATTGTGAGATATTTTTGGCACATCTCGAGCATTGGCTTTAATTGGGATTCATCGTTTCTTTTGGCAACAACGTTCAATGCTCGCTCCCATATGAAGACGTCTTTGTCGCAGTAAAGGGTGCAAATCTCGATAATTTTGTCAATTTCGGCAATTTTGATCAGAGAATCCAAAAGTCCGGCTTTTTCTAATACGCATTGTTTGGCGTGTTCATTTTTGGCACCAGCGATGACAATTAAAATTAACTCCATATCAAAATTCGCTCGTTTGTCATTCAAATATTTGAGTGCAATTTCATCGTCATCGTCGACTGGGTCTTCAATGGCGAGTTCAATCAACATGTTCCAATTGAACTTCTCTATGCGCTCGGGCATCTGCTGGAGGATAGTTCTCAAGATGTAGTACAAGTCTTCTCGGTGGTTCGTAAAGATTCTCTGAAGATATTTCAATTTTAAGAAATTCTTTTCTTTCGTAAGGCAATGCTGTAGTATAATATCGATCAACTCGCCTCTGTACGATGCAGGAAGTATGTCTAGAATGTCCGCAACCTCACGTAATGAGTTGACAAGCGTATCTTTGTCAACTTCATGGAAATAGTTAATGATTTCGGACCAAAACTTCCTCTTTATGAGGATATTAAGGTAAGTGGCGTATCTTCTGAACGCGTGTGATAGCTGCATCGCTTCATTAAAATAATTATTTTTCAATAAAATTTTTATAGCAGCATCTACATCGAACGAAGGCTCTCTATTGACTTTGGAGCCTTCTAAGGCCGCATTAATGATCGTTGTAAGCTTCTCCTTGTTACGTAATTTTGTATAACAATTAAATAACAAAGTTGTGTGTTGTTTTGTGGAAACTCTGTTATCATTAAGAGCTTCTAAGTACTGTATTAAGTATTCTGTCCTCGATGTCTCTATAAACTGTGAGATAATGAAGGAAGGTTCGATTCTCTTTATTGTTTTGATATAGCACTGTACTGCATTCTGATAATCGGACCTTTCCATGTAGTTTTGGCCCTGCATGTAATGAATATTTCCAACAAATTCTGGTGGTAAATTTTTTGCAATCGAAATTTGAACAGCAACTTCGAATTGCATGTTGTGGATAAGCTGGTTTATCTTTTCAATGATATCCGTGGGCTTGAGAAACATAAATGTTGAGTTTCTTCGAATAAATAAAACATATCCCCAAACATTATAAATTTGTTGGATACTTAGGCCACCACTTGCTTTTCCGAACACAAGATGTGTCTTTGGATGGTAAATGAGAACTGATCCTGGCTCATTATTGCCATAACAAGCAACTAAGTAATCTTGGAAGGAATAAAGAAGAGTTGGAGTATCTTCGATAGTGTATGTTAAGTCTATACCTTTTTCGTTGTATCGAGTAATCTCTTTGCCTCTGGAAACTACTAATAATCCGGCATCTGAAATTGTCGTGGCTCCATCTGTACTTCTGATATCAATTTTGGTCTGTGTTGGAGCAGAACCCTCTGTAAAAGAAACCGAAAAGATCTCTTTTTGAGTCAGAACGTATAAAGTTGGATAAATTTGATGCCTGACTCCGAAATGAAGCCCAATGACTGGATCATTGTACTTGAATACTTTTGGTACAGTATTTAGTTTATAAGGAGACGAATAAACAACGACATTGTTTTCATTCGAAACGAAAGCAATTTTTGAGTTATCTGGCAATGCCGTGATTGATCCAACAGTTTGATGAATAGCTTTAGAAAATGTTATCAGGCCTAATTGATCGAAATTACTTGTATTGAGATAATAAATTGTATATGATTGTAAATCTTGGCAAAAAACTAGCATTGTTGGATCACTATTGGCTAGTAGAACACGGATTATTTCCATATTCTTAAAAGAATATGGTTTTATTTCGCCACTTTTATCTCTCAAATAAAAGTCCTCGTGATCCGCAATACAGAGAACGCCATGACCAGAAGCTGTGCATGTAAACTTAATCTCTTCAAAAATATTTAAATCTACTGTTGCCGGTTCGAAAAAACGGAAATAATTCCAATAATTCGAAACTTCGGTATTCTCCATTTTTTGTCACTTTCGGAAAAACAGAAAACAGCAAAATTAATTTTTAGTACATTAATAGTAATATTGGTTGGATGGAAGTAACTTAAGAAGATTTCCATATCTTTGAAATAAAAAAATCAAAAAAAAATCTTCAATATTGCAAATTAAAACATGCTTGTTCCCTGTCATGAAAATTATTTCATATGGAATGGCTAGAAAGAGAGCAATGATTCTGTAAAAGAGATGAAATAATAACACAAGTAATGTTAATTGCATTATATCTTTTGTAAAATATGTATTTCGAGACGAAATTTATGTTTGGATATATCCTATATGAAGTTCTTTTTCAAATGACTATAACTACTTGTGAAATTATGATGCTTTTGGTTCTAGAAATAGACATTAAAAAAATATTCAATCAATTTTTATAATTTATTACATTAGAATAAAAACAGCAATATAAGAAATAGGAATATCAATTGAATATATTGATCTACGTTTGCATGAGAATCCAGAACAGTAATGTTGAGATTTAACATCAAGTTCAGATTGTTTAAGAAGATCAATAAATGGTTTAGTACTATTCTGTATGACGATGCCACATTGAAGAAGAGGACAGTTTGCGAATGCATTAACACCAATACTTTTTATAGATGATGGAAGTGTGATCTGTCGAAGATTGGTGCATCCTCGGAATGCATTATCTCCAATAGATTTGATGTTTCCATCTGGGATTGTGATAACTTCAACATTTATGCAGCCAAGAAATGCACCATTCTCAATGTTTTCAACGCCTTCAAGAAGACTGAAGTATATTCTTTTTGATGCTGGTGGATAAACATACATATGAAGTTTGTCATGGCTGTAGATTGCGCCACTCTCACTCATAAAATGTTCAGAATCAAATGAGCTAACATTACTAAACATACTACATCCTTCAAAAACACCAATATCAATTCGTGAAAGGTGACTACTAGATTGAATATTAACTGTCTCAAGATTAAAACAATCTTTGAAACATTGTGGTCCTAGAATTTCAACGTTGTCTGGAATATCAATTCGAGATATTCCTGTGTTACTAAGACATTCTGCTTCAAGTGAAATACAATTAGTTGGAATTGTGAATGATGTCAATGAAACACAGTCTTTGAACATAGATGAAGGAATAGATGAAAATGAAATTTGATTTTGTTCAAATGAAACTCTATCAATTGAACATCCTAAGAAACAACTAGCTCCTGCATATATGATACTTCTCGATATTTCTATTGATTTAAGTTTTATTAATCCACTAAAACAACTGAATCCTAGTGATATTGTCCCTTTGCATATAAATAAAATACTCTGAACAAAAGCACAATTTGCAAATGCACTGTCTCCAATAGCCAAATTAGAATCAGAATAAAAACTAATCGAAGTTAACTTACTGTTCGCAAAAGCTCTAGTTTGTATGTTAATTAATGATGCAGGAAAACTTATTGACATCGGAAGAGGGCAATTGATAAATGCATCAATACCAATAGTTTTTATTTTGGGTCCAAAGTCAAAGCGATTTAGTTTTATGCAATTACTAAATGCGAAATGATTTATTATCTCAAGTTCAGATTCTCCATCAAATGATACTGTTTCTAAAGTTTTACTTGAAGAGAAAGCGTTTGATAAGATATTTTTGACTTTATGTGGAATAATGATGTTTGGTTCTTCACTCAAGCATTGTATTAATGATGTGTTATCTTTTGAAAGAACTAAATGTTGTTTATCAATGTTAATTGTCGATTTTTCAGAGACATTAATCACTATAGTTTTGCTTGAAGGAAGACATCCACCTCCCAGTGTTGTTACTGATTCTGGAATATATAAATAAGTTAATAAATTGCAACCACTAAATGCTCCTTCTTGTATTGATGTTACTTTGTTAGGAATGGAAACCGAAGTTAATGATGATCCACTAAAACACTCATAATAAATTGTGGTAATATTTGGGGGCAATTCAATTGTACTTATCTTTGAATAAGAAAATGCATAAGAAAGGATTTCAGTCACTGTTTTTGGTATAGTTATACTTTTTAACTGAGAATTGACAAAACATCCTTCATTGATCATTGTAACAGTTGGTAAGATTATATATGAATCACCAATATTTGATGCACAATAAATAATTTTTGTTTTATCTTTTGAATAAACTGCTTTACCATCACTCCAAAAATATTCATTCATTGGATCAACATAAATACTTTTCATAGTTAATATAAAATAAAATGCGACCCCACTAATCTTATTGACACTTTGTGGAACTGTAAATGTTGTTATACTTGTAACATAAAAGGTGTTTACAACTATTTCCTTTAGTTGAGATCCTGGTGAAAAAGTTACTATTTCAAGAGATGTTATCCATCCAAATGCATATGATTCAATTGAAATTACTGAAGAGGGAATATTTATTGAAGAAAGCTTTATATAAAATAATGAAAAAGATAAGATTTTTTGTAGTCCTTCAGGTAAAACCATAGTTTGTAATGAAGTACAATAGGCAAAAGAATTGGATTCGATAGTTATTAATTTTGTGCATGGAGATAAATCAACACTAGCTAGATTTTTACATTCATAAAATGAAAATGAACCTATTTTTGTAAGTTTTGGATTATCATGAAATGAGAATTGTACTAATGTAGTTTTGATTGGTTTAAAACAATAGCTGTCCTTCGTACCATCAGCAATAACTTCACATGCAGATGAAATAATTAGGTGTGTTTTTGCTAATGTTACAGTGAGAAGAGTCTTCCCATTGTCAATGTATGATGATTGAGGTATATCTGTCAACTTTTAGTTGACTACTTAATAACTAAATTAGTAACAATTATTGAAATAAAATTCACAACATCAATTTTTTTTGATCTTAAATAGGAATATAAAATCTATTTTGGCTTATCATAGACAGTTTAAATATCAAATTTTATAAACTTTTATTTATAAATAATTCTCGTGGAATCATGAATTTTGTTATGATTATAGCCAGAAGAATATATAATACAAAAGAGCATATATAATCCTACCAAAATGTTCTTTCTGTTTCCATTCCTACGTCAATAAATCACTATTCATTATCATGAAAAGTACTAGCTTATATATCATCATTAAAGTAATACGCATAACTAATAGATATATGCACGGAATGAATACAAATCTATCTGCATGAATAAAAAAAAATGTGTGCTCATACAATTTATCATATAGATACTTATATATATATATAGTTGTAATACAGGCAAAGAAATAATGTCCTCATATGTTCTAAAACAATGAAGCACGATTAAAAATAAGATATTAAATAACAAATAAAAAAAAACATACTATATTTAATTAACAGCATAAAATTCTTCCTGATAATCTACTTCTTCTTGATCAATTTCATCATCATCGTCGTTTTCATCAGGGATGACGTAGATATCATGATCTCTCAAGTATTCCTTAGATTCATTGTATACTCTGGTGTATTTATTGAAGTATTTCATCATATGTAATGGACAAACTCTTATGACGCATTTTTTCAATTCATCAAAACAAGATCCATCGAATTGTCCAGCTATCATCAATCCTATTCTCAATCCTATGTCAAAAAGATACAATCCTTTATATAAATAGAAATAATCATTTGGAAGTTCTGCTCCTTCATTTTCTAAGACATCATCATAAAGCTGCACTGTTATATTAACATAATGATTGAGCAAATCAATTAGGAAAACCCGAAGATCAAAATCATCAAAGTCAACTTCTTCACAATAAAAATTTTTAATTTGAGTTTCCGATTTTTCAATAATTTTGTCATTAAAAAATAAAGAAGCTGCGCAATTTGATATTAAACAACCCATTGTTTGGAAAAGCTTTCCATAATTTTTCAGGTGTTCCGGATCTAGTCCATACCCTTGATTGTCAAGTAAATCCAAAAGATAAGATAAATAATCATCAGCAAATGATTTAAATATTCCTGTTTCACGTTTGATACTGTATCTTATCAATCTCAAAGCATCAAGTAGAAAATCAGTTTCAGCTAAGTGATATCTGATAATTTCAAGATAAGTATTCTTAGAATCATCAGAAAGCTCATCATCTAGAATTCCTGTAATGTTTATGTACATTTTTAAGGAATTAAAAAATCGATCTGATGAATTTGGATCATTCCATAAATTAGAAATATTTGAAACACAATGATTGGAAATTGCATCAATTATTACTTGATATAGTTTACGAACTTCTGTTCTTTCGCTGAATTTAGAATCAAATCTTTTTAACCAATAATTGATTGTAGAAAACACAAGATCCATATTCTTTTCTTTATTTTCGTATAAATACACAATAATATCATTGTAAATTGAAGAGTCGCAGAGATTATAAAGAATATGTCGAAATCTTTTGCAATTTGTAGGATCAATCTCTTTTATATAAGGGAAACTATGTGTTATAGCTTGGGAATAATGTTCTAGTTGTAGTAGTTTGAGATGGTTTGATGCAATTAAACTATTCTGAAACATTAAAATTAATTCATTATAATATTTCTCTGGTGATAAGTCGGATTCGAGTTTTTCTTTGTTTATGCGCAAAAGGATCTTATATAATTTGCCTTTCTTTTCGATAATTTTAGCTTTGATACCATTATTAGATTTATTCTCGATTTCGTTTAATTGGGTAAGTATTTGGTTGTTATCAAATAATATGAGTTTTTCTAGTATGGAAAAAGTCAGTTTAAGTGGAATACTTTGCTCTATTTCCGGTTCATTTAATGCGTCCAATATCTGTTGCCAAATATTCAGAAAATCTATGGTAAGGCTGGAATTAAATCTATTTTCATAATGCATTGCAAAGTGAATTGGAGCAACCAAATTATAATACTGACTATTTTGTTCAAAAATTGAATTAAAATTCGTAAGATCGAAGTATTTTGAGAACCAAACTAGTATTTCGGTGAAAAATTTGATGTGCCTATAGCCCTGTTCGTCATTTGTCTGAAAAGCGGCATAATTGGTATTAACAACTTCTTGGATCTCGCGTATGGATTCTTCGGTGAGATTGCTTTGATCTATAAACGATAAATATGAAGAAATTACTTGTTTTTCATATAGAGATTGCTCTAAATCACCTATCGAAGTCATTTGACAAAAAATCGTATAATAATTAAAAGGGTGTGTTTATCAAATAATTTACAAAAAATCTGAGTTGTGTTACCAATGATAAGGAAATAATGGCAGTATTGATAAGCTAGATAACAATCTTTATTTGTGAATCAGAAGAAGAGCTTGAAATTTTCAAATTGATTCTATCTAACAGCCCAAAAACATCAAATTGATATCTGGCATTTTGAGTAACAAGCCAAAATATCTAAAAACAGCAATTCATACTGCCAAAGTTAATATATCTTGAAACTTGATAATATTGCCATATTCATCACATAAATAATCATATTAGTATGAAATGGTTTAATTAGTAAATACGTATAAAATAAAAGAAACCCGAAATATAAGAATTTTAAAGTCAAATAACAAAATTGAAAATCAAATTTTCATATTAAAATAAGTTCAATCCAGAGAACTAACAGCGTATTTTAAAAGTTATGCTTTTCTTTCAGCTGTTTTATGGTTACATCAGGATTTGAACCACAAATTGAAATTAATTCCTTTAATTTCTTCAAAGCAAAATCTTCTTTACTCTTCTTGCTGTTATAGCTTGAAACCATTTCCTCAAAGTCCTCCACAAGCTTCTCTGCAGGATAATTTCTGATTGCAGTTGAACCTCCTCTTTTTGCAAAAACTAAAAGTGGAGAATCACCAAAGAACATTTCTCGAATCATTGAAATCTTCTTAGAATCATTTGTATTTCAATCTATTAAATAGAATGAATGAGAGAATAAGTGCCTTTTCACTTCGTAACCTTTCTGAGGTTAATATAAAAACTGATGTCTCTACTGCGCATTTATTGATCGGATTGCTGCTGTTCATTGGCATCTGGTCAAGTATGTTCTGGATTTTTTGCTGAGGGGAAGATTTTAAGTAATAAAGAACAAGCTTTGGGAATTGCTTTACGTTCTGAGAGAGTATTGGATTTATAACTTTTTCCATGTTTTTGAATGTGATTGGCCATCTGAAAGGAAATAAGTTGAGCTATAATGTGTTACTCTTTTTTCATTTGGGAAATTGCTAAGCTCAAAAGAACGGAATTCATTGTTGTAATTCAATGGGAATGATATATCAAATAGATTGATTCTTGTATTTGTTTGAACCATTTTAAGTAAATTTAATCTGCCATCGATGTCTAGCGTTATCTTAAGAGGTTCATTATTTCCTCCTTTCCACTCAACGAACATATCATTTGGTGAGTTGAAGAAGTGGAATGCACAAGTCCTTAGATCAGAGTCCATGGCAAAGAAAATGAAATGATGTCAACGAACCAAAAATCTCCTTTACAATTTTCTGAACTCACATAATTTTAACCTAAACGAACCTCTACTAGGAGTCTCATACATCATTTTTAGCAATATATTTGATTGCTATCGAATATTAATTTCCACTTTTTGAAAAGGCGGACTTTGCAGTTGAAAGGATATTTTTGACATGCAATTTCAATAATATAAAACATAAAATTCGATACAATTTAATATTAACGCAATATGAAATGAAACATAAATTGGTTCAGAATAAGCCAAGATAGATGATTGCATTGTAATTATCATTATAGAAGAATTAATATACTGTGATTTAATCAATAAAATATCATTATTGAATTGCCACTTGATGTAAATCAAAAAAATAAATAAATTGTTAATGTTGCTGCTTTAGATAAGACGTATTAGTGTATGATTAGAAATCAATGGTGTCATTTTTTCTGTTCAATGATAAACTGATAAAATGTCATGCTGGGAACCCACGTCTTAACCTTGATAGCATTCACTCTTTATAAATATCCAGCATATTGAATGGATACATTATATTATTGAGAGATATTCTGCAAAATATTCTATGAGTTTTAGTCGATATTTTTTTTGACATTTTATTCTTGATGTCATTCATCACTGAATCAATGTTATAGACCATCAATTCAATCACGGGCAAATTTATCTATAACTATGCATCTCATCCTGCCTATCAATTAAAAATAAGATGATAATTGAAATTAATTGTAAATTAACGAAGCTCAATGTTGGATTCATAAATATGCATACTTATATGGACCTTATTACATTCGTATGTATTTTTGTCTTAGATTTCGGATTTTTTAGAAAAAAATTAGATAAATTTTTTAATAAAACAACAAAAACTAGATGCATGACTTTTAAAATATATATAATTCGAATAGGGATAGAAATAAATATATAATAAACAAAAAAAATATAAAAAAATTAGATATCTTCCTCTTCAGATAACTTAATTGCTCTGTTAATAGACTCCTCAATTGATGCGCAAAGAACAGCAAAATCGGATGGTTGGCCCTGGCAAAGCTGTACAATAACCGCATTTTCGCCATCAAACGTTGCAACAGCGTACAAATCCTTTTCTTCGTGTCTGCAGATGATCATTGTCTCATCCGGAGAGAACCACTGCATCTGGAGACTCTTCATGCACTGTTGTATAGCGTACATCGCGTCATAACATTCGAGCGGGTACGAAATGATGTTTTTCGTAGCAGAAACCTCGCCCAGTTCATCAGCAGCGGCCGGCCAATCAATGGGGTTGGCCAAAGAACATGGATCGTTGGCCGCAAAAGATGCAGGGTGATTGAACGAGTCTGGAACGGAATTTCCTGGTGCAACAAGGAAAGAATCGATGGACGTCGATGCAGAGAATGTTCCATTTGAGTTTCCAACACATTTGTCCCAATCTAATTGATCGAGCATCATTCTAGTGGTCAACATGTTGTAGAAGACCTTGGCCATGGTTGGGGCAGCCTCACTGAGGTCGGCATTGAGCTCTTCGTCGCTCGGATAGCCGATTTTTCTGAGGATGTCTCGTAAATCTGGGGAAACTGAGTCGGGATCGATTGGCGTAGAGAATGATGGTAATGGTAATGGCGTAGGTTGTACAAAGTCTTCAGGGAGACCAGCAATGAATGCAGGATGCTCTTTAATTTGTCGAATTGTAATTCTTTGCTTTGGATCTTTCGTAAGCATCTTAGATATGAGGTCCTTTAGTGGATCACTAACATCAGGCATGGTGAAAACACCGCGTCTGACCTTCGCAAGTAAGTTTCTGATTGATGGATCGTCGAATGGAAGATTTCCTGTGAGTAATGCATAAAGTATAACTCCGCAACTCCAAACATCCGCACAGCGGCCATCGTAAACTTCACCTCCTATGACTTCTGGAGCAACATAATGTGGTGAGCCGCATGAAGTTTCAGCAACGTTCTTTTTTGTGAAACGAGCAAATCCAAAATCTGCAATTTTGATATTGTATTTGTCATCCAAAAGGATATTCTCCGGTTTCAAGTCTCTGTGGCATATTCCAAGGGAATGTAGATATTCTAAACCGTAAATTATCTGTCTGAAGAAACGCATGGCTGCTTGTTCACTTATTTGCTTGTTTTCTACAACGTAAGTAAATAATTCTCCATGTGAAGCGTATTCTAGACCGATATATAAATGTCTCGGGCTTTCTAGAATATCTAATAGCTTGAGAATATGAGGATGATCGAAAAGACGCATGAGTGCAATCTCTCTTTGGATTTTTGGTTGGAGTTGTGGGTTATCTTTAAAAGAATCTTTTTTTATTATTTTAATTGCGACTGGCATTTTTGTTTCTTGATGAATTGCCAACTTGATCTTGCTTGTGGAACCACTTCCAAGGTTACGGACAAGCATGTAAGGTCCAATTAGTTGTTGAGCAGTATCCATGTATAAATTTGCGATGGTCGACGATAGAGTACACAATAAATTGAATTCAAATTCGTGTCAGTTTTAGAAAAGATTTTATTTATGACAGTATAATTAATATTTTTTGATGGGTTTCGCTGATTTGTGTCACTTTTCTGATTATGGTCGTGATCTCAATTCAAAAAATTGGATACACAATTCATTTTCAAGAATTGATGAATGTTTGATAATAAGCTAAGAGCACCAAGATAACAAAAGAAAAAAGCTTTGAATCCCTTCAAAAAATTATCTGGAAAATCAAAAATGGCATGACAGCTTTCAAGAATTGAATATTTGGTCTATATTGTAGGAGTTTTAACAATTTTAATACTTTAATTCTAAAAATATGATTGAAATCATACTGGAGCCTAAAAATTGGATATTATTCAGAATATGTCGATTTTGCTGCTGAGAAGATTGGAATATTTTAATTTTAAGTAAATTACCTCTCTTGAACTGGATTCACTTATACTATTCAGCTTTAAAGTAAACAACTGAATAAAATCAGTTCGAGAATACTAATATGATGATTATAATAATAGAAAATGAGCTTTCAAAAAGGTATATTATTAGAACTTTATATATACATACTAAATCGAACTTAATATTTGAGATGAAATTATTTCTAAACCTTTAAGATGTCTAGATGCTAGGCATTTTTGCAAAAGTGTCATCAAGCATTACTTGTGAGATTTTAGGCTTGAACTTTAATTTCGTTTTCAAAATAACTCAGCCAACAGGACACCTGAAATTAAAATATTTAATTTTATAAATATTAATCGCCATAGTATTTAGTTTTGACTATTGTGCCATAGGAAATTACGAGTTTCATCAAAATATGAAGGAAATTTCAAGATGATTCTGGATTGATCATTATCATTCCTGCTTGAATGTGATTCGCATTTTATAGAGTGATTCTATTTTTCAATGATTTGTATTAAATCTTCAGAAAATTCATTGAATATGATGAAGAAACATTCATAGCCAAAATTAGAATATATTTGATGGTAAACGAACTATATGATAATGATATTGATTTGTTAATTGAGGAAATTCATAGTCTTAGTGAGAGAATATCAATTGGTGAAAAAACATGATTCCTAATGTTTGTTTGATGAACAAAATGTACCTCCATATAAATTATATGTGAATTGTGCTATAAATATTTCATTATATGATATGTCTGGTCTTGAAATGATCTAAAACTCATGAAATCTTGAATCTGCGAGCCTCAACCTTTTGAAATTGTCATGTATTATTGATTGTGGTATGGATGGAATAGACAATTTAATTAAATATTTTGCGCTCAAATATGGTCCGACACGTTTTTAGATCTTTCGGTAATTTCGTACCAAAAATGTTAATAAATTATATATATGACTACACTTGAGTGTGTAATAAACAGAAATTCATCAAAAGTGACAGCTCTCAATTTTTTGACATTTGTAAAGTCTAAATTGAATGAGAAAAATGAAATAATACTAAACATAATACAATATTCTAGATTTAATTATAATTAGGAAAAAGTTAGTTTTGAGAGTACTTTTCATAGGCATATAGAATGAAATCTTCTGAAAAATAATATCACATAAACTCATATCATTTTCTAATATATAACTATTTTATATAAAAATCAAATTCAATGATCTTAAAAGCGAATGATAAACCTCAAAATTTACGAATATAATGAGTGGGAATATAATGCTTATCTATCATAAAACCATATGAAATATCAATTTTTGCTTTACGCCTAATTTTTGACGACAATTAGCAAAAAATGTTAAATGTTAACACTCAGTCCATTTGAATATGAAAAATAAAATTGACTTTGATTAAATGTTTTTATTTATCATGCAATTCTTCTTGCGACCAAAGATTTGAATAAAAGTTCAAAAAATAAGATAGCTTAAAAAATAATATACGGTAGTGTTTACTAATAGATGAATAGTATATAAATTCTATTAAAATGGATTTGATCCAAAAAAATATATAAAATTTGATCATAAATAAAATCGTTTTAAATTACTTCTTCATTTAAATTATAACAATTATTTTTGGTTTTATATTTTTTTGGATCAAATCCATTTTAATAGAATTTATATACTATTCATCTATTAGTAAACACTACCGTATATTATTTTTTAAGCTATCTTATTTTTTGAACTTTTATTCAAATCTTTGGTCGCAAGAAGAATTGCATGATAAATAAAAACATTTAATCAAAGTCAATTTTATTTTTCATATTCAAATGGACTGAGTGTTAACATTTAACATTTTTTGCTAATTGTCGTCAAAAATTAGGCGTAAAGCAAAAATTGATATTTCATATGGTTTTATGATAGATAAGCATTATATTCCCACTCATTATATTCGTAAATTTTGAGGTTTATCATTCGCTTTTAAGATCATTGAATTTGATTTTTATATAAAATAGTTATATATTAGAAAATGATATGAGTTTATGTGATATTATTTTTCAGAAGATTTTGTGTTCTTCTTCAAAATTTTATTTTTTTATTAAAAAGAATCTTTACAAAATATACATTTACTTTAATTAATATTTAAAAACGTGCTCTATCAAAAGTTCCAAAAATTCAATATTTTAGCTTTTCTGAGGTGTTACTTTTGATGAATTTCTGTTTACAACAAGTGTTTAATAAATTTTTGTCAGAAAAAAATTGAGCATTAATTTATTTTATTTTCTTTATTTTTTGTAAAGTTGTATTCAATTTCAAAAAATCTGAATATCTTTTAATTTATGTCACAAGAGAAAGTAACTGTTACAACATCCTCTTCAGGAAGCTCAGATGCACAGTCGGCTCAATCAGGGGAAGTTGTTATTATCAATGGAAAAAGATTTTTGAAAACAACTACAACATCTCAAGAATCAACGCATTTTTCTAGAACAACAACAGTATCCAAGACAACAATTACGCGTAAAAGAATCGTTGCGACACTTATTATTATCAAACTTACTATTCGAGATTTTATAGGCTTTGCATCTTTCCATCCGTTTATTTTCAACATCCGCCCAATTGGAATGGATATCAGATCTAACAAAGACATCGTCGTTGAAGAATATAATAAAATTTGGCCAATTATTAAAGAGGCTGAAGAAAGTCTTCCATTCCCAGAGAATCAAGAAGATGCAGTCTATAACTTCTGCTGGAAATATGCTGGAATTATCTATTATTCGACAATCTTAATCTTAGAAATGAAGAATAACAAAGTCGACTTGAATTCTATTGCTGAATTTTCCACATCACATGATAATATCATACAGTTCCTTAAGGATGAGCATGGTTTTATGAAAGAAAAGAATCCAGAAAAATTCAGGCCACAGCCTTTCATGACTGTTGCAAGAACCATTCATCAGACTTGCAAAGACATCAAAATTATGATGAGGCAGGTTAATATCGCTGATGTCAAGGATTCAAGAGTTCAACCAATTATGACAGAACTTGAATCCCAGAGAAAGGCGATCAAAGCCGCAATCAAGCCTGTCATTCAGAATGAGAAGACAATGACAATGGATATTTATAGAACATGCCGCAGAACATTTATCACCGCAATGAGACTTATTAACAATTTGGTCTATAAAGTTTCAATTATCGATCATGCAATGGAATTTAATACTAATTTGGCTTTCTATCTTGGCGTCTTGGCCGAAAATGTTCAACTTTTCCAAGATGGAGAACAAATTGCCAAAGACTACATTGAAGAAGTTAACCCAGATGCAAAGAGCCATAAAAAGCCACGCCGTAGTGAAGGTGCTCAGCCACAAGATGATAATCCTGTCAAATCACGTGATGCCCAGATCTCTTTGGCCGAAACAAAGCCAAAAGCAGAAGATTCTGGAGCCCCGATCTCTCTATCAGAATTAAGATCGGGTCCTGGAGAAGATGAGCACAAGCCAATCGGAAATTGGGCAACCTCAACAGATTCTCTCATGAAGAAGAAAGATGGACAACTCAGATTGAAACCCGATGAGCTTGGATCCCAATCTGTTTCTCTTTTCATGCTTAAACAAAAGCGTAAATCTATTTTATTGGATCCATCAGAGGAACAAGGGTTAGATTTGCATAATTCAACATTCCCTCATGTTACATTCAACTTTGAGCGCACAGGTCCACTCGAAAATGAACAATCGCAGATGGTCGATGATACAGACAGTTCCCCACTGTTATCGCAGTCAGCACCTGAACAGCCACTTTATGATAGAGATCATATCAATCCAGATCTCTATCCACAACCAATTAAGATCCCCAATTTCAGTTCTTGGCATTCACAAACTATCTCAAAGCAGATCAGACAACCACGTGCTCCTGCTGTCTCTCTTGACAAGCTCAAAAGCCACTCCGCTAAGCGTTCTAAGCTTGGTTTCCTTTCTGGTTCAATGTCGAATATCTTCTCTTCTTCTCATGACTTCAAGTCAATGAGAATCAAGAAGATCGAAGATGTCCTTGTTGCTCCAGAAATTGAAGCATACGATCCAGATTACGCAGAGGAACAACTCGAAGATTCTATTGTTCAGCTCCAAAAATGTCGCGAAGAATACCAAGAAATAGAGAACAACTCTATCGAAGAAAAGGCATTCTTCTTCTGCAAGTGGCAATCAACATTCAACGCTGCTCCACAACTTGTTAAAATCACTCAAGAGAAGAAGCCTGATTCTGAATCAATTAAAGTTGCAATTGACTTATTGACATCACTTTCACATGCAAACGATGAAGTTGTCGAACAATTGCAAGAGAAGAGCTGGGAATCTCCAAGAGATGCCATCAATCATGTTACTGATCTCTTAAGAATAATCATCATTTCCCTTAACTACGCTGAAGAGGATCTCAAGAACCACAAATTATCCAACATCAACGCACAGGAAGTTGCTGATTGGAAGAGGTACTACACAGAGATGCTTCAGAACATCGAGATCATTAACTCAGCACATGATAATGTTGTTTGCTTGCAGAACTTGAAATACATCGGTGAAGCAAGATCTCACTGGTCTTCATTCGGTCCAATCGCTCAGTCAATCGATAGAGAAACAAATCGTTCGATTCTTGTCATCACTCATAAGACACTCATCAACACAGCTGACTTAGTCATCTTGTATATCAAGACAGCAGAATTGACTGACTTAACAACAAGACCACAAATGATCGGTTACTTGGAAGCTGCAAGAAGCAAACTTCAAGTTGTAAAGAAGCTCAAAGTAATGTCAGTTGCAAGCATTGTTGGTCTCTCTGACACATTGATCACCCAGATCATCACAGAACTCAATGTCAAGAATGTTCATCTTAAATCATGCGATGCAGACAGATTCTGTCAACAGCTTGGAGATATTACAAACAAGGTTGAAGCTGCTGTTCCAAACATCAAAAATAAAGAACAAGTTGAAGCAATCATTGAATTCCACGAATTCACAACAGCTGCTCGCTATAACTTGTTGAACATGCGTGTACAAGACAGTGAAAAGGAACCAGATCTTTTACCACTCTTAAAGCAGAATGTCGAAGATTTAGATATGTTGGAGAAGCAATTCAGATCTGCTTCTCAAGATACATCTGCAACTCCAACATCATCTGATTTCTGCTTGAAATGGGCTTCACAGATCGAGAAATTCAGATTATCGCTTATTTCTATCGAAGAAGTTTCCGATGTCATGTTAAGAAACCCATCAAGATATGATGCAGCCGATGTCCATTTAATCAACATCGGAAAGAATATCAGAGTCTTCGAGAGAAGCGATTTCAATTTCCTTGTTCCTGTCACAGCTAATTACACAAGAACAACAACAAACTTGCAGATCACAATTGATTATTTGACTGACACTCCAAACAAACTCAGAAGACAAGGTCTCGAAAGCAACAAGCAAACACAGCAACCAATATTCCAAGGATTGCAGCCAATTTCGATCAAGCCAATCTCTGGTGATCAGATGCAGCAGCAAAAGACAACAATTATCATTGATCTCAAGCCATATGTTAATGGTTTCATTGATAATCCTGCTGAAATCAAATCACACATCTCAGATGCAATGCCACAAGATGAAGCATCAGATAAGTCAATTTCTGACAAATTGCAAAGACAGATTTTACGTTTATCAGCAGCACAGACAGACGCTTTGTCAAGAAACTACAACTTATCAACAAAGTCAACTGATGTTTTGTTCAGCTTAGTCATCACATACTGCCAGTCATTGATTTATTTGGCTCCTTTGATTGAGGACGCTTTAGAATTGGATGATGTTACTGAAGTCAGAAAAGTTGTCACACAACACATCAAGAAGTTGAACGCAATTCAATCTTCATATAACGATAAAGCTGTTTACTCAGAGTTCGCTCAGAAGCGATTGATGATCTTTGCACAAACATGCAAAGTTCTTGCAAGAGTTACTGAACTTAATTTAAGCCATTTAACTCCAGATGTTCAATTCAATGAATCGGCTTTATCATCTGACATGAGACAGTTAACAGTAAACATTGCATTCTTCCCGAAGTTCCCTTCAGTCCCAGCTGCAATGGCACTCAAAGATGTCATCAGATCACACAAGGCTGCTCATGAAGATATGCAGTTTGACCTTATGCCTGTCATCCAATCAGAATCCAAGTTCTTGGCAAGAATAATGGAAATCATTCAGAACTTCTATGCTGAAGCTGATGTCAGATTCTTCAGATTAGAATCAGAATACATCGAAAGAATGGAACAAGCTATTGTTGCTGTTAGAGAAGTTAAGTTGGATCCATTCTCTAGTGTTGTCACTCAAACAGCTCAGGTCAAGCGTAACTTGGACGTTGTTTCAGACAACTTCCTTGAGTACAGCAACATGCTTCAGGACGGAGACTACAACCCAGAGAAACTCTGCAACTTGACATTACTTTTGTCATCAAATGTAGTTAACTTCTGCCAGTCTGCATTGACAATTGAAAACAGAGATGATTTCTTCCTTCAACACGTTTTCAACTTGCAGAATTACTACATTGAGTTGATTTCCACCATCAAATTGCATGCAGAAATTGGTTCTCAGAGATTGTATTCTACACAAGCAAGACACTGTTTGCAGAAGGTCAGAATCTCCATTTCAACCACAAACAGACATCTCGTATTGATGGAACAACTTGACTCCCAGGCATGCATGGAATCACAGCAAACAGCTATGGAAGTTTCTCTTTCTATTCTCTCAAGACTTGCTAAGTTACTTTACATCGCCAGAGACAATTTGAAAGTCGAAACTGACAAAGCTAAATGCTCTGCTCCAAGACGTGTTCTTGTTCAAGCTGTCTGCTCTTCATATGAATGCTCAGCCCAAACATTGTTGACAGTAAAGAACAAAGTCCTTCAGATGCAGATCAAACCAAAGGCCAGAGAAATCAGATCATTGATTTGGGCAACACAAGGTTTGTTGAATGCTGCAGATTATCTATTGATCGAAATCAGAGGAACAGTTCTTGAAGACATCGAGTCTATTGAGTTCTGGATTGGTGCTGCAACAGAACCAATCGTCAAGGCTTTGGGTTCAATTGCAGTTTCGATTCCAGCTTCTCTTCCACAATCAGCAATAATGAGAAGAAAGGTCTCGTCAATTCACTCCAAGTGTGTGATTTGTGTTGAGCCATTCCAAGAATGCAGAGCTTTCACTATCGCACAATAAGCTTCAAAAATTCATAAGAAGTATATTATTTCTATTTCACTTTTATTTTATAACTATATTCTAAAAGAATTATCACTTATATCATTCAAACTCTATTATTTTTACTTTCTACTACAAGATTATAATTAGGAATGATTCCTAATGCTTGGATAAATTTGCATAAGACAAGATTTCTCATTAAAAAATGACAGAGTGTAATTTTTACACCATTCAAAAAAATATTGACATAATAGTATTTATATTATACAGGGATGCCAATGACTTCAAATGTTTTGAATTGCCAATGAAAAATTTTGATTTGATAATTATCGTTTAATTGTGACAAAATATTTTCATTTTCGAATGTTAATTAAAAATATTAACTTACAATTTCACTTTTACGGTTTTATTTAAAATTAGTACTGGTGTAACAGTAATAGATGCCTACAATAATTCAAGCCTTTTCACGTAAAAATTGTACAGATAAATTCTACTCGTTCTCAAAATAAAGCGGTTTTATGGAAAACTAATAATAGCAAAACAATGATATCAATTCAGCTTGACAGTCCAATTCTTCAAAGAATCAATGACTGTCGGCCCAATGAAAAAATTACTTTAAACATCAATAATGTCAAATTCACGCTCAATAAATACTTTTTAATTGCATTTTCGCCAGATATCCACTCCCGTTATCTTTTAAATAAAAATATTGACATAGTCGAAATTTATAGTTATTTTGAATCACCGAATACATATAACATCTTAGAGGATATCCTTCAATTGAAAAAAGCAGAATTTAACGCTGATGATGCTATTTTAAAGGATCTCTTCCATATCGGAGTAAAGCTTCAGATCAATGAACTTAAGGATTTATACAAAACGTACATCATTGATAAGTTAACAATTGATTTAACTAATTGTTTTCAATTACTTGAGTTTTACGTTGAGTTTTCAATAAAAGAAAAAACAAAAGAGTGTATAGAATATATTTCATCACATTTCTTCGAATTTGAGGAAAAACAACTCATATCAAATCTGAAAAATTTCGGATTTGATACTCTTCAACAAATTCTTAACAATTCAAAGTTAGTAATAAGTGATGAAGACTTTTTAGCCAGATTAATCATTTCTCTCTCAGAAGAAAACAAAATTTTCTTCCCATTGATTGAACACGTTCATTTAGAGTTTTGCAGCGAGGAAATCATCAATACTATTCTTAACACAAGTAATGCAAACAACTACCTCGATGTCATCAAATCCCTTCATGATTCTTTAATAAGATCAAGAACAAATGACGATCGGATTTATCATCGTTATACAAATTCAGAAGAATTAGTTTGGGATTCGCAGCTGCCAGAATTAGAAAATGTCTATAAATTCTTTTGCGAAATACTTGAAAAAGGAAATCTTTATATCATGTCTTACTTACAAAAGGAAGGACTCGTTGAAAAGAAATATAAGGACTCTGATTCAAATGGAAAGAATGTTCTTCAAGTTGCAAGCGAAAAAGGAAATCTTAAACTTGTTAAATATCTTATTTCTGTCGGTGCTGATAAAGAAGCTAAGGATAAAAACGGATATACACCACTCATTTGGGCATCAAGAAATGGTCATCTTGAAGTTGTTAAATATCTCGAATCCGTTGGAGCTGATAAAGAAGCAAAGGACAAAAACGGATACACTCCACTTACTTATGCCGCTTCGAAAGGTCATCTTGAAATTGTCGAATATCTTATCTCTGCTGGAGCTGATAAAGAAGCAAGGGATAATTATGGTTATACTCCACTCATGTATGCTTCAATTAATAACAAATTTGACAATGTCAAATGCCTTGTTTCTAATGGTGCTAACATAGAAGCAAGAGACAAAAACGGAAACACTCCTCTTTCACATGCATCAAGAAACGGCCATCTTGAAATTGCTCAATATCTCATTTCTTCTGGAGCTAATAAAGAAACAAAGGATAACTATGGATTCACTCCACTCATCCTTGCATCATCTAACGGGCATATTGAAGTTGTTAAGTATCTTGACTCTATTCATGCTGATAAAGAAGCTAAGAGTGACAATGGATACACACCACTCATTTGTGCATCAACTGGTGGTCATCTTGAAGTTGTCAAATACCTTGTCTCAATCGGAGCTAATAAAGAAGCAAAGAATAATGATGGATGCACTCCGCTCATATCTGCTTCAAGAAATGCTAAACTTCCTGTTGTTCAATATCTTATCTCTGTTGAAGCAAATAAGGAAGCAAAGGATATTTGGGGAAATACTCCACTCATTTGGGCATCATCAATTGATTGTATTGAACTCGTTCAATATTTCATCTCTGTCGGAGCTAATAAGAATGCAAAGGATAATGATGGAATCTCGGTTCTCGCACATGCAAGAGGCAATGTCAGAGATTATCTAAGATCTGTTGGAGCAAAGTAGTTCATCACTCATAACGCTTATATAATTTTTCATTCTTTTATGGATAGTAAATATTTCAAGTTATTGAATCAACAATTTATGTTTGTTAATATGTTTGTTGTTGAGCATTATATACGTACAAAAAAAAATTTAAATAATGCCTGTTTTTGTGAATTTACAGGTTAATGAAAGTAACCCATTCATTTACAATTTGTTAAATTATGCTTAATGGTGCCCTTACGCCCAACTTACTTTAATCCAAATTTCTGGCAATTGAAATATTATATTGTGTGTTAGAGCCTGCAGTAAAGCTGATATGTAATCGGAACAAGCGTGTTTGTTATAAGTTAATCAAAATGCAAAAGCTAATATACAGAAGAATTATACTTTTGAGAAGCTTTATGATGGGTTTTACGTGGCGTGCAAAAAAAATGCGCAAAAACAAATTCATATTAAAATTATTTAGAAAAATAAAAAAAATTCTATAAAATAAAGAAAAATAATTTAGTTTTTTATTAACAAATATAATAAATTTATTGATTCTGTATCTGAAGAATTCCTGAATAGACAGATCTGATCAACTGGTAAGGCAAAGCGTCAGTTGTCATTGAGTAATCCGCGTAAATAGAATCCTTGACACAGAAATCGATCAAAATGTACATCAACAACTTTTTGTCGTCTTTCTTTATCATCTTAATTCCATTGATCATTGCTTTGAGCAGTGATTTGTACTTGTTGTACAAGTCGTAGTTCGGCTGTTTCGCAATCAATGACCCGTAAACAGCGTCCAAAACAACAGGAATCAAGTGAGCGTCATTGGTAAATCCGCCTGTATTCGCATCGAAAACTAAATTGTTCCAGAAACTGCAGCTGCAGATCTGCGTAAATGTTTCCAATATAGAGCTCGAATCGAATGCAGGCATGATCAAAGACGTGTTCAATCTCTGTTGGAACTCGTTGTCATTCAGTTGATTGTCTGTCAATGAGTTGTTCACTTCGTGCAGCATCCTTCTCGCCATGAGAATGGATGAAGCGTGAATCAAACTTGAACAGGCATCAAATGATTCGTCGGCATTTGACTTGATTTCGTCAAAAAGTGTCGCGGTTTTTGTCAAAACTTCAATTGCGCACTGAGCAAACATCGAAGACATCGCGATCATGCCGTCCTTGTTGAGGATCTGGACGAGAGCACGTAATGCGGGGATGGATAAGATCGTTGGAGCTGAAATTTTCGGTTTGCTCGTGCCATCAACGAATGCTCGAAGAACTGGAGAGTAATAGGCCGATGTAATATCTTCCATGAGATATTTCTTGTATGTATCGTAGAATAAATTCATCGCACGGCCCATTTTTCCTTCGATTTCGACAATTCCCATGTCATATGAGAGGAGAACTGAAGTAATTTCGTTGATGTTGTCGTTGAAGACTGTGTATGGGTTGATTCCGACACCGATCAATGGAGAAATCAAGAAATCGCGCATGCCATTTAGATGTTCTAAAAGAGTAGCAGGAGGAATGAATTTCTGCTTCTCTAGAATGGCAGGAATGCCATCCTTGACGACAGGGATGATTCTCTGAAGCAAATTGATCTTCTGGTCTAAGACATTTATAGTTCCAATGTCTAATAAGATCTGTAAGCTATCAGTCATCCTTTTCTCGCCCTGGCGTGATGTCTTTGGACTCTTCTGGGAGGTCTGCAAGAGCCATTGCTGCTGTATCCAGTTAGTTACCATAGTGGAAACAGCTTTCTCCATTGTTCCGTAGTATTTCGGAATCTTTCGGAAGAATACTTGGTGTTCTGCGGCAATTGCTGTATCGTAGGAGTAGAAATGTGCTAATCCGCAAAGGGATATAACAATTGAACTTTGTGATGTTGATCTGAAGATCAAATGGTTCTTAAGAATATTCTTGAAGCACCAAAACTTGTAGATTGGCGCAAATTCGAACAGCGTCATCAAAGGAGAATTGGTTAATTTCGCATGAAGCGAAACATCGGCCAATAATTGGAATAAAGGTGGTAAATGGACAACACCGTGATTTGTACTATATTTATTAAAAGAAGATTGGATACTGGCTACAACAAAGGTTAACGGTAAAGTGTCAAAACCGTCGCCCTTATCAAATGCGTCCATATCCAAAGTCTCCAAGGAATGGGCCAGGAATGTTACTTTATCATAGAGCTGCTTCTCTAAGCGGAGGAGAGTAACGTTGCTGAGTAAGTATGGGTAATCGTATTCTCTTAAGTTGTAAATGAAAAATCTTTTGATTTGCTTCTGGTTTTTGAGAACTAAGAAGAAAGAAAGTATGATTTGTGATAGTAAACTGACTATGTAGTCTTGTAATGGTATGTTCTGATCAGTACGGGACTTCATTAAGTCTGTAGTTACGAAAAAGTATCCTTGACCAAGCAATGATAAAAATATCGGCATCTTCATACATAAAGCGTTAATATCTGCTGTACCAGCTAAACAGTATTCGCGTATTAACGATTCGAGCTTCTTTATACGATATAAAGCTTTATCTTTGTCTGCGTATGCTTGTGCTGCTGCTTTATCGAAGAACGATGAACTTAAGTCTTCCTTCTTTGTGCGGGATTTGTGTAAAGCGTCGAAAATTGAGGAAACAGGAACAGAAATGTCTGCAATCAAAGGTAGATGAGGTCTGATGGCGCATAAATCTGAGAAAACGTCTGCAAACTCACTGACGGCTGGAACATTGACGAGGAAGAAGCAAACTAAGAAATCTGAAAAAAGTTCCATATTTAGACCAACAAAATACTCGAGATGCATGAAATGGTTTCGGGAAGGAGCTGTAGATGGGTTTTCTAACAGTGAATAGAACGACCAATTTGTAGAAGCATCAGAAGTTAAAATTGTATGGATATGGCTTTTAATTGAATGGCAAACTTCCTCATATCTTTTCACTAGAGGCTGAAGCTCGGCTTCTAGTATTGTATATGAAGTTCTTCCTTCTAAGTATTTGTATAATTCGAGAATTTGAGAGTTCCAGTCATCCCTTTCGACTGAGTTCTTGCAGAAATAGTAGAGAATCGGAACATTTTTAATGTTCTTTATTTGCGAAATCATAATGTGTAATTTGATGTATTTAACGAAAATTTTAATTAATGGAATGATAAACTCTGAGTTCCACTGAAGGGCAAACGATCTTGAGGCATCTTGAGCATCAAGTAACGTGTGGAGGCAGTTATTTTGAAATTTCTGGAAGTGACAAATTGTCAAATACGATTGCCTTAATGTTTGACCAATTCGCATAATCTTATCGTTACCTATTTGGAATTTAGGATCATTAACTGATTTTCCGCGCTTAATTGTGTCAATAATTTGTGAATTAACTTTAGAATTGAAAAAATCTGCTTCATATTCAGTCAAAGCTTTCTTTACTGAATACAGTGAAGCGAGTAGATGATCAGCATGAGCATCGAGGGCATATGCTTGATCTATTTTAAACTCTTTCAGCTCCTCGTGACTCATTTCTGAAATTTCTGATATAATTTTTTTTTTCTCGCCCCAAAAAACCTAGAATCAGATTGAGAGAAAACTTCGGAATTATAATATTAATTGGATAATGATTTTCTTATTAGCATAAACCAATCAATCACTATCAAAAAATTAAAAATAATTGTTTTGTCACTTTTAGGGTTTGCGGCCCGGCCAAACAAAAGCTATCGCTAAAGACCAAAATTTATATGGCAAGACCCGATTTTGATGATAGATACTAAAACTATATCATATTTATATTCTGAATTTAAAATAATTTTTAGATTTCTTCAACGATGCTCCATAGTAGTATATGAGTGCGGGTTTAGTGACTTTTTTTGTTACATCTATATATAGACGATGCATTAAAATATAAATCATAGTAGTATATGTGGAAGTGTTGTGTACGTAGTATATGTGGAAGGATTGTGTACCTTTTTTTGTAACATCTATATATAGACGATGCATTTATTTATAAATCATTAAAAAATTAACATTAATTTTAAAATAATTTATTTTTTTATCTTTTATAAAAGAAACTATATATAGATGATGTCAGATATTCCGCGATTAATTAAACATTGTTTAAATCCTGAATGGGTTAAACTTCAATTTAAAAATTTTCAGAATCGTAAGAAATTTTCACTAAACCCATACATAATGAAATAAAAAAAAAATAAAAAAAATAAAAAAATAAACTTTAAAAATTCATGTCTCAGAATCAACAATGAACTTTAAATAAGCTAATGATTATTTGAATTTATGAAATCAATAATTTGATTTATTCGCTCTTCAATAATTTCTATTCTTTTTGTTAAATCATCAATTTTCATTAATGAGGTGATTCTTGATTGAGGAATAGATTTTAAACTAACAACACCTTTTATTTTTGAAATTTTGAATCCATGACCCTCAGGGTCTTGGACTCTGTCCTCAACTTTAAACATTTTATTCAATTTACATGTTGTCAATTCTTCAAATAATTTTTTATTATTAGCATAATAGTCATTAAATTCATCAACAGATGAAAAAATTTTTATTTCAGTAATTGGTTTAACAACGTTTATTTTTTGTTGAACATTTTCACTTTCATTTATTTCTTCCTCCTCTGTTTCATTTATTTTTAAAATCGGTTTCATTTATCATTAAATAAAAAATTAGAATATAAGTGATGAAATATATTTTTTAATTAATATTAAATCAGAGATGGCGGCAGGATTCTTTAAAAAATTATGGGAAGGAATTAAGAAAGCTGCAAGTTGGGTTCATCAAAAGATTATTAAACCCGTTGCTAACTTTTTGGCACCAGTAGCGAAAACGGCAGGAACTATCATAGGAGGAGTATTAGGTGCTAAAGCAGGTAATCCGGCGATGGGAGCACAAGCAGGTAACGCAGTTGGTGGAATTGCTGAAGGAATACTTAATAAAATAGGGGGTAGATAGTGGAAAAATAAATAAATATTATTTTTATCTTAGTATCGGTTGTAGTCGACGATAAACCTTATCTCCTTTATTTAATACTTCCCTTACCGGAACATTAGGTGCTATTTGTTCAGCAACGTCACTAATTGCTTCTTTATTCTTAAATATCCAATTTGCTCCTTTCTTAATCCCTTCCCAAACTTTATGCGCTCCTCTTTTTACTTTATCCCACAGTTTCTTAAAGAATCCTGCAGCCATAGTTGATTATTTCATTAAAATTAAAAATTCATTTTCATCTTTTAATTTTGATTTTTTATTTATTAATAAATGACGACTAACTATTTAGTGCCAAACACTAAACCGATTAATGGAAATGTGTTTCATTCATTCGAAAAGATAAATGAAATATTCGCAAAGAATGACGGTAGAAGATATTATAGAGAACTTGAAAGTTCATGCTATGACTCTGATACTCCATATTTTGATGATAAACAAACTCATTTAAGAATTACAAATCCGGCTCATGATGTGAACCAATTAGGTGACACATATATTAAACGCAAAGTTAAAGCAACTCTAGTTTCAAATAAAGCTTTCACATGTGATGCCGCTTTTAAATGCATGCGTTTATTCGTTGGTTACAAATCATCAAATCAAAGCTTTAAACAATTAGAAGTAGAAACCGAAAGAGGTGATGCCGGTTATCTTCAGATGGATTGCGCCCGTGAATCTTTCGCATTTGCAACATATAAACCAAAATCAGAAAGGAAAGTTAAAAAGTTTGTTCATTCGTTATATAATAATGTTCAAAAATATGATAACTCAGTATGTGGTAAATATATTGACCCTTCAGAAGTTTTCAAGAAAGCAAATGAAGAAGTTGATGTCACTTTTGATATGATTATTCCGGTAAATGATTTGTTAGCATTTCAGGCGTTCGATGATTATCCTAAATCATTTGGTGAAATCATTCTTAAATATTATGTTTTCAGGGATACTTTAGTATTTTGTCAGGTTGACCCGTTAAGAGTTGCTGATTTACAAAATTTCGTTTATGAAAAGATAACTGATGAAAATTATGAAAAGATTATGAATCATGTTTATAAATATGATCGCAAATTCCAACAAATCGGACTTCCTGCCAAATTAATTACAAGCTTAGCCGCTACATCTGCTGACGCAACAGTTGAAGACGTTATTATTTCATGCACAAAGATGGAAGTTTTAGAGGATAAATGCATTACACCAGGATACGGTTTAATTGAAGAATCAGTTAAAGCAATACCACGTTTATTTAGTAAGGAAGATCCATTCATGATTCCAGCTCAACATATTGACGTTCGTTCACTAAATGGAGGTTGCATCACTCCTGAAGGTATTAGCTCAGATTTCTCATACGCTCTTCATAATGTTACAGATGTTGTGTTAACATTTCCGAAGAATGCAATGCAAAGAACGGTTTTAGAAAATCCAATGCTTCGAGGTCTTCAGGTCACTATAGATTCCAGAAACTTCCCCGATCAAGCGATGACCACAGTGGGTGACATATTCTTTACACGTATGCTTCAAGCTTCTGATTTAGATGGAGTGAATGAATGCACGGAAGAATACGAGGACTCATTAACTAGACCACTGAATGATGATAATGGCACGCCATTAGCTAGAACATGGAAAGACCAAACTTCATTCTTATGCACTATTCCAGTTCAACGTGATGGAGCGGGTATATTCTTTGATGGATTAGAAACTTTCAACTCACAAGTTACAGTACAAGTGAAAGCTTATCCAATCATTCAGGGTGAAAATGACACTTACTGTTCAAAAGTGACAAATCCTCCTCAGGTTTGGTTTACTAGGACTACATATTGGACATGGACACCGGATGAAGGTTTGAAATATCATCCAACAGGTACACCACCACAGTATAGAAGTTCATATGATGAAATATTGATGAATAGAAATGTATAAAATTATAAATTTATTTTTGATTAAATGGATTTAAATTCTGAAGAATTAGCAGGAGTATATAATACATACGTAGATGATATGATTAATGAAGCGTTGAGTGATAATAGAAATGCTCTATCTAAGGAAAAATTAATGAAAATTCCATATTCTGAATGTTACTTAAATTCAATCACTGCAGCAATTGGTAAACAAAATAAAGGTAAAACATTAACGATATTAAAACAAATTATCATTATTGCTAACACTTCCCCCCATTCACATGTGTTAATTTATATCAACCGTTCAGGTTCACCTTCAGATGATACATTTGAATCTTTAAAGCATTTAATCAAAATTCCAATTATTTATTTATCACAAGAAGAAGCAGAAGATTATTTAAAAAACTTTGTAATGTATAAAGAATTATATAATACAATCAAGAAGCAAGGATTAGAGGATAAAATTATTGATAAACAACGGGATGAATTATTTGAAACACTTTCTATTTCAAATTTTGATAGAGAATTTTTGCATTCACTCATTTTTCTAGATGATGCGGTGAAATCAAAACTAATAACAAATGAGAAATCATATTTTAATCAGTTATTAACTCAATGTCGACACATTCAGTGTTCATTCTTCATGACTGTTCAATACTTTAAAGCATTAAGCACAAACATTAAATCAAACCTGTCCGCCCTTTTCATTTTCAGTGGTTTTAGTCGTCAACAGTTGAACGTTATGCTTTATCAAGTGAATTTACCAATGAGCATTAATGAACTTTACACACAATATCAACAATTAGGAGAACATGGAAAAATAATAGTTGATTTAAATAAAGGTTCCATTAAATTCGAATAACTTTTTATAATTAATTTTTATTTTTTATTTATAATTAAACATGACAGAAATAGCAAATCTTCTACAGGTTCCATTAAAACAAGGGACAAACAAAAAGGGTGTATATAATAGAACTATGAAAGTTCCAGACGGAATGAAAGAATTAGTCCACATTGTTGCCGGTCTTCAAAAGGATGTTAAACAAATGAGAAACGTTTTAACATTACCAGAAGCTCAAGCATATGCCAAACGTCACGGACCAAATTGGGAAGCACACGAAGCAGACATTACGGGCCAAATGGAAAACCTGATGGAATAAATGAAGTTTTCGTTACTGATGGTCAAGGAAATATTAAAGTCATAAATGGGTATAAATTAACAATGACGGATTATCCTAAACGTAAAGCATATAATGAACATTATCCTATGCAATTTGATGAAAATGGAAAAGCTGTTAAACAATACATTGGAGAAGGTGAAAATGGTCCAATTAATTCATACCGTCATAATCCATATTCTTACTTCAATGAAGAATTAAATGCTATTGAAGGGACCGGATGGATTACCACGATATTCTAACCAGTTTGATGGTCAATATGCAAATTTAAGACCTGAAATTCCAGCTAAGAAATTCTTTAAAGTTGCTTTATTCGATCCAGTTTTCGCAAATGTTAAATGAACTTTAAACAGCAATTCCAACCAATTATAGTAGCAAGAATTGCATCAGGTGCTTTATCTCAAGCATTCAAAGATTTAATTAAGAAACCATTATATCAAAAAACTTA